CTCTCCACTGCTTCATCTCGTTCTGTTGGCGATCTCCGGCATTACTGTTTCAGAGTCTGCAATCGCTGCTGCTATAGTTTCTACAGAAAAGAAGTGCGTGACTGTTCTCTCTCTCTGTATCTCTCTTCAAGATCATATGAGGATGGAACTCCAAGGTAAGCACTTCTCTTTCATTTCCTGAACATTTGCTGGTTACAGTCTGATAAAATGTGGGAATTTTTTAGGTAAGAGATGATAATTCGAGTGGTATTTACAGGAAAAGAAGTAACGCAGGATTTCCTCTCCCTATGCACTAAGGATTATTCCTCTTTCCAGCACCAAGATCCAAGGCCGCCACCTGCCCCAGGTACTTGGTCATTATCCAGTGCAGTGATGGTTGTACATCGCCTACTTCTTGCGTCGATTTCGACGGCGACGTTGGACTCGAGTAAGTTGCATATGTTTTGAGCCACAGGTGGTTTCTATCTACAGACGCATGACTTCTTGATGCCGCTGGTGGAGAAGAAGGAGCGGCAGCAGCAGGAGAAGGAAGACAGCTCACGACGAAACGGTGAAGCAACGGCGGCGGACAACACAACTACCGAGAGGCCGCCGGAGCACGTGCTGCCGGGTGGGATTGGCACGTATAGCATTAGGCACGTGCGGGGCGCCGACGCGAAGAGGAGCAGGTGCGGCCTTGCACTACCCGGTGCGGCCGGTGAGGGCAGTAAATCCGAACCCGGTTACTACGACTCCCCGCGCACGTACGATGCGGCCGTGTGGTCCGATGGTGAGTGTGTGCAGTTTCTTTCCGAGTAATGGATATATATATATATATATATATATATATATATATTATAGTAGTAGTAGTAGTAGTTGTTGTTATTATTATTATATGCGTTCTATTGTATGTTTACAGGCCAATGGCCGTACCGCTCGTTCGGCCCCCGCGGCAGCTCCGTGGCGACCTCCGCCGCCACAAGGTTGGCATCCACCTCCTCTTTCTGTCACGGCCGCTTATTCATGCGGTTTTCTGGGTGCTATGGGTGGTTTATTTGGTGGAGCAGGTGGCACGCTGGGCCGGAGACGAAGCTACTCGTGGAGGCCGCCGAGCAATGCGACGACGAGCTGTTTGGGAAGAGAGAGGGCTCCTCCTCCCGTAAAGGTGGCTCCTTTCACTCTTTTAATCTCTAACCCTTGATCTTATTAGCAATGGCGATGGATGTAGGCCGCTTCGGGTCGTCTATAACTGATCCTTAATTTAATTGAACAATTGAAAGCTGATTTTTGCGGATTGTAATGGAATTTTTAGTTCCTTTTTTATTCTGATTGGTTAACAGAATGGGCAATAAAAGTAGATGGAATGGGGAGTTGCTCTGATCAGAGACCCAACACCCCAAGATCCAAGCACTCTGCAACAGAGCAGCGGAGAAGAACTAAGATTAATGACAGGCAAGTTTGTGGTGCTTTACTATTGGCAGTATTTTCCAAGTTGAGCACAATATGTAGCTTATCTTTATTTGAATCTTTTACTTCTGTAAAAATTCTTTGCTTCCTGTTGTTAGCAGTCTATTTCATCTATATTCCAGTGCTCATATCTTTTTACCCTTTATACATTGATCATGTATGCATATACATAACATGCCTGTCTTCATATATGTGTGTACATGTATTCATATGTGTGTGTGTAACTATAAAACAGTGATAGTACATGAAATACTATTTTATTATCTGTGGGGTGGTTTGTTTATTTAACTAACTGTAGATTCATATTTTAATGCAGATTTCAGATTCTTAGGGAACTTATACCTCATAGTGATCAGAAGAAGGATAAAGCATCGTTTCTTTTGGAGGTATACTGTGTAAAAAGCTGGTGGTGTTGCATTTTTTTTTCTTCAGGCATTGGAATGATTTTATACTAAACTTTGTGTTTATACTTTATAACTCTTTTTTCTCAGGTCATCGAGTATATACGGTTTTTACAGAAGAAGGTGCAAAAGTATGAGTCAGCATGCCCAGAATGGAATCAGAACAATTCCAAGTTAATGCCATGGATAAACATCACTAAGCTTCCCCAAAATGTATGTATATTGTGCATGCATATAAGCATGGAACAGGAAAGTGTGATGAAACTATAAACTATTAGGATATTATGCATCTTTCAACATTCTTAACTTCCTCTTAGATTCCAGATTTGGATTTTTTGGCAGGTATTCTGGAAAATTACATGGGTACCTTCCCTCTAGATAATTTAAGCATAAATAGACATTTAATGCATGGTTGCCACAAAAAGTTTAGTGGTGATATTATTTTTTAGTCAGTTAGTCAAATGTTCTCTTTACCTGCATGCTACAGAAGAGCAGCCAAGGCCTGGGAGATGGTTCTGCTTCTCCTGCATATATGTTCTCAGAAAAATTTGATGAGACTGGGATCTCATTTGCACAGAATCCAGCTGAGCCAGATGAGAGTTGTACTGTTTCTTTCAAGACAATAAAATCTGCTAAGGATTTTGCAAGTAAGTTGCAGATACACCCACATTTTACAGCTAAATTTGTATTTTAAGTGAGATGGTCTTCGCTCAAGAGCATAAGTTTGATTCCAGATGTAGATAGCACTGCATCTCGGTCTCCATCTCAGTGGCTAAGATTACCTGTGCGTGCTGATTGTGGTGCGAGTGATAGTATGTTAAATGAACAAGGAAAGGTGACGATTGATGAAGACACGACCAATGCATCTACAAAGTACTCTCAGGGGTGTGTCTTTAAGTGTTAGTTATCATTGCTTTCTTAGTTATGTCATTTAAATATTTGAAGCTTACGTCCTTTAGACTTTTCTTCTGTGGTTATTAATTTTCTCCATGCCTTGTTTTGCTCCTTGCTGCTCAAGGGACAATTTGATGCTTAAACCAGTTTAGACAAGCATCGATATGGTTTCATATCTGTATTGTCTTCTTTATCTCGATATCTTTTCCTTTTTGTGACTTTTTGTACTCATGTAAGAGTTGCCTTTGAGGATTATGTCACATTTTATCAGGAATGTCTCAATTCTTCTCTTTTGTTTTTCTTATGGAAATTTGTGTGGATACTGCAGTCAAATCTACTACCAATATTCTCTGCTATCATTTGCCGGGAGGAATATCCAGCTCTATTTTCTATTGACAGGCTTTACTAACTTGTGACTGCTTAATGCAAAACAGGCTGTTGAATACATTAAATCAGGCATTACAAATTTCTGGTGTCAATATATCTCAAGCCAGTATATCTGTTGAGATTAATCTTGGCAAAAGAGCAATTAATAGGAGACTAACAGCAGCTGCGACCACTTCAAGTGCTGAGGTACAGTCTCTTTGTTCCTTGTCATTGTATTGTTTTCAACATGTCTCTGCATAAATAGAAGGCAAAAAATACTCTAAACTATCTTAATGGACAAATTGTTTCCATTTCCATATTTGTCACAAGATGAACTCAGGTTAAATATGTGGTTGCTTTGTCAAGGGCCTAACATAACAACTGTATATATTACGTAGTTTCCCTTTTAGTGCTCTTTTAGGTGATAGGTTTATGATCATCAATTAGCTGGCTATTTATACTGTTCTAAAGACTATTGGCGATTGGCATGCTAGATTTTCTGGGGGTTAAATTCTTCATGGCTCCAATATATTATGCTTTTTGTATCAATCAAACTCAAGATGTTATTCTGCTGTTCTGGTTTACTATACAAGTAATGCACATCAACCTCTTTCATCGCATCTTTTCCAGCAACATTATAAATTAAAGGGGTATGAGCACAGATTAATCAATAATTTATTGGAAACTTTTGCCTGACTTATATGTTACCGTAATGCATCACAGGTTCTAAACTCCTTTTTTTCCAAAGAATAATTTGTATTTGTTTTACGAGCATATTTCACCTCAATATTTTTCCACAATTATATTTTAGGTTAAGATCTATATCATGCCTTTGGTCACCTTCGTTTTAGGTTCATGAAGATCCTGTATCCACAAATCAAGCAATTGAGCACTCCATGAAGGGGAGCAGCAGTGAGAGGCCTTCACAAAGACCCAAGAGACAGAATGGATAACAGCTGATGCTTCCATGCTTAGCCTTCACATTTCATTGGATAATTGCTGTACTTTTCGACCAATATATATCGTCTTTAGCCCCCATGATTTACCAGGAAAGATGAAACTTTTCAACACTCTTCTGAAGAGGATTCCATTACTAATTGTGAAGCTGCTGCTCTTCACAGGCTTCAATTAAACAAGAAGTTCCTCTTTTTCACCTTTGGAGAATTCATGTTGTACATTTGTCACACTGTTGATCTTGTCTCAGAGGTTGTATATTAAGAATTGTAACGTTGCTTCTCTGCACTAATTCGCTTGGAAAGATGTGGAAAATATTGTGACTAAGAAATTACTATTTTTGTTTGCATTTGATTGTTATGATGACTTAACCTCTTTAAGGTGACATGGCTTTTGTATATTATATGAGATACCTATTTGAAAATATGATATTTTGATTTAATTTCATTGAGGTTAATATCACCAATCAAATTAAGATTGATCAAAGTAATATCAAGATTTAAACAGGGACTACATCATCGATGCACCAACAACTTGGAATTGATTATATGATTCTTTTTCTCATTTAGTTTTGCTGAGATAAGTACCAGTAATCAAAATTTTGCTGATTGAAATAATCTTCTGGTGCCTAAAGAAGAATTTCCCACAATATTAGTCATGGTTCATTCCTCCCACAAATTAATGCCAATATTTTTACTGTAATTTGCATATATGTTTAATAACAAATGATAATAGTTAGAAAATTTAAATCCATGGAATTAACTTTTTTCTCAACTGCAACTTATAATGAACTCACACAGGCACAGAATCTTGAGGTGGAAAAGTGTTTGCATGATTAAGCTTTGGATTCTCTTGAACAACTACAGAGATTAAAAAAAAAAAGAGAGAGAAATTCTTGTACAAAGAAAAAACAACAATAACTATGAGGATCACTTTCCATGCATCAAGGCCTTTAAATTCAACCAAGAGAAGGAAGAAACTAAGAAACAAGATTCAAGCTTCCACAGATGTATTCCTTCCTTGACAAACCATGGCATGTAAGCAAGAATAAGAATAGCCTACATCTCTGCTTTCTACTCAAGCCACAATCCAATGCCACGGATCCTGCGGGATGGCCGTAGTTTAAACAAGCAAGCAGGGCAGAGGAAAGAGCAGGAATAAACATGGAGGCCTAGTGTTGATGATGATGCATGATGACTCATGAGAGGCGGTAATAGACATCTTCAAAATTTACAGCAAAAGAGACCTGTTCTCCACCGGTATTTCCTTAAATGTCTCCGATCAGCTTTGACCATCCTTATGGGGCTGGTATTCCACTCTGCTTGTAATCTGCACAGACAGAAATTGATGTTTTTAGTCTAATGGAATGTCAAAAAAAGAGAAAACACAAGGAGTTTACACGCTCACATGTTAAGATGTCAAATATTATTACTACATAAGGTTGAAGCATCGTAATATTGCCTAATTCGGACAAATGAGAGTCACCATATGTTGAAGCCTGACAAGGAACACTACTAAATGAAAGCGAGGCAAAAAACTGGTATATGGTGAAGGCAAAAATATAACATACAGAAATAGTCTAGTCATTGAGCCTCAACTAGAATTACATCAGTCTCATTATCTGCACTCTTCATTCAATTTATTAGAAAGTACATACCAAATCGATACTATTTTTGGAGCTATTGGAAATTATTTAAGTCTTCCTCTGTGAACCTCCACCAAGACGTAGGTAATAATCTTCAGCTTTATAAATCCTTCTGAAACATTCTCAGCTTCTTCATTCTTCTATATGACTATGCTATTTTGATTAGTTCTAGTCAAGTTGTCATCATATATGGTAACTCGAAATTCATGTACCACTAATATACTTGTAACTTATTGTTACCTTTGTAGTTTTTAGCACACATCATTCTTATTTGCTTGTTTCTACTTCTCAATACTCTGAAAAATGCAAAGGCAGGAACACTACAAGCAATGATCAGGAAAGCCAAGAAAACCCTACATAATGCAGCTCGGAATCATATTCCTTTGTTGCATTTTCATCAACAAAAGTAGAGAGAAACCAAGAAAATTTTAGTTCCTTATCGTCATTTTTGCTAAAAGGTCTAAAATAAGGAACTAAACCTTTTCCCATGAACCAAATGGTGTGACATAGTATTTGTTTGTATCACTGACCGATTCACCAAGGATAGTATTTCATATTGATTTGTAATACCATCCTCCATTAAACTTGATAGATGTTAGTTAGGTAATGCCCACAGTTTAAGTTCAACTTTGAATATGCAAAACTTTGTATCTTTTCACTTCTTCATGCCACCTCTTTCTTGGTAAATACTCAACCTACATAATATCACAGTTAGCTGATGCAGTATAGAACTGCAAGCTTGTGCCTGTTGGCTGTGCAACTAGTACCAATACTTGACAAACAATTATTCTAATATTTTTGCCTTTTATTTTGAACAAAAGATGATAACTCACCTTAGCATTGCAGAAAACAGCTACGAGGACCTTGGTTTTGTGTTAATTAAGTTTCTGAACCAACGGATGTCTTTATGCTCCAATTCAATACTATAGCATTTGACACATTCAAAAAGAGATGCATTCATGCCATATAGGTCAAAGAAATATAAGAGAGAGCAGAAAAAAGTCAATAACATAAAAGAATGAATGACTCTTAAAGGTAAAACTAGCCATTAGATAATGCTTTAAATGACTACACATGCAACACTTGAAAGCTACCATTCTGTCATGTTAAACATTCATAAGGAGAAATGAATTATTCAGATGGGAGGTTGTCTCACATTGGGAAGGCAAATGAATGAGTGCTGGTGGTACTGCTCTCAGATCGAAGAGATATACTACCAGAATATGCAATATGTCCTGACGACACTTTTGGGCCTGACAAATAAGAAGGACCAGAAAAATGCAAGTCCCCATGATTATTGGGATAAAATGAACTTTGAGCAGAAGCTGTTGTTGCATCAAAAACCATCTCTTCATTACTCCGGTGATAAAGAGCATTTACTAATTGTTTATCATCTGCATTTTTGTTGTTCTTTTCAGTGCCACTTATTGCTGCTGCTGCTGCTGCTGCTACAGAATTGAAGTCAGAATTACAGACTCCTTCCAGCTGAGCATTAGGAGGTTTTTCCATGCTATCACCATTTCGGTCGGAGAATGTAACATCCAATGGATCATTTGTGGCAGCAGAGCACTTCGTTTCCAAATTACCCTCTGACAGGTCATCATTCAGATTTTCCAAAATCATAATACTTTCATAAGTCATGCTAGAATCACATTGCAAATTCTCAGAATGCTCCTCTTCAAGTGTGACCTGTGATAGACCACACAGATGCAAGAAGTCATATGATTTAGCATGTTATTACAACATGTTTGAAGCAGTTGAAAAGAAATTTTAAGGTCAGAATACATCACAGCACTGTTTATTGGCATGTAGCTACCGAGATTGACATGACAAATTAGTTCATGACTGTGTAACATGAGTAGCAGATGATGCAAAACCACTAGCATGTGACCAGAATGGAAATGGAATCACTTCCACTTCTACTGTTACATGAGGCATAGCAGTCCTTGTAACCAAAAGGGAAAATTCTGTTATCATGTATTTATTTGCATGTATTTGGATAATGCATACATATGCATTTGTATATAGATCTTGGAATGGAAGCTCTCATTCACATTGACCAGAAAACCATTGTAGGCAAACATGAAAAGAATAATCACTATCATAGATAACAAATAGACATATTTGTGGCATATAATATAATACTTTTTACCAATGCAATTTAAAACACACATCTAAACTATGCCAAGGTGCAGCAAGGCACTAATTAGGGACATTGCATTGACTGAGAAGCAGAAGCTAAAGATAGCCTATAAAAGACATGGCTGAAGGCAAACGAGGTGCACCTTTTCTTTGTTTTGCCCTTTTCACTATGGATGTATTCACCAGTATGTTAGACTTACATAGAGGTTAACAAATTGCCCAGCCGAGTCAATATTAGAAGGTCAAAAGAAATTAGGAGAAATATGTAACTAGATTTGCATTAAAAATTAAGGTATGTTCTCTTTCTCCTTTTCTCAACATTATCTTATATTCTAAAGTCCTTTTTTCTCTTACTAAGCTGACACCTGCTTCATGTATTCATCTTTCTTTTCCTTTCCTTCTAGTTGCCTTATCACTGCAGTTGATTCTCCTCTTCAAATTCTTTATTATTTTGATTTTCTTAAAAATTCACATAAAGTACTTAATTTCTTTTAATTTTCAGGTTTAAGATTCATCTATGACATAGCTTGATTGACATTTCTCCTTTACAACTAAGAGTGACAGTGCTTCAACTGGCTTCAGTTGATAACATCTATTATCACAAAATTATTAAATCTAAACTAATATCAGAAATAAGGGAAAAAAAAAGCACTAGAGTAACTTAGTACCTGTTCGATATTCATCTGACCAATACTTTGTTTAGTACTACTGATGCTACCATAACTGGTTAAAACCATGTGGTGGGCAAGTGTGTCCAACTCTCCCAGTGAAAACAAATGCTGCAAAGTGATCTTCTCGGAGGTTTTACTTGCAAGCTGGTTGCCTTCATCCAACTTTTGTTTAGATTCAAACAAGCCCCAGGAAGACTTTTGGTCCTTATCATCATCAGCAGCATCAGTATATTTCAAACCTTCCACAACTAGTGCAGTACCATGTGTCATCTGCTGATTCCAGTTATCGTTTGCATTTGTTGCATAAGTTTTGAAGCCAGAAGGTATGTTCTCGCTAACTGCAGCATTTTTCAACAATATTTTCTCAAAAGCATGTAAACCATCATCCACACATATGTCTTTGATGACTTGACAGTCATTGTCCTGAACTTTAATTTGTGTAACAGTTTTGTCTGAAATCGACAATGTGTCAGTTTCAACTGTTCCAATCATTTTGAGAACATTATATGGAGCTTCTGTACATTTATTTTCATCATGTTCTTCACTAGCTAAATCTTCAGTTTCACAATCTGGTGGAACTGTAACTTGTCTTCCCCTTTTTAGTGTGTTTGCTACATGATCCTGGCTTTCTTCTTGTGCAGCCACATTTTCAAGCATAATCATATTCAATTGGTTGTGACTGTCCCTCATGAGTCTCAATGCAAGTTCATTACTGGTAGAGTTATGATGATAGGCTAACTAATTCATCATCTGCCAAGAGGAGATTGGATGTTTTTTAAGCAACTGTGCCAATGATGAATGGATCTCTGAAAAAGGCAATTGCTATTATGACTATTCGAGAATAATGAGTTGATCAATGTAAGTATCTTATTGAGAGCGGCTCAGAGAGAGTTGACTGCTATTGCAGTGTCTTAATAAATAGACATGTTATTGCATTTAATAAAATGGCATATAGAGATCATCTTTCTCAATATCATGCCAATTTGGGATGAAATTACTGCAGCTTTGTCACCGAACGATAAATTTCAGCTACCCCAGTCATAGTTATTAAAATCTAACCTTGATTTTACCAGTGGGTATGGATTGGAATTTACCATTTCGTAACAAACTAGAATTTACTAATTGGTAGAGACCGGAATTTAGCAGTCTGACCAAGCAAGGATTTAAATCTCCATCCACTATTGGATCGGTATAATACTGGGGTGTTGGATGTCCAACCACATTGCCTGGTATCACCTAAACAATATACCAGACCATAGTGTCTAATATTGGTCCTTTTTCAATAACTATTAACATACCGGTCGGTATTCGAATCCAAGCAATCAAGCACCAATATTGAAACATATAGCTCGATAATGATATAATAAGAAGGTAAAAAGTGCATAAAGCTTCCATTAATATACATAGTTTTACCTCTATAAAGGAGTAACCTTATTGTTCTATCAATTTTTGCCCTTGATATTGATAAAATACTAATCATTTTATTCTTTTATTATTTTATTCAATAACACCAATATTATACTGGTCTAGTGGGATACTGTAATCGGTATTATACCGAAATTTGAATCCTTAATTAACTATCTCAGTTTTCTTTAAATTTAAGCAAGCTAGGAATATTAGTGGTAAATATGTGATGTAGTGACCAAACTTGAATTCCAATGAACAAGTTCTTGTGGATGAGTGTCCCCATATACCAATAAGCATCTTTTGCATGCAAATAACATCAGATTTGTCTTTGATTACATACATATATGCTTACGATGATCTTCCCATGGTATGGTGCATGTGTACATCACAACATGGAGCTACCATTAAGCCATGCGTCCTACATAATTAAATGTGATTGTGAACCTATTTGTGTGAACCTTGACAAAGACACTGAGGATTCAAATCGTATATATTGTAATACCCAATTAGTTCAACATGGGACATGGGTTATGAAGTGGATAAAATATAAGTCATTACCCACACCCACCAAACACTTTTAGGGTTTTTTCTTATGGGGTCAACCCAATTTAGTTCCAAGCAAGATGGTGATACCAAAACTCATATCCCATATGGGACTATTTGGACTAAAAAATCTCATCATATTAATGTAACATCAACAAATATAGACTATATTTAAGTATAATACTATAATCTCTCCTTTGTCTATCTTGACTCATAGTTCTCGCTCCAACTCAAAGTAAGTATCATTCCATAACTTATTACCAGTATTATTGAATTTCAAATAAAATCATAATATTTCATGATTCTCAAATTTTCTGTAACTAAAGCACTTCAGCTCCCAGTGAATGCCAAGTTAACAATGCATAATAACAAAGAGAGAAAAGGTCTTCTATTGTGGAGGACACAAAATTTAGGAACTTATCCTTCAACAGGAGAAAAGCTTGGGTTGCAACAGTTAATCATAGATAACATAACTACATAACTTCAATTGGGCAAGAGATATCTTTAAAAGGAACATATATTCCTACATGACATATCTAGTTAAATAGACAAAACAGGAAGCATCAGCTAAGAGGAGCTGTAATGGGATAGATATATGAACCCATTATTAAAACCAAAATCAAATGGTCCTAATATTTGGAACATTGATGTGAACTTATGGTTCCAGCCTATGGTACTCAGTATGATATAACAACTATATTCATTAGTAACCAATAAATTCATGTCTGATATTGATCAAAGAGTGCAATATAACATTTGAATGCAGCCTGTAGACCAGTTAACCAAATCCTAGCATTGCTTGTAACTCCAATATCATGCAAAATGATTAAATCATGAAGCATGCCGATATTCTGCATCTGGAAACAACCACAGCAACCAATCTAACTACGACAAATATATTCCGTCCCTGCAGTCATTTTTTTTGGTGAAAAATTGCTAAAAGGACTAATGCTGAAACCCATATAAGAACTTGCAACCACAATTGCTGCAGCTGACTAGGGCAAGTCTCCTCATAAGATGAAAACAGCAGAGGCCGAAACCAATATATGGACATGATTTACATTACTAGGAGCATATTCACATATCTTTTGCTTTAACTGCTATTCACAACCTTAAATTCTTTGTATCATGTGAAAATTAATGAATAAGACAAAAGATGCAATCAGGCAAAAGAAACAACTCGTTCATACCTAGTTTGGAGATTTAACATGTCTCAAATCAAACCAGCCATCAGCAAAACAGCCCACTTGGACGGGTCAAAGTTCATGATACTTCCTGTCAAAAATTATTTGAGATCAATAGGCAAAGAAGATTAAAAGATATTAAAGGAATGAAGGGTGAAAATGCAATCTAATTCATTAAAGACATTTTCTAATTTTCATGATCGATGAATAAGATCAGTTTAGCCAACAAAATGAAGGAAGGATTACAAAAATCCTAAACCAGCAGCTTCCAGTAAAAGATTATAAATGCTTATAATTTTGCTTTACAGCCACAAAGTGATTTGCCTCGGTAAAGCATCATGATTCATGAAACACTAAATACTATATGGAAGGAGACAATCTAAAGCAACTTATTGGTGGGAACATTAAATGATGAGATATTAAAAGAAAAACTGTCATACGAAAAGCAAGTGCAAACTAAAGAAATCCACATCTTGCAAAATCTGAATCGTACAAGAACTTCATTGAACACATCTGAATGTGAAAATAGATCATATGTCAAACAACAGTACAAGATTCACCACTGAGAATACAAGATACCATGAAAACTATCAGGGGTAAATATAGTTAGTTGATGCTCAGCATGAAGAAAAAGGAGATCAAAATTATGTCAACATCTACGGCAACTAGATGCAACCAAATTACTACCAGAAGATTATGAAACAAAAGCAAAAGAGTACCACAACAAACACAGAGTGACATGAGAATGAAAGCCCATTAAGACGAAGAAACTCATTACAGACTTCAGAATAAATCGTTTCTGGCTCAAGAAACAGAGTTGGATACCAACCATAAGGCTTTCTTTAACAAACTACATGATGAATCTCATCTGACAACAAGTTTGACGATAGTAACCTTAAAAGACAAAATAGGAAAAGGTACAGAGTCTATTAACAGAAAGACACCTAAGATCGAATTGCAGCTATGTCAGACATATATGCTTTTGCTCACCATCGTCAGCACGGTAATCCAAATCTGGAAACAAATCATAGGTAACAAAAACAAGTTTAGCCTCCAACCAAGACTCGTGTGGTCCAGAGTAAGACTAGGAACAATAAGCAAAGGAAAGAAGCGATCACAGAGCTGAGAAGCAGTTTGCAACCAACATTTAACAAAAAAAATTAAAAAAATCCGAAATTCCAAAGTCATCTTCTTTCTCTTCAGTTTCATGTCAACTGTCTCTGAATTCCTTAGTAGGAGACTCTCTTTAGATCTCAAGAACTAAACGCCCCGAGGAGTCCAAACAACCAGAACGGCCAGAATGATCTACCATCTCCAAACACCTCAAAACCCAACAGAAAGCAGACATGCTGACACTTTTCAACAGGAACATGGCATGGAAGATCAAAAGTAACGTACCTGAATCCTTTCCATCTCCTTACGATTCCCCTGACCAAAAGATCAAAACTTTGAGCATGTCAGCCAAAGGAGAAGCTAAAAGGTGACTGCCAACACGCTAATCAACATGCAGAGGACCAAAAAAAGAAAAACAAAATACAGAATGGAATTGAACTAACCGCAAAAACCGAAACCTTGGATCTACTAAAAGTAAAAGAGGATTTTTAAAAGAAATAAAAAAAGGACCTTGTCTTTTTTATCATTATTTTAAACATGGCTAAGGGTTTAAACCTGACTTTAAGGTTAAGAGGTGTCTAGAAAAAAGAAGTAGCGATGAGGGGGGTGGTGGTGGTGGTGGGGAGACGGTGGGATTAAACAACACAGCCATAGAAGGTGGGGCGCTGTCATCATGACTTAAAGTCAAATAGAAGAGGGTATTTATGATACATTTCCTCCAAGGGCTCCCCACAAGAGCTACTCTACCACAAAGAGGAGGCAGGTTGGGGCATTCAATACCCCATATTTATTGCACAGAGCGGTCCCTTCGACACCAAGATAGATAGAGATGACTTGATGGAGATACGGAACGGACGAATCCCCACGCCTTGCTTGCCGAAACGGTGGTCGTTTCCGAACGGGGATGTAGAATTAGGGTTAGGTTTATGGCTAGAGTTAGGGTCCAACTAGGGTTTCCAAGAATGTATCTTTCTCGGAATCTGGGGCAGATAAGGGATCGAACTTTGCACCAACAACTGGACGAGAAGACCAGGGGAGCTTCATTCGCGGCGGGATTCCGGTAACGGTCTGCACTCGGTGGCAGAAATTAAACATCAGGAATCAGGATTTAACGAGGGGAAAAAGATCAAGGAGCACATTTTTGAACGAAGAATATTTTAGATGAAATCGAGAATAGGATTTCGCTGAAAAAACACGAAGGTTTTCGTCACTTTCTTCTCTTTAGAACTCCAAATATCTTGCTCAATAACAGACTGATGATTGCACAGGAAGAAAATTTACGATCAATTGTTGACTACATGGATCGATCACACATTCATCATTCCAGAACAGCGACAATTGAATCTGATAAAAGAAGAAAGCACAAGCGCCACAAACTTACTGAATTGAATCAGGTCGGTGCATTTGATGATCTCCAACCCTATCTTCAATTCAATGCACGCATTGAGTCGACGAGGGTCGAAGAATTGGCGTTCAATCAAATTAAATTACCAGCAAATAAATACGAAGGAATTTGGTGGTTGGACTTCTTGACGAGCAATACCTTTCCCACCATGCTCCACTTACCGTGAATTGTACCGTGCAGTAAATGCAGAGCCTATCCAGGATTTCCCGTGGGACCCACAGAGGATACCGGAGAGTGCCGAAAGGCATTCTGCTTATTTATTTTAGGGGGATACGGATTGGGTCCCGCTCGCATGATTAAAAGGAGGACGGATCCCGTGCAAACCGGAATCCTACGTTTTTCTTGCAATTCTCTTGTAGCAAAGATGACGAGGTGAAGAGGCCGCGTTGACCGTCGATTTGGTGCTCTCTCTCTCTCTCTCTCTCACTCTCAGTTCATCATGAGGAAAGCCTGACATTAACCACCACCCTGTAAAAATAGTATGCATAGGTTGCTGCAAGTACAATTATTTATCCCTTTTTTTTTTCCTTCCTAATTTTTATTCTGAAATTTGAAACTATGTTGATTTTTTGAAAAAAAAATTCTTTTGAAGATTTTTTTTAGAAAGGAATATTTTTTTAATATATTTTTCAAAGAACTTCCCTCTTTATTATAATCCATGAAATATCATCGGACGAAAATAATCAGAATATATATGTTACTTATCGATCGATTCATCACTATGTTGTGGATCAATTTAATTCCTCATTTATAAAACATTATTTTGATATCTTCATCAAAGTATTATAAGTCTATTCAAAAATATTATAATTAAAATAAAATGAGCTCATAGTCCAATAGAAACCAAATCACATACAGTTTCACAAAATATCCTTATTAATTAGAAATAAGACTTATATGTTAATTATAATATTTACTTCTTCGGTTGTCTTGTCAAAAAGATATTTTAGGTATTATAATTTTTTTTGAAAAATATGAAAAGAAATATTTATTTTGGTGGAAATTCACCATTGAAACTATTTACATTATAAAATCAACTTTGTTTTGAGTGTATTTAACTAAGACAAAAGAATTCTTATCATGTCAATGTGTCAGTAACATCAATATGGTATATAGCATGTGGTTGATGCAAGTTATAATATTAGATGATACACTGCCCAAAACCAATTCAATCATATGATTGCAGGTTTAGACTTCTCCACAGTCCAAAGCCAATTGAGAATTCCCAGGAGATCTCACATGTGGAGAATGGTGAGCTCTGTCCTGCTGCAGAGAAGAATCTCACACCCTCTGTTAATTCTATGTCAGGCACTGAATAATACACTGCATCTCTCTCTCTCTCTCTCTCTCATGTAACTAACAAAGCAACAAAGGGAAGCATCTCCAAATGCAGGTTTGTGATGGATCATGTGGCATTGGATGATAAATATATGCAGTGAGCCTGTGAAGTATATTTTGTAGTATGTGTCATGTTTTCATTCAAACTCTTTGTTTTTTTTCAAGCATTGTTTGAGGGTTTTATTTTCTATATGTACATTCCTTGTATAGTTTTCATTATCTTCCACAAGTTTTGTGTGCTTTTAAATGGATTTGAGAAGAAACAAAAAGTTCAAGAGATATAGAAAGGTAAGAACAAAAATCAGTAGGAAGATTATTCTCTCATGAATGAGTGGGAAATCTTTCTATGATACCCAAGTTGATCAAGACATAAGTATTCTTATTATAACAATCGCGAGTATTGAGAGATTAAAGATTGGCGTAGAAATATTAGACAAAATATTTCGAATGCCTGATCTGATAAAATTGCTAGAATGTGAACTCAGAAATATATATATATTTTTAATCATGATGGATTCTTAAGACATTTCAAGTATATAATGAATTACTAACTTTGAAGGATATACATGTGCAAGATTTTAAAATAAAATTACTAAAATGGCTAAAATTCTGCCTAGTGCTGCACATTGTGAGCATGAAAAGAAGTATAATCATATACATATGAAATAAAGCTTGTTTAAATCATATGGGCTTCTTGACATCTCCCTTTCCAAAGAGGAAGTGGAATCATTTATTTCTGAAATGGTGTTTCAAAAAGTGTCTGAATTGGCCTCACATTTGTTTGGTATGCAGAAGTGCCAATTGTTGAGGTAGATGATGATGAAATTGTTCTCCGAAAGTTAGAGGTATGCATGTTGGAGTTTGGACTGGAACAGCAGATGACAAGCTAAGAGCTGATGGATTACTTGCATAAACATCATGAACTAAATCAGTGGGAGAGTTTCTTCTTCTTGTTTCCAAGTTTCCCTTTGTAATAATAATACATCATGAACTAAATCAGTGGGGACTTACCTCAAACATGTAGGATGCAGAGTCTCATTGGCCAGAGCTTCATATTGAGCAAGTGGAATGCAATAGCTGATGGCTTGATAATGATCAGGAAACATATAATTGAAATGTGTTCCAATTTCCCACAAAGTCACAGAAGAACTTGCTTTGGGCATGGATCCACCACCAAGTGTTGTGGCTTTTGTATTGGATGCTTTTATCTTTAGAACAATCATGAGGATTGATTTGCCCATTTTATTGAGCATCATCTACAACCTATAAATGAAAACAAAATACTGATATGGGGGTTATACATAGGAATAAAGATGAGGATTTTGTCCATGAACTAAGTCTCAGTAAAAAGGATCTATATTTAACAATTGTGAATAATTCACATGATAGTATAGGTATAAAATTTGGATCAGATCATTTGGCAGGATACAAAAAAAAAAATAAAAAATAAAAAATTAGATCATTGATAAATCTGGTTCAAATGTTGAAATGTCCTACCTATTTATATACTATAAAAAAATATTTGTATTGTTTTAAAGATACATAGTCTTTTTTTTTGTTATAAGATGAAAGGAAATTTATATTTATTTTTATTATCCTCTTTTGTCGAACATCTTAGTCTTATATCCGCTATTTAATGTTATAATAATTTTTTAAAATATATCGATCATCATATCATTACTAATTATTGTATCTTTTTTATTATATTATTAATAACTTTTTATATCTTTTAACAAACAATCCAATTGACTCCGTGTTCGATCTGATTATGATAATAATGCTTATTCGACGCACCAATTATGATCTATATATAATTTTTCTCATTTTTTTTATTTTTTTAATAAAACTATAGGATGAATTTTATATGACTCCAATCAATGTCATGAATCTCTTCACCATTAAGCAATTTTCATGGGGTCAGATTTGGTGGCATTCTTCAACTAAACACCTTAAAGGAAAAAAAGGATTATAATGTTTTGGAAAAAAAGGAGAAAATAATATACTTTTCATAAAAAAAAATGTAGAATAGTTGCACAAAATTATTTGTAGAGCTACATTGCAATTATGAATACAATTATTTGTGGGATAGAAATTTAGATCTACTCTGTCTGCAAAATGCAAATTCACGAGAAGTGATCTCTGGTGATTGATTGATTGAGTTGCCACACAACCTTATTATTTTATTTTATTTTATTTTGATGATAATTAATTAATTAATTAATTAATTAATTTAAAAATAAAACAAATATTTTTCCTCTTCGGATTCTTTTCCTCTCTGCCTTCTGTTGCCGGCATTGGCACAGTGGCATTTTGGTAAATTTGGGGGCTTGATTCCTGGAAGGCGTTCGTCTTCTCCCTTTCCCTTCCAACACAAGTCTTCTCTTCTCTCTCTCTCTCTCTCGCTCTCGCGTCGTGGTTGCCATCGTCTGTCTCTTCTTCTTGTTCTTTTTCTTCGAAGAAAAGGAGCATAATGCTGGAGAGGCCGTGCAAGGTCCGCGCGTCGGCGGATCCGAAGCCGTGGACGTCCGACGGGCGCCGTCCCTCGCCGCCGCCCCCTCCTCCCTCTTCCGCCGCCGCCGAGGCCGGGAATGGGGGAAATTTCGATCGAGTCCTCTTCAAGAACCTCGTCGAGATGGTCCCCCTCGTTGAGTCGCTCATGGTCGTTGGCCATCTTCCGCTGATCGAGCTAAAAACTTGATTTGTTTTTTTGTTCTTTTCGTTTCGATTTTTGGGTAGAGGAAGTAGGGATCACTTTGATCTCTGTTATTTGTCGTTTCAGGATCGGAGGTCGAACTCGTCTTTTACGCGGCGGGCGTCGGTAGTCTACACACCTGCGCCATCCAATTCGAAGAAGGTACGGATGAGCATGTCGCTTCTCTTTCTGTTCGATTACCTTCTGGAAGTTTTGTCTTTTTTCCGTGTAGGAAGATGAAGATTTGATCTTGAAGAGTCGTTTCGTGTTCCTGCTGTTCTTTTCTTTTTGTTTTAGATTTGGTTAAATGTGTGGAAAATTGGTTTGAACAATGTACCTTGGTTACTGCAATTGGAGTGGAAGTAATGATGTTCTCTAATCTATTCGGCGTGATAATTTCTTGTTCTTGGTTCCTGATCCCGGCTGTGGCTGATCCATTTACAATTTGTTTTGGATAATGCTTTTGAAAGCTATTATCTTCCTCTTTGTTTGTCTTGAAGGAAAATATTGTTTTGTTTTGTACATGAGAAATTATCCACATGAAATAGGATTGCAGTGTTTTCATATGATTTTTGAGCATGCAAAATTCATAGTTAATAGTCTTTTGTGTTGCTTCGGATTCACACTTAAGAACTTTGAAGTTGCAAGGGTTCATGTCAATCATAACATTTTCCTAGCGATCGTCACTTTCTGTTCCTGTACTCTTAATCATTTAGGTCTAAATGGGGTGTGCTATAACCTTTTTTTGTCTATCATGTCGCAAAGTTCAGGCTGCTGAATCAAAAGATGGAAGAGCATCTCAAACTATTTCTGCGAAAAAGCAAAGGGATTTAGACACTGCTCAAAGAAACGATCAAAATGGTTCTTCTGATGACTTGTCTATCTTCTCAAGGAATGTGGAAGTTGAGAATTCCCTGAAAGATAGGGAGGAGTTAAGCATATTAAGGGAACAAGTAAATGATCTACAAAGGAAGATAGTAGAGAAAGATGAATCTCTAAAATCAGCAGAGATTGAAATCAACCAGATGAAAGCAGCATGTGCATCCATTGATGAATTGAAATTTCAAATTGCAGAGAAAGATTCTTTGGCTAAATCTATTAATTCTCAGTTAAACAATGCTAAGGTAGGAAACTGAGCTGAGTAATCTCCTATAATTTACTGTTCCATGATGCTGACTTGTTCTATTTGGTTCCCGCATCCTCACCAGGGGATGAGCTGCTATTTTTGTTGGTTCTACTCGAATTACTTTTAAGGAAGTTCTGCTTGTGTCAATGTTATTTCATTAAAACTATTCATCAGTATGTAGTGCCATGTATGCATAGAATCATGCGAATTTTGAATAAATAATGTTTGTAGATGGGCTTCAAAGTTGTTTTATGCAGGCACTAAATGTTGTTTTGTTCTAATTTTCACCATCAACAGCATCAAACATCATTGTTGCCATTTCTTATTCTGCATCTGTATGTTTGCTTTAACATAATATTAACCAAAAAAAAGATGCATTTACTATTTAGTTTGTGGTGTAATTCTTCATTCACGCTACCATCGGATGTCTAATTATTTGAAGGCCCAAGAATTGTGACTTCATGACTATATTTATTCAGACATGCGTTTTATATCTGGAGTTCCCGTTAGGAAGTAAGTAATAATGTCATTGTGACTTCTTTTTACGTTATTGAAAAATTACCGAGAAAGTTATATAGAAAATATTAGAAACATAATTATGCAAATTTCACGGACCTGTGGAAGAAGTACAATGTTTATACTCAATTGAATCAAGTTCTACCAGATATTCCTTGTAACCATATTTTTCTTGTCTCTTTACATATTATGTCATGTGTATGTACTCAAGATTTATTGGTGAAAATAAGGCATAAAGATATCAAAGTTTTTAGCGTACAATATGTGTTTTCTAACTCAAACATAAGGACAGTTTAATGTGAAGAATTCCACTAGTACCAGTAACCGTAGGGATGTTACGAAGATGAAAATTCCCCAGGTACTGGTGACTATATTGCTGTTAGGTGAATATCATGGGTAGTGATCTCAACCAGCTGTTTGTTCTATATTGTTGGTGATATCTATTTCTGAATCATATGCACAAACATCCAGGAGCCGTATTGCATTGGAGTTTCCATCTTAAAAGTTAAGACAGGACTCACTGCATTACCTGACAACATCAAAATAATGAAAATTCTCAAAGATGGTTAAGGGAACCCCTAAGAGTCTAAGAATGTAAAATAATCTGCTTGAAGTCATTCTTTAAACTCTAATTGTGTCATCAGTAGTCCTATCCTTAGGTAGTCATTTCTTTACTAATTTATATAAAATTTACCTTGTGACACTTTTGTACAGAACTAGGTCATGATCCTAGTCAAAGCAACATTGTTTTTGTCTTATAATTCACCGTGATGTTCTTTTTGCTTGTTTGGATCTTTAAATTACTGTATAAAACATTCTCTATTGAAACTGCAGGTATTTCTGTTTTTACTACTGCTTTTAATTTTAGATTTCTTAACGTTGCTGTTCATGCGTCTAATGCTATTGGTCATTGTACTTGCATGATAGTTGCCTAGGCCGTATTCTGATCTGTTATTATCCTTATGTTGACTTGGCCTGTGCATCTCAGCTGCAGGGTTCGATGACTATGAAATGCTAATAGGAACTTTTTCTTAAAGATAGCAACCTATATATTTCTGTCTCTTAACTCAATATATGAAATAGGCACTTGTTGGACTAACATGATGTTGCTTGTTTCCTTTTAATCCACAGATTACTCTTGCAGACAAGCAAGCAGCATTGGAGCGACTGACCTGGGAGGCACGAATGTCTAACAAGAAAATTGAGGAACTTCAAGGGGAAATAATCTCTATGGATTATGAGATTGCTGCATTGATGCAGATTTATGAAAAATTATGTATAAACAACTCAGCTATATTTTCTGATGACGGTCTAACTTCATACAATTTGGAACCCCTTCCAGATGCGGTAAGTTTGTCAACCATTCTTTTATTCTCATTATTCTTCTATTATCATTTCTTTTTCCTTGTCGTTACATTTCTGTCATGCCAAGTAACTTGGTGCTGAATATTTGAAGCAAGTAGAAAATGATGAATGTATGGAATAGCATTTTCATACCCAAAATAAGATACTGAACCAATGCTTGGATAAGCTAGTGCCATCATAATGTTATTTCACTATAGTTTCACCATGCCAAAAACCTGTGCATTTTGTAGGGCTCGATGATCTTTCACTTGCTTTAACCAAAAATATAAAGACAAAGTAGAGTGTTAAAACTAGGTTGGATATCTGACAAGGATGTCAATTATCAAACTTTGGTGATCATATCTATGGTCTGCTAACTTAATATTGAGGTTTAAACCACCAGTGGCATATGCATTTAAGGTAAGGTTGCATTCATCGACCATTGGGAGCTCTTTAGTATCAGGATCTTCATCTCTTGGCTGCCGTAAGTTATTTTTATGATGTTTTTCTATTTTCTTTGCATGTTATATTGACTTCCTGAATTGATCTGACATGTAAAAGAGAAATTAATTGCCTTGTTTTCTCGACACAGAATGAAATCGATGATATCGAAATAGAGAAAATGGAAGAGGCAAGAACATACTACCATGCAGCTGTTGCTGCTGCAAAAGAGAATCCAACTGAGGAGTCATTAGCTACAGCTGCTGAGGCAAGACTAAGACTTCAAGCTCTCCTAATTTAATAACCTAATAATTTTATTGTTTGCGCCTTGTGTGAACCTAAGTGAATGTTATTGTTATTCTAAAACAACTTGCTCATAGTTTTTTGTTTCTATTCCAAAGAACATAGCAAGTGCTTCAATGTTAATAATACATCTGATAGGGCAGTTGTGTTTACACTTCCGTATTCGATCGCACCAAATTGTATGGTCAAATTATGCTTTGTTCATGATGTTTACAAAGAAGAAATGATCAGCGATCTGTCATGTGACAATGTAGTCAAGGTATTCAATGTCCATGGCACGACACTTTTTGATTTTTGTTTTCTGTGGTCGTTTTGGTGTTTTCGAGTATTTTCTCATAGCAATATGTATAGGACAAAAAGTACTATCAATAGTCTCATTTTGATTTGTTTTTAGTGTTTTTATTTTCAATTTCTGTTTCGTAAAACTCGTAAACATTTCTTATCGTGGGGTGTTGTGCTAAGGGAAATATAGTCTCGTTTTCGTGCCATTTTGACTTGTAATCTAGCAGTATAAAATGACATTGGGTCAAATGGAACCTTGAATTATGCAATATTTTTAGTATCCATTTTGTATTCAATGACAATACTAGATGAATGGATTTGCACTTGTCTTCAACATAAACTAGTTGTTTTGTTACTTGCAATCTTGATTATCTTTATCTTTTTCGTACGTGACTGCAGCATATTATTTATAGATATAAATTAACTCGTGGACAAATTTTGCTTGGGTGCAATCCCAATTAAGGACGTGACAAATCAAAATGTGCTCATGTTAAACCATTATTTTACATGGAAAACAACATATTTGGAACATTATTGCAGTATCAATTTCTCAAAATTCTTTTTGTTCTATTTTATCGTTCATTCAGCAATGAATAAATGAGAAGGCATCTGTGGATAGATTTGGAGGATCAGTATACGTTGGTGGATTTCTTTTGCCCTTTCTTTCACTCGATTCGGACATTAGATCACTTCGGGGAGCACAATTAAGGCGCAGCTTATTCATGGGACAAAAGATATTTCTCTTCAATGGAGCACATCCTTTTGCAGTTGTTCCTGCGAATCCATGATACAAACTAAATCAAAGAACAAATGTAGATAACAATTTATAGGTTACAGCATACATTCTTGACTACCAGACATTTTGCCAATCGCCATGAAATGGTTCAGATGGAATCATCAATCCGAAACCTGCTAGCACTTAGATCTCTAAGTCAACAAAAATATCTCTGTTTGTTTCTAGGGTTACATGGACGGGAACTAAATCTTCATCCAAAAGTTGAAATGGAACATTGAGCAACAACAACATGACGGTTCGGATTAGTAGGAATGTTCTCTAGCTTGACATCATTACTGAGTCGCATGTCTGAATTGCTTGGCTGGCAAAGTATCTGACATCCACATCCGGATCCTCGCTGAGCTCAACGAGGCATGGACGAACTGCCTGCTCCACCACCTGTGATTAGTTTTTCCAGCACAAATGAGCACAAACAGATCTTCAAGCAGATCAAAGACAAGGGAGCAAATAACTGATATTCTATTAGTGCTTACGGAATGGTCAAATATGGGTATGAGTGACTGTAGGACCTTTGCCACATTGAATTTAATGTTCGGTACCCTGCAAATGCCAGAGAAATTATTAGTGCATGACAATTTAGTGCATGACAATCTCCACTAATTTGTCAATTTACCTGTCCTTTGAGGCGGTGATGATCACAGGCAATAGCTTTTGGCAAGTGCTCTCAGAACCCAAGACAGGAGCTAGAAGGGAGATTGATTGCAGAATGGTCATGCGGTGCAAATAATGGGGATTGCTTATTTTCTCCAGCAACTAGCAAAATTCAAGCAACATCAGACCCTTCAATTAACAAACTAATCATTTAAAGCATAAATGCAATTAACCTGTAACATTTTTTGCAACCAGAACCATTAGTTAATATGAAAATGTGAGCAGAAATGGTTATAACACAGTAAGAGTTGTTATTTATGCCGGCACTAACAAGGCTGCACCCTGTGTGCAAGTATCAGTATGTGTTTGACGTAAATTTCATTTAATAAATAAAAGATGAAGGCGGAGAGATCAACATTTATGAATTTTCAGTAGAGAAACACAGTTAACGAGAAAACTTCCTATTCTTTAAGGTGAAAGTTAATCCACATGTGAGAAGAATGTTAACAGGAGACTTCTTATAATATCAAGATTTGATATGGAATATAGAAGGCTTCTTATAGTAGCAAGATTTATCAAGTAGAGGCTTCTTATGCTATCAAAATTAGCGTGCATAGGATGTGATTCAAAAGAATCAAATCTTTACAGCACCAAGAGCTTATAGATTTCAAAGTTTAATTTGTACCAGATATTAAAACAAAAAGTATATTGAAAACAGAACAATAAATTCATTCTCATGATATATAAAAAATCTACAAGCTAGCACCCCACTGCATTAAAGTTGTATCTCCTTGAGGCCTAGCAAATAGTTTAAGCTTCAACAACTTGCAGGAATATTCTAATTCTATACGAGTTGAACTATATTCCATCACATGTCATACACTTGTGTGTTGGCATCTGTCTTAACTAATAAACTCTTAATTGGCTTCCCAGGATTTAAAACCACAAACAATTTTCCAATGAAACAACTATAAAGTCTTAGTTCACAGATAATTCCATTTAGAATAACGGCTAATATGATACATTTGCATGAGTGACACGTTAAAGCTAACAGGAACAGTAAAGAAGCAATTCTGAGCACAGCAACAGAAGCCATACCTGTGGCACTATATTCTGCATTGCCCATTCTGGGCCAAACTCTTCAGCAAGACGCTTCAAGTTATTAGCAGCTGCTTCCCGAATAGAGAAAACCTGCAAGATGATCAATATCAATACAACAATCCACGGCCATTGATGCTACGGAAAAGAGAAGGTTATATACATGGTTGTCATAGTTTTATCTTCTTTGTTCCTTAATTAAAGGCTATATGTCATGTACACCCCTGTGTACAGCTAAGAGCTGTATGCAAGTTACTAAATTAGGTCATAGAATTTGTCTTGTGAGCAAACAAACTTAGTTCACTTCTTTTTAACTTTATTGCCTTAGTGAACAAAAGTAGAACAAAAGATTCCTCTGGTGAGTGAACAAACTTAGTTCATTTCTTTTTAACTTTATTGTTTCGGTAAACAAAGGTAGAACAAAAGAACTTGCAGTCTAAACCTAAATTCTGTACAACCAGATGGAAACTCACAGATGGTATAATAGCCAGACACATACATGATCCAGGAATATAAGTTTGACACAGTGATTTAAAAAGCGCTAGGCGCCAAAAGGCGCCAAAGTCCAAAAACGCCCGAGGCGCTAGGCGCTCGCCCAGGCGCTCGCTCGAGCGAAACGAGACGCTAAAATATAAAAATATATAATATAATTAATAAATATAATTATTTAAAATTTTAAATAAAAATATGCTATTAAATTAAGAAAATCTAAGATACAAAATCATAATGTCACATTAACAAAAAGTTTCAAAATTCAAAACAATAAAATTTTACATCAAAATAAAAATTAACAACATTAAAATCAAAATAATATATTATTAATCTATTAACAGTATTGAAAATTAATCATTTCAAAATTCAAATAAACTTAATATTAAGAGTATACTGTATACTGAGCCTGACGGAGAAACGAGGAAGCAGCGACGAGCGGCGACAGCGGGAAAGGGAGTGGGAGGCGCGAGCAGCGGGAGGGCTCGCGGGAGTCGCGAGCAGCGGGAGGGCTCGCGAGAGTCGTGAGCAGCAGGAAGGCTCGCGGGAGGCGCGAGCAGCAACAGTGACGAGCAGCGGCAGCGGGAATAGGAGCGACGAGCAGCGAGATCGGGAGCGACAGCGGCAGCGGGTTAGGGTTGGGTAAGGGTTATATCGGTTTAGTTGGTTCGATTGAACCAACTAACAACCGAACCAGGACCGAACCAAACCTAAAATCCTGGTTCGGTAACTTGGTTTACCCAGGCGCTCGCCCGAAGCGCCCAGCGCCTAGGCTCGGGCAAGCGCCCAGGCGACGCCTGTTTGAAGCGCGCCGCCTGGGACATTAACGAGGCGCTCGGGCCTCGCCTCGCCTCACCCGAGCGCCCGAGCGCCTCTTTCAATCACTGGTTTGACACAACCATAATGTCTGTTGCATGTCACAGAAACATAAATTACATTCAAATACATACCCAAGATTCGATTCCCATGGAGACAAATCACGAGATTGGATACATGTATTAGATGAAAATTTTGTTTGCACTGCATGATTCTTTCAATGTTGAGAAAATGTAAATATTAGAAAATAAATATAAAGGACCTTAGCAATCATAAAGATCCATTTGAATGACATCATATCGTCAATTTAATAAAAAAGTCAGACAGGTGCCCAATTGGCTGATATATCATGTACATAATTATGAGTATACATCATATAATCAATTTAATCAAAAACTTATGTAGGTGTTTTATTAGCAGATACATTATACATATAATTATGTGGACATTAGCTGATACAACAGTGACATACACATAATTACATGAATGGATGCAAGAGTCCAAACAACCAAAAAGAGAGCAGATACGCAATTTGGAAACTGAAAGTATTGACAGACAATCATCAGACGAAGTCAGAGTATTTAGAAATACTAGCTAAAGCTACTACAGAAATTATTGTTGAATCATAATTACTAGAGTTTGAATGTGATAAAAGATAGCACACCTTATCTTCCAGCCACTGCATGCAAAGAGCACCAAGTTTATCATTGAAAAAACCAACACCAAACTGACTGGCCAATAAAGGGATGTATTCAATTATAGCGAGTCGAACTCGCCAGTGTCTATCTTCTGCAAGCTCAACAATAGCTGGAAGCAGAGACTGCGAAAGCAGATCTATTCCAATAACCTGCTTAACATGAGGTTTCTGATCAATTGAATTTTTTAGACGACATATTTACCATCATAAAAGCAACCAAGTTCTACTTTCAGCATGGTCTCAAACCTAAAAAGTAAGCACCAGAAGCTCAATATGTTAAATTTGAAGGTTTAAGCATAGCAATCATAACATGAAATATGAAGCATGTTAAACACATAAAATCAGAGAGCCCTGTGCCTAATCCATATGGATAGCACAAACCTTCCTGTTAGATGAAAACTACAAACTGAAGTTTAATTAACAACTTCCATCAGTGAAAGTTGAAAATATTTCTGGATCAAAAAGAAAGATGTTGCAGACTTTAACCATCCAGATTATTTTCTTTTAGTTCCTCAAGTAGAGTAATGATAAACCAAAGAATCAATACATGCTGGAGAAGAGTTAGCAATAACAGATGTTGACCATAACATGAAACAAGTCCCAACTACAATGAACCCATTGTTTGTCTCGGGTCTGAAATATAAATATTCCATAATAAATTTAGTTCAGCTAAAAGCTGATCATTCCATATCAAGATACCAATCATGCTTTATAATATGGTGGATGGACAATCCAAAGCAAACAAAAAAAGGCCTACTCATAGGTCATCGATAACAAAATCTACCTATCTATAAAATTCAGAGGATAATTTTGCCACTCTATCATGGACATAAGAAACTTAATTCAGATAACAGATATGCATGTAAATAATTCTGAAAAACGTAACAGAACATAAATAACAAAACATGCTCAAGATATGTTCTGGACAGAAGAATCCCAAACCAAAATATGGCCATCTGATCTTATAAATCAGGACTAACAAAAAAAAAAACATACAAGCCACACTGCAGTGGAATAAGAATCCAGCCAGATATCCTCTATAATGGTCACTTTAGTCAGCCCACTTGTAGAGTTCCCCAGTCACAAATTTGCTGCTTAGTTCTATAGAAATAAATGAACTGTCCTCATGGTACTTATCACAAAAAATTCAGCAGCAATTATGCATCAATATTTACAATGTACTTTGAAGTTATTACCTGCTATAGCGTCTTATGTTACCTTTTCAATGAAAATACAGTCATGTGGACTTGAACCAGTAACATGAGATGTGTTAAAGAATGCCATAACCATAATGCTTTGAAGCAAGTTTCCCACAGCATATGCTTTGTGGAGTCAGCATCTGTTTGTTTACAATGTTAATATTGAAATATACATTCTATAGACATAAGATGTTTTTATTTGCTAGCTATTATATGATCTTAATCATATGCATATTGAGTCACTATCCTGTGATCTGTTAAAAGAAATCAGCCATCCAGAAAAAAATGCAGAAGTTGTAGAAAACTGTGGTGGAATAGACACCTGAGCATCAACCTAAACTTAAACAAGTCAATACTTATGGTACCACAGTGCACATCAATGATCAAACATGTAACTGAACTTAAACATTTAGATTATTGAACATATAGATGACAATATTCTAAAATAAGACTAGGTTTCAAGTACAATCTAAATAAGAATTATTCTTCTCATGATCAGGTTTATATCTACCATAGCCCCAGTTAAACTTTCCTTAAGTTATTCCTATTTTGTTAGTCCAAGTTTCTGTTCTTAGACTAGCTTGTTTAACCACATTGGTCCAGAAATGTGTGAAAACCTCACTTAACTGCCAAGGTATCCAGCAGGTGTTTTAAATCCAACCTGATATCTCCAAGTGATGACCTACTACCAACATATATAAGGTCTCGATATCTTCTGTCCTGAAAACTTTGAACTACTACTGATTAGCCCTCTGATGCAATAGGCTACCCTTTTCCAGCTTGGAACTGAATATGTACTTTGTGTAACTAAATATATATTTAGTTAGATATAAAATACCATATGTACCGTATATAACATTGAAAATGTTTTCCATTTTGATCTTCTAGGTGATCATGTTCATTAAAACAGCTGTTGTCGTCTCGGCTAGCTTTACTTTGAACTGAACTTTTAGATGATCCTACAGAAACACTTGCACTCATTCAAAAAAATATAAGGCACAAGGAAATCATGCCAACCTAAATAGGCACCTACCTGATTCACTTGATCAAGCTTGCTAATAATATTGAGTCGAACATCAGGGAACTCATCTTTGAGCAGAGAGAGAAAAATTGGAAGAAGCTCCTCAATAGTTGCATCCTACAAAAATGCAAGTTAGTTAGATTGCTGACAAGAAAAAAAAGTAAAGGATGCCAATAACTTCCAACAAAAATAAATCATGAGTCAGCAAACATATTTGATGATATGAACATGACTAGAAATTATGAAGTGAATTAACTGGTGGTAGTTCCTTCAGAACAATCATTTCCAGCATGGACAAGGCACAGCAGATAAAGTGATAAACAGAAAGAACAAAGATGACCAAAAAGTAGGCCATAGAACAATTGACTAAAATATTTTGTTAAAGCTGAATCATACAAGCAGTTTCATGTGTCAGGTTATCAACAACCATAAACTAATTAAGTATAACTTTAACAGATGAATCAATGATCAAGTTAAAGAATATATCTATACAGGTAAAACAAACACAAGAGAAATGAACATGATCTTTTCAATTAAAATGCATTCCACTCTACATAAAAGTTTTTTTTTTTCAAACGGAGGACAATTAGGTGCCAGTGACTAGACTTGAAAAAAAATAAACATATATGCTACTTGTTTACCAAGTCAATCCACATGAATTTTAGAAACCTACTTTTAGAAAGAAAAAAAAGAACCAAAATTGTTTAAAAAATAAGTGTAGACAAACTTAAGAACATAATAGTTTACAATCAACCAAAAGCAAAACTAAAAACGTACATCCATGCTCTCCCACCTCTAATAGCTCCTTTAACAGCTCTAAACTTATCGTTATGCGCAAGTCTATAGAAGTTATCCAACTAAGTACTAATTGTATCAACATTGATCCTAAGAACCATAGCAAAATTGAATTAAGCAGAAAAAATTGGAAGACATGATAATATAACTGAAATTGCACTACTCAAGGCCCATTTCTTATAATTCAAATACCTTTCCCAAAACTGGAGCCATTCCCATGATAACTGAGGCCAAAGCTGAGCGCACATGCTGGGAAGAATCTGATGACAGTTCCTGCGGTAGATAGAAAGGTTACGAACTGTTAACAAACTGAACAAACTAAAATTAGTTAGAAATGTGCCAGTGAAACCTTGCATGTGTCAAATGAACACCAGCATGGGCCTAGTGAATACCTTTACACAAGGAAGTATGTGCTGAATAGCAAGGTGAGGGTTCAATATCCGGCAGAACTTTGTCACTTTTCCAGCAGCAGCTATACGCACTTCAGCCTCATTATCACGAAGAAGCCGGACATAAGCAGGCACCAAATCCGAACTTCAACAGAATAAATACTATCTCAGAAGAAAATAAAGAAAGAATTAATTAATGTTATGAACAAATTGAGTTTCCTTTACCATGTAGGTTCTGGTCCAACAGCTTCACAAAGCTCATATAACTGATTAGCAACCATATAGCGTACACGCCAGGATTTATCCTATCCAAAAGATGGCCCATATAAATGTAAAATGATGAACAATCCTTACATGGGCAAAATATTATCCATAGTGGGAAATGTTCTACCAAATTAGTACAGGCAAACACATCACAATAAACAAATTTGAAGAACAATGAGCAAAACAGTCTCCAAACTACATAGAGCAACATGGAAGAAAAAACAGATGATCCTGAAACAAAGCATGTATACCTGTGAGAAATTAACAATTACTGGAAGAATATGAGCTACACAATCTTGTGGTTCAAGTAGCTTCCCAAGGGCAGCACAACCCTCAACAGCCAATAAGCGCACTGAATCTTGATCTGACATGATGATAAGTAACCAAAACATATATTAGATGACAAAGTAAAAGAATTTACCAACATACAGGTACTTCAAAGCAAAAGAATAAAATATTAGATTATGCTAGCATGTAAACTGCAATAGTAATGTAAGAAACTACATTCAGATGACTAACAAACAACTACAAATAGCTTAAATACCAGTCAGATAGGTGTGTAACACTATATTTAATCCAAACACTAATGAAAGCCCATACAGTTCAATCCCACTCATATACCGTTTTTATTACTTTTCCAGTTATAGAGGATGTCACATGAAAGTACCGCTTGGAATATCAGTACCGAGCGGGTCTGATAAGTTGCTGAAACTGATTTTGGACAGGTCTTTTGAACCTTGAAACCAGGTACTTTTTTAAACAAGACATTCTCTCAATACAGCTATTTGTTTGTTGCCTCACACACATGAAAATATTACAGTGGAGTCACTGAACAATGATTCAAAGTCTCAAAATGCCATGACAGGGCTAGATGGTAAAACGATAACAAAAATATTATTGGTGCAATATAAAAAAGAAAATTACTACTGTATAATTTTTTGGAAAAAATGAACAATTTTATAAGTAACTACAATTAATCATGTCCCAGCATTCTGTCTGAGGTCAACTATGTGGATTTTTTTCTTGCATTGAATTCTGTGTAATGCAATATCTCTACTTCATTAAAGAAACCCAAAATTTCTTTTTACCGTTTTTAATTTTTTTTTAGGTTTTTTTCTATTTCTCCTTACATCACTAATCTTAATGGACTCATGTTGTATAATAACATATATATTCCTTAACAATGTTCACAATATCATAGATGATTTAAGCTAATTTTATCCTATTGGAGCAAAACATAAATATTTCTCAAATGTATATAGATTTTATTTCGTCCTTTCTAGTAACCGAACACATCCACTTCAAACATTCTCATCTTATTTATACTCTTATACTAATTTTTTTTACATGTTGTTACTTAACTGTCCAGTCCTGTGATTATTAATGGATGGCTAACTTTAAAAATTGTCTTGCAATTTTTTACAGGAACACAATGATCACAAAAAAACCATCAACATTCCTCTCCACTATAATCACCTAGTTTTTGCTTTATTAACAACGCCTTCATCAATCTCTCCTATCTGTTGATTAAATGGACAATAGTGTCACATAATCCTATATTTTATAATTCCTTCCACTAGCAAGTTGGTGAATATGTAAAACTAAGTTCATTAAAATGCTCACATGATGCTTGATCCATCAATCCAGGTTTGTAATAGTTTTAGCTAATTGTTTTACAAGTGGCTTCGTGACGAATAGGCAAGACACTTGACAGAATCAGAACTAAAATTTTCTATACCAGAATTTGGCATTAAAATGACAACTAAATTTGTAATCGATACAAGAAAAGGCTCAAGGTTCAACCAGATATGCATGATGTTGCTGGAGGAAAATAGTGGTTCTGGCGTTATCAAAGGAAATTCTAGTTATCAAATTAAAGAATAATCAGATCAATTATCAAAGGAAACAAACGGTGACACACAATGTAATAGATTAATCTGATGTCCAACAAGTAAAAAAGAAAAGAAAGTTCAAACAAGTACAAAGGAAGTAGCTAAATTACATAAACATGGAACATTTGCATACCATCTCGTGTTAAATCCTCAAAAATAGACATGATATCAGTCTTGAGATTGTTTGCTTCAACTGTGGCAGCAAATTTCCCAAGATTTGATGCGGCAGACCTTCTAACCATAGGCATATCATCTTGACATAATTGTCCATACATAGACCGTAGCTCTGCCTTAAACAGCTCTGTCGCACTTGGGTAAGCAATATGAAACAAACCACAAGAGGAGACTCTAGCAGTGAACCACTCACCACCTGCTAGTCTCTGAATGAACGAGAGGATAGCATGAGAAAACACATTATATGATTAAGTAAACAACAATAAAAGAATGTGTTACATGATAGGCAGTAGCAAAGAAAAATTCTAGTTAAGAGAGTTTTAGAAAGTATAAACATAAAGTATGAGCACCACCATTCTAGCAATATTTGTTTGTCTAACCTTGACTAAAGGAATGAACCACTCTACAATGTCACTTTCCTTCATCTGAGTTCCAATTCGACATAGAGATTCAACAGCCTTGTCTCTGACACAAGTTTCGTCCACTATACATAATGTTTCAAGTGGAGGGAGCAAGACATAAGCAAATTCTACACCACCAATATATGGGACGAACACCCCCAACTCCTCGGCCATGGCAAGGAGCACCTCATCATCATCATCATTATTTTCACTTAGAAAAGGAATCAATTCTTTTCTAGTTCTTTCTTCACCAAGAGCCCGTGCTATGGTAGACAACCTACGAATGGAATTTAAGCGCAGCTGGATGTCTTCATTTTTCAACTCATCAATCAAGATAGCAATTGGATACAGTGGCTCATCGATCATAGCCATCGCAATGGAGAACTCCTTAAAGCTGCAAACAAAGGAAAATATATAATGATGGTACTGTTGCACATTCATAATCGAGTCTTGGTTCATGTACGCTAGAAAATTGTACAGGAAAGATAGTGCACAAAGTTGCCTTACTGTACTATCACACTGCACATTTAAAAATGGATAATACTTGAACAATATCTCCCAGTATATTCATGTTAGCTCTACCAATTAAGACAAGAAATTTTATAGCTTAATCTTCAAAATTAGCATATAATGGCCTAATTTATGCAGGATTGTCCCATAAGAGTAAATTTTCCCTTTCAAGCATAAGGGTGCATGTGAACAGAATAGCTATAATTTAGCTATGACCACTCTAATGCATATCGAAACAATCATACTGCCTTTATTTAGTTAATTAACAGCATCATAGCACATAGGAAGCAAGCAAGCACTGCCCTTCCATCAATACAAAGAATAAAACCAATTTTCTTTCTTGTATCTATCTATGACATGTAACAATTATGCTTTCAGAATTTTTTTTATAAAAAGAACAGTTTACAAGTAGATATTAGTAAAAACTGTTGCAATCTTGTAGTAATGGCTTCCCATGATATCAATCGATGAAGGCGCAGCGGAGAACCCTTTATACAAAGACAAAGTCATTAAGGCAGCACGGAAAGACAATGATACTCACATGGGGCGACCTGTTAAGTAATTGGTCCATCATGCAGCAAGAAAACCGCGAAAAAAGTCATATTTTGGCAACAAAAAAAAAAGGAAAAAAAACCAACGGCAACCTAGAAATCAGGAAACGAGCAAGGATATCTGCCAAACCCCAGTTTTGTACTAACCCCCCTGTTTCTAACAACACCAAAGGGGAAAAGATCCAGCGACAGTTCCCATTTCTCGAATCTGTCGTCCGTGATAGCGGTTCAACTAAATTCAAGATCTCAGATCGAAAAAGGAACGAGAGAGAGAAGGCAACGAGCAAGGAAAGAAGGAATGCGTGCCTCGAGGGTCAGATGAAACCCTAGCTCCACTTCGCGAAGACGGAGGGGAAGGCGAAAGCGGGGATCGACGTCTCGAAACCCTCGACAGGGCTGTGGAATCCTCCACCGCAGGATCGGAAGACTTACGCTTCAATTCGGACGCCAAATCATTTGACGTTTCCTCGTGTCAGTAGTAAGAGCTTATTTACCGCATCAATGGATCGGGTTATCTCTTTTAGCCCAACAACGTCCGACCCAAATCAAGCCCTAAAATAAGAAGGCACCCTTTGCCTTCTCAAAATGAACACTAATGTGTTTGAATTTTAGATAGATTAAAATACCCCCAAAATATTTATTTATTATCAGAGACATTTATATTTTTTTTATTACAAGGATTAAAAAGAAAATAAATCCTATTATATTCGTTATCCTTATATATATATATATATATATATATATATATATATATATAAGATCCAAGTTAGTATTATTGCACATCTCTCTGAAAATTATGTTAATTCTCTGGAAAAAAATTATATTTGGAGGGGAATAATAGATACAAGTGTATAGCTAAATCAGTGACAGCAGCAACCAATGGGCAGCTTGACTTGACCTGCCTGGGTTTTGGTGAATACCATTAGGTGTTTGATAAAGAGAATGATATGAATCTTCAAGAACTCTCACAGTGAATTAAATCTCAGTGGACTGTCAGTCTTGATCCAAAGTTCACAGCTCATCATCTTAATAAATCACCCACTTGTAACCCTTCTCATGAAGAGGCCACTCTTCTGAAGAAGGAAGGACAGCATGTGCACTGAGTGGTTCTGCTTTCGAGTTGCTTGATTATTTTAGGGAGGCGACAATGGGATGCAGATCTGAATCAGCCTCCTTTCCTTGCCGACAATTAGGTTTATTGTCGTCCAGTTCCTGTTTAGCAGAGTAAGAATCGCCATGCACAGTCGTTGTATGCTTCTTCACGTGCAGGTTAGCTGCTGGTTGGAGGCTCTGCACTGTAATCTTCGTTCATCTTCTCTACATGCAAGAAGTCACATGCCACTGGAGGTTTATGACTGTGTTGATGAGAGTTGCTTGGTCAATGTTACAGATCACACCATCCAGTGCTTGGATTCAAATTTAGGCTGGCAGAAGAGTTACTGGAGAATGTTCTGAAAGTGGTAGGTCTATTTATTCCCTTTGCCTTCCCATTTGTTGTCAGGAAAGAAAGTGTGTGCAAGACCAGAAGCCTCACATGTTCTGCAACATTGTATGTGGCTGAGGACCCTCCTTTTCCAAAAGAAAACTACTTTGTATTAAATCAGATGTGAACAGTTCAAGGGAGATGAAATCCCTGCCAAAACAGAAGTGAAAGGAGGTAGATCTCCTCTCCAAAAAAAGCAGAATGAGAAGGAGGTGGGGCACCTCTCAAAACCAATGAGACAGGAGGTGAAGCACCTCTCAAGAAAACAGAAGAGTTTTGTCTGCCAAAATTAGCTAAGTTGTGTGTAGAGTGTTGGAGTTTCTGCTGATATGGGACCATCGGATAACACTGATCGCCTTGGCATAATAGGAAATGTCATTGCAGAGGGATGCTACTGTTCTGTGAAGGTGTCACTGCTCCAAAGCTTCTGTTCTTCCAAGTGTCTGTCCTTTTTCACCTGGTGAAAGATAAGTTTGCTATGTATGTAAAAACTTTCTGACATCTAAAGATCATAGAAAAGCAGATATTGGTTTGATATATATGGAACTAAATAAACTTCAAAGCAAACGCCAGATCAAGATTCAGAATGGCCTCATGAAACCTACTCATTCTGCAATTTGACAAGGTGTATACTGTATGATTCTAGTTCATGTCAGCATCAGGTCATTATGCTTGTAGAAGATAAGGTGCTACGCTGTGTTATCTACAGACAGGAGCTCAACTCCTCGCGAGTCGCGTGGCCAAACCCAAAGAGTGATGATGCACACAAGGGATAATATGAAACCTATGGGACCTGAAGAACCTCCATTGTCAAATGATGGAATCATTCCAACAAACTAGTGGATCCACCGTTTTGTGGCCTTGGGCTGGATTCCACTGATTCTAGTAATGCACATGAAAGAAGACAATAATAATGAAATCATAATGGAGGTTGTTGACCTTTTCTTGTCACCAACTTTGAAAACAGAGCTTCAATTATATCTTCAGCTAGACTAGGATTTTTCTGCACTATGTTCATAGTTGCCCTCTAACTATATCTGCAGCAAATTTACAGATCAATTTCACATCCTTATCTCAGATGTAAGTTGATATGGAGAATCAAGTTCCAAAAACCAGAATCTCCATGGAAGTTTGAGGGGAGACTGGAAATCATAGGATTTCAGTAGCCTACATACATTATCTATTGCCAATTTCATTTAACTAGATGTTAGCACATCGGTCTGCTAGTGTAGTGATGATGCACATGGATGATCACTGAAGCATCACAGCTTCATGTGACCAGAAATCTTATCATTCAGCATCAGTCGAAAAATTTTGATGCAGAATGTCATAATAAAAATCCATGAAGTACTGAACGAATAGAGAAACAGAAGTCTTAGTTTGTGAAAAAAGGAAATTCCAATTTTTCCCTCTACATTCATTAGAAGGGCATGAGGAAATTTAAATATGGACTAATTCACATAGGACAGAATCTTCATGGCAAGTATTTTCATCTCGATGATCCACAACAACATATTAAATATGGTTTTATCTTTTAAATTTATGCATGTATTGTAGCATCTTTCATCAGAATATATACACTATAAACCTCAGCATAGACTATTATAAGGCCCCTGTTTCAGATGAACTATTGTCCTAGATGGTAGGTACACATCTCCCATTTTTTTATTCATCCTTTGGGATAATCAGAAAGTAATAGATAGAAGCTATAAACAAAGTTTATGCCCTAAATGTCATTCTTTGAAACAATGCTTCTAAACAAAATTGCATCTAGAAAACTTGCAATGGAGTTTTGATGCATATCACACTTGAAAATGGATTTAGGAACTTTCAAGAAAGCAAGAAATGGTTGACCTGAATAGCCCCTAGAAAGATGTTGGCAAACTGAAGTACATTAGCAGCCAAAAAGCATGAGAAATTTGTAATGGTGCTAAAGTGTTTCCAATGGACTGACTGAAATTGAACGATGTATTTATTTGGCAGTACCCATCGAACCTCTATAGCATTCTGAAAGGAAGCTCAAATTTTTCTCCCCCTTTGGTTGGATATTAGTGAAATAAAATATCAAGACATGATGATTGATGTTTGTTACATCTAAAATAATTTTTGTCGGATGCCAAAAATCAGAATTCATATAGGGAGGCTGAAATTATTAGGTGTATTGTCCTATATTTCAAGCCTTTTTCTCCAGTGAGATCTCAATTTAGTGGTCAACATCCACAGGAATGAGGCTTTGGAGCTTACTAGTTTGATTCTTCAACTTTACAGAGCAGCTTTCTTGCCATTGTTGTTGAGCACCAAACAAACAGACTATATAATGTTCTACAGCTTCTGATCCTTGAAAATGGAAAGGGCAACATGGCATGCAGCAACCATAAGATCCTTCTGGATCCAAGAAGACAAGCGGTGCCTTTCATGTACCAGTTGATATTTGAGTCGCCGCTTGCCATAAAGCGTACGCAGAAGTTAAGAAGCTGAAGTAACATGAATTCTACAACATGCAGAATGTTTGAATTTTACGATTTTTTTCTTAAAGTGATCATATAGGATATTTAACTCAATGTCTTTTACTTTTTCCAGATTGGAAGATACTCTAAAGAAATTTTCAGAAATTATAGAACAACTATCATCCAAAAGAGAAGAACTAGACTTCAGGTAACATGGTCTGCTTCTGGTTGATAACGGTCCCTTCTAAGATGGCCCTCTTTCTTTGGGATTGTGGTCCATTTCTCAGCTAACTTTCTGTTCCCACCACTTCCCTCATTCTTCTGCAAGCATTACATTTGTGGCATATAATGTCTGACTTAATAGCTTCTAATCGACCAGTTGTACTAGAAACAGTCGATGTCAAAGAAAAATCATGTTAAAAGAACTAATCACATAGAAAAACATTGGAAGATCTAATTTACAATTAGGAAACAAAACTAGGCACGAGTTGTTTTAAGATTTTAAATCCAAGTTGATGTGCTTTATAGTTCTAATTTCATTTTGATAAGAAAGTTGTTCCTGGGCAACAATCAGTTTAAGCTGAAAACTCATGAATCAATCTGACTAAATCAATGATCCGGGATTGGAACATACATGCAGTCACTCTAATTTAGCAGACAGAGAAACATTTTATTTCTGGAACAATACCTAAACTGATAACTCATGCAGTTCCTTGGACTCTAAAGTTACATCTTTCAAAAGTATGTTAGATCAAAAGCTTAGACAAACATAAACAGAAAGATAGAGATCACCTGAGCTCAGGATGGTAAGAACAGAGTCCCACATGCAACTTGTATAATCCCCTGAACAAGAGCAGTAATGTTGTCATTGATAAAAATGAGAAGAAAATGATTTAAACCTGAGAACTTGTATCAAGCAAACTTGTTGATGCAAGGTCACTTTTCTCAGAATCCAGTGCTATGAAAACATTACTCCATATAAACAGTAATTCCAGCAAAACCTCTTCCTTGAGTGACTCCCATGACCAGATAATACAACACATACTGCACCATTAAATTGTCACCTACCAGAATTGATTAAGGAAGAAAGAGCAGTGGGCCAACTACGAAGAGATCCAAAGATTTTCCTCCTCTGGGCATTGTAGATGACAGCAGAAAGGAGATCTGAAGACTGCATCTACTGGGAAAGGAGGAATATATTTACCAATACCCTAACAACTACGATGATATTTCTTGTGCTTGTTATTCCTTCACAGTATCCTCTGCTACTTTAGCCATCACTCTCCGCTGCCTCTGTCACTCGCTTTGTCTCCACACGACCACCATGTGACCTTTTGTGCCCATTCTTCACTTCCTTCCGTGTCAAGATGAGGTGGTTCGGCTTCCACTTGAAAGTCTCCACACACTCCCACCGCTGCTTCCTCCCCTTCTCTCTTCCCGTGTTCCATACATGTATACGAGTCTCACTGCATCTCCCAGTCTCCTCTCCTCACTCTCCTTTCCCAAAACCCAAACTTTAGATCTCGCAGACCTTCAAATGGCTTCTCTCTTCTCTTCCACCACCATTGTGATCCTGCTGCTCTTCCTCAATGTTAGTCTCACCATTTCAGCGTCCACCACCACCACCAGCTCTCCTTCAAAGTCACCGAAGACTCAACCTTTGGGCGAAAAATCCATCATTGACACCGGAGAAAAGGGGGGAAAGGTTCAGAGTCCCACTGCACTCAAGAAAAAGCCAATCTTGGCAACCAAAAACCAGACCAAACTCTTGAAGCCCAAGAAAGCCAACTCCACCACAGCTGCTGCCACCGTCGCCACTGGATCGAAAACCAGCAACAGCACCATCAAGATTAAGCTGGGTAAAAGCCTCAATGCTACCCTGAAAGCTTCAAATTCCACCAAGCTTCTCAAAACCATCAAGCCTATCAAGTCCAACTCCACCAAATCCTCCAAAGACCATCTCAAATCTCTCAATTCTACATCCAATTCGACCAAGCCCTCCAAAAAATCTGCTTTTGATCCGCCCATTGCCAAGAACAAGACCACATCCACTTCCAAAGCGACGAAGCCGCAGCAACCCACCAAGCCACCCCCGTCGAAGAACCCTACCAAGACCAAGGCGAAGCCGGAGGAATCGACAACCTGGATGGAGGGCGATGACGACGTCGACGACACGGATCTCATTTCCGATTTCCGGGATCTCCCCGCCCGCCTGCTCCCGGACCTCGAGCGCCTCTCCACCACCTCCAAGGCCTACATCTCCGCCGCCAACCGCGGCATAGCGGAAGGCGTCAAGCCTTACGTGGGCAAGAGCTTCGCCCCGAAAGTTGCCGCCGTGCTCTCCTCGATCTTCCTCGCGCTCCCCCTGCTCCTGCTCACCCTCCTCTTCCGCCGCTTCCGGGACTACCTCTCCCTCCACCGCCTCCTTCTCTTCATCCAGGCCTACCTCGCCATCTACTTCGCCACCCTCGCCGTGACCGCCCTGGCGACAGGGCTGGAGCCCCTGCGGTTCTTCTACACCACCTCACCAGCTTCCTACACCTGGACGCAGGCAGCGCAGACGTTGGGCTACCTGCTGTACCTGGTGCTGCAGCTGGTCGACCTAGTGTCGGTGTTCTCCGGGGGCAAGGACGCCGGCGGGAGCGGCGCGTCGGCGCGAGCGCTCGCCCTGGCGCAAATGGTGATCGGCCTGGCGGTGGGGATGCACTACTACGCGGCCGTGTTCCACCGGGCGGTGAGCGGGGAGGCGCCGCGGGCGAACTGGCGCGTGCACGGCGTCTACGCCGCGTGTTTCCTCGTGATTTGCGCGTGCGCGCGTGCGGAGAGGCGGAAGAAGGCCTACTACGAAGGGGGCGAAGATGGGAAGAAAAGCTAAGTTTCGGGGCCATACTGGGAAGCGGATTCCAGGGGCGTAACGGGAAGACGCGATGGTGAGACATGAATTGGTAATTCTTTTCTACTATTTATCTTCGTGTCGTACTTTACATGTTATCGACTACATCGGGCTACGTAATCAAGCGTAATAAAGGGAGGAGTAGATTGGGAAGAGAAACACAGGTGCACTGTACAAGACAAGACTTGTCACAAGTGTTACCATTGTGTCCTTGGAAGCCTCAAGCAATCCACACAATAAATCACATCTTCGAGTCTTACATGCTATTATTATGTCTCTATTGAAACATTAGAGTAATTATTAGTGCATTATTGTATGTTTATAAGAGGAGGATTTGAGGGGTTTTAAGGGGAAACTAAGTAGCTTAATTTCCTCTCCAAAGTAGCACGATATTCTTTATATTTAAAATATTAATTTGATCATATCCACCTACGAAAGTGAAGATAATAAGTCTTTGCCTTCTCAACATAGACGAAATTGAGTATCCTAATTCTTTTATCTATCCAGTAGAGGAGCTCTGTACAAGTTTAAAGACTCTTCGAAGATAATGAAAAATATTAGTTGTCAAATCCTCACCAACGATGATTAGTACTACTGAGAATAGATTGTCCGCTTCATTTCCCAATGAAATGTCAATCGAAAGCGGAAGTGATGCGAACTTACTTGGATATAATCCATCCAAAGTGAAATATATATATATATATATATATATATATATATATATATATATATATATATATATATATATATATATATATATATATTGGCATTGGGAAAATAATATCGATGCCACCGTCACTTTGAATTGGCGCTCACCGACACAAAAGAGCAAAGCCATCAATGTTTGAGCCACCGAACTGTCCGTCACGTGTTTTCACTACCGACCAAAGAACTACAAAACAAAAACAATTTGTTTTAGAAAACTGAAACTAAAAACAATGCATCACAAAAAAATAAAGAAAATTAAATTATTATTATTATTAGTATCACTTAAGCAATTAAACGTGGGTTCGATGATTGTTTTGGTTTCGAATCGATTCAAAAATTTAAATTTAAATTATTATAATTTAAATTCGTAATACTCACCAGTTACCATATAATTATTTGTTTTCTTTTTTTTATTGGTTCGATCCGAATTATATTTTCATTAAGTCATTGACTTGATTCACTTTAAATCAACTTTACAGTAAAAGCTCCCCATTTATGGCTTGCTGTTGTCAATTACTTGAAACTCTTCAAGCAATAAAGTCATCATTTACGATAAATGCTTTCTGCAATCAGAGAAACATCCTCTCGTAGCTTTCACAGAAACTGTTTCAGAAAGTGTTTTTTCTTTTACCTGGAAATTAGAATTAAGGAGTGTTTCCAGGTTGCCACCGGTGCGGTCTCTCCACCTGAGGCCGGCGAGCAAGCATCGGATTCCTTCACCCGATCTCTTCCATCGCTTGCATGCTTTGTACTGTGAGCAGGAAAAGAAAAGTTACTCTTCCGATCGCTGGGAAAACGCGAGCTGAGGTACTCTGCTTCCGGCATCAAACTCACAGCAAAACCTCCGATCCATTGGGACCATTTCGCATGCCGGACAGACATATGCTTCGATGCTGCCGCTACTGCGTCTTCTAAATTTGTGACAGCTAAATTCCATGTATTTAAAGCTGTCAAGTCACCTCACTCTCACAGATCACAATGAACTCGACATCATTCCACTGCGTGTTGGATTCTATAGTTATTGGCATATAAAAAGGGATAAGAAAAGAAAGAGAATATTATTAGGAAATTATAAATGCATGAGTTTAGTGGTGAAGAGGGATTAATGAGAGTACACGTGGAATAATTAGGGTAAGATTTATTGAGTCAAATTATTCCCTATTTCCGATCTTGACAGGGATTTGAAATGTTAATAACCGTTGGTCTACTTGTCTCGGTCGAATCACCAAACAGGGTTAGAAGAGTATTCCCATTGGTCGACCGCGTTGGACCCCTCCAAGGCTGTAAATTGGGGCCCACCGACCTCGTGCCATGCGACACGAGGTGACGGTTCAAGCGCCAACCCGCCCCCACCCCTACGGTGGCGTGGTCCCCGCGCACTCGGTGCGTGGGTCTCGTTGGGCGGACGCGTCGGATCTGTGAAGAGGCGGTGGTGATTCGGCCCGACAGAGAAGCGGTGTGGCGTTGCACCGCTCTTTTGGAAGGTGCCCGAGAAAAAGATCCCGTGGATTTGCAGTCCATGTACGAAGGGAGCAGCTGTCAATATCCTCGCACTGCACTTGGATGTCTCCTCCCCTTGTCTTGTGATGAAGATGAGAAGAGAATGAGAGAGAGAGAGAGAGAGAGAGATAGGGCGCTGAAAGCTAAGAGTTGAAAGCCTTCGATTGTCAGATTCTCCCACCTCCGCTCCATTCCTCACTCGTCGTTTCTAGTGCTTGCTGTCTGCTTTCTGAGATGTATTTCCTCATTATTTTCTGTTAATTTGGCTTCTTCGACCGCGCCCAGGCCGACCCTCTCCGTGCCGTTGGTTTGACGGTGTTTCTTCGGGCATCAGCTTCTCTCGGAGGTATTTAAGTCGGCAATCCCTTTTTTAGTGTGAATTTCCCTGCTTTATTCGCAGAATATCAATAACATCGTAGGCATGATTCGATCGGTGCTCTGGGGACATTTTTCCGAGAAAGTGCCGTCTTTAAAGGTTTTTCTTTCAGTAAAGATGCTCCTTTAATGGAATCACTAGGTTTGCATTTAGGGTTTTGTTTTCTCCCCCACCCCTTTTTTGAATTAGAAAAAGATAGCTTTTTTGGAATCTTTATTACGAATGAATATGGATGTTCGGTGCGTTTTCATGCTAAATTGTGGCAAAGTAAAGAAAGGCATGTGGTTCATATCCAAGTAGGTTTATTTTGTGGTTCGTATGCAGGTCCATATCCAAGTAACAATTGTGTGAACTCCGTTGTAGTTGGGATCAATCACTTGTTCAGATACTAATAACATTTGGTACTGGACTAATTTTTATATAACGAGAATATGAGTTAATTCAAGCAATGGAGATCAGCTTAAATGTTTGGCTCTGTGGACATCATCAATTGCTAGGCCATGATATGCTTACCATGTCAATTTTTCTTGTACAATTGCGATTTTATTCTTCAAGTCAACTCTTAAAACTTTTAATTGTCTTCTAGTTGGGATCAATAAACTCCTTTGAGACATACCACAGCGTCAGGTGGTTCTCTTTATTTCTTGAAAACAAATTATTTGATTTCCCGGTATTTTAGTAGTCATGTTGTGTAACTGGCTTTTATTCTATGGGAATTATTTTTGAAGGAACTGGTTGAACAATAAATCTAGCTCTGTGCTTGTTGTGCATTTCAAAGATCTATTGTTCCACTTGATGATCATACACTGTATGAGTTATCGTAGCTAAATCTTGATGCATGTAGCTATGGCACTTTTGTGGATCAGGTCTTTTTGAGGGTCGAGATATATTTCAAAAATCGAGTCAATTGGAAACTTGGAATTATAAACTTGTTCGATGCTTGTTTTGTAGCTTAAAGATCTTTTATCCTGCTTTACGATCCTATTATGTCTGATTTATTGTTTAAAACAAAATCTTGTTGCATTTAATTATGGTGCTTATGTGGATCAGGTATTTTTGAAGGTGCGGATACATTTCTGAAATAGAGTCAATCATAAACTTGAGCTGGTTCCTTTTGTCATGGATAAGATTCCACCAGACTGCCCCTACCCAGGTTGCTTCTTTTGTGTCATGAAGGAAGGCAATCCCAGCAAGCGTAGGACGAGCATCCTGAAGTTCTTCAGGGAGCTTCCATCGCAGGATGATGATGGCCAAGTTCTCCCTATAAGTGGCCTCTGGAACACTGCCATGGCTCATCCAAATGACCCAGAGTTCATTAACTTGGGAATATTTGAATGCATGGCAGCATTAATATGGAAGGGCTTAAAGAACAGGCGCTGGCTTTCACATGACCAGAACATATATATCCCATACTATGCAGCTCATATAATAGGATCCTACACAATGAACATGGAGGAATTTGCTGAAAGGGCAATTCATGCAGGCGTCATTCCTCCCTTGGTTGAGCTTTTGAGAGGTAGACTGACCTGGGTGGAACAAAGGGTAGCAGTCAGGGCACTTGGGCACCTGGCAACTTATTCTAGTACTTTTCCTGCAGTTGCAAGTCACGGAGAAGTACTTGAGCTTGCTATTCAGCTTGCATCAAGTTCTCTGGAAATTGTCTATTCTCATTTTTACCAGTCTGTGGATAGGAGAATAAGCTACCACTGTGATCTGCTTACCCGTGGTATGGGAGGTGTGGAAATGGAGTCCAGGAAGGCAGAGGAATGGGCGAGCCAGTTACAATGCTGGTCTCTTCAACTTATTAACTGCTTTGCTTTCAAGCCAGAGTTTCTGTTTGACATATGCAAGCCAGAGTTTTTAGTTAAATTACCGGGCATGTGGGGTGGTCTTGTTAATGAGAACTCACCAGCAGGTATTGGCTTGCTGCGGACAATTTGTCAACACAAGCTTGGCAGGGGTCCTGTTGCTAACTGTCCTGGTATCATCGAAGCACTATGTAACATTGCCCGATCGTCAGATGACTGGCAGTACATGGCTACTGACTGTCTTCTTTGGCTACTTCAAGACCAGAGCACTTCAAACAAGGTAATACAATGATATATGCCTTCTATTCCATATATATCAATATTTGTTCATTGCTTACTTGCGAAAGAAGCTGCGCATTAAAAAAAAAGGGAAAGGGGTTGCCCATAGTGGTGACTGCTTGGCTTGTACTCTTGCATGATGTGTTGTTTGATAAGTTTTCCTGTCTTCTAGCTGGTAAGAAAAGCTTGTTCAACTTCCTAGTTGGACTTGTTTATGACAAATAATGACTAGAACTAGACCTGGTAATAGATTCTTGTTAAATGCATCAGACTATGTTGGCGTTGTAATTTGTGGTCCCATACCTGAGAGGTGCTCACTCCCAATATATGCATCTTGGTGAAGAAATAATGTGGTACATTATAAAATTGTCCCTGCAAAAAATAAGTTGTGGCTTGGTTTTACAGGATGGAAGCTTCAGAGACAGATGAAATAATAACTAATGAAAAGGCAGTCTTGGAATATTTATATCTTAGTTTTGTCATCAATTGAGCAATAGACATAGATTTGTCACAGCTGTTATGGTTACTCTCAGCATTTAACTTGATTGCCTCAATACCTCAATGTACATTCTAAGGACAGCTCAGTCTTTTGAAACAGTATGAATCATATGATGCCGTATATGGTTTGAAAGAGGGAAAATCATTTGTGGGAGGTCTAGTTAAGTTCATTAGTTATCTTGTATTAACTATTACTAATTTCGTCACTATAATCAGATTCAGTTATCTTCTTTATTCAATGATTACAAAAACTTGTAATGGTTACAAATATTTACTTATATTACAGTTCCTGAAGGATGCTATACTTCTCATTCAATAGGTAATAGATAAGGCAGCCCCAGCACTCACAGATTTAGCAGAAATTTCCACTCTTGGTGACCATAAAAGATTAGGTGATACTATTGTTAGCGTCCTTCAAGAACGTTGCCAGGCACAAGGAACAACACGTAATTATGTCAGCAGCCATACAAAAGAACAGATTGATGAGCTTTTAGGCTCCAGGCAGAGATTGAAATGGGAGAAGAGCATGCCGAAGGAGGATCTCCAAATTAAACAAGCTGCAGCATTGGTTGTAAAGCTTGAAGGAAACTCTTTATTCTCTTCAGGAGATATTTCGGGCGCTGCATCAAAATACTCTGAAGCTTTGGCATTGTGTCCGATGAAGTCCAAAAAGGAAAGAGTTGTACTGTACAGCAATAGGGCTCAGTGTCATCTTCTTTTGCAGCAGCCACTAGCAGCCATAAGTGATGCTACACGAGCTTTGTGCCTTCATAACCCCCCTAATCGTCATGCGAAAAGCTTATGGAGGAGAGCCCAAGCATATGATATGCTTGGTTTAGTGAAGGAGAGCTTGTTAGATGCAATTCTTTTCATCAATGAGTGCTCTCAGTCTACTGATCCTGACCTTTCTTTAAGGCACAATAAAGTTCCTGATTATGCTGAAAGGTTGGTAAAGAAGCAGATGCATGCTGCATGGCTATTCAGAGAAGCAGCCGTAAAGCATGGGGGTATTCATACAGAGGAAGGGGCTGGAGATACTTATGGCCCAGAGGCTGATGACTCTGAGTGGGAGACGGCTAGTGAAAGTGACATAGAAAATGACGGCAGGGATGCAGATGACGATGAAGAGAATGATAACATCCGGAAAGATATGTATGACAAGTCAACTACGAAAGGTATCAAACTGATATTTAGTTAGGAACTTGGAGGAAAAATAATATACTGCATTTTGGTTTGCTAAGTTTGAGATTTCTGTGTGTTTCTAGAAACAAGTTTCAGATTAACGTAAATATTGTGAAGAAGATCAAAGTTTCCTGATGTGTAATATACCAATCCTTGCAGTTTCCTTTATTTAAGTGACTCTTTTTAGTTTTACTAATTCTGCCTATATGATATGACAATTGAATATGATGTTTATTCATAAAGCATTAGTTAAATAGTTAAGTTAGAAAATAAAGGTAAGGATCTTTACTTTGGGGTATTACGGAGGATTCTTTGTTAGGTGGTTTTTATCACTTCTAATGATATTCTCAACAAAGTTGATAACATTTGTGAAATTGTTACATTTTGGTTGCTTTGGATTTATCGATTGCAGAGACTAAAAATCAGCTCATTTGACAGTGATAGTTATCTGCTTGCTTAGGTAGGATATCTAGTAGAATTTACAGAATCATGAATAAGAAATCCTTAGCATTCTTGGAAGTGTGTTTGTATGCCCCATTTCTTAGTGTCAATTGACAGCTCATATCACTAAATAGTGGACAAAGACATTAGACATCATCATTCCATATCATTGAAGGGTGGACAAAGATATTAAACAAATAGTTTTGAACCTTTGCTTTTACCAGTGAAACTCAGTAATTGAAAAGGAAGACAAGATATTATGTCGTGTTGCACTGTGTGCACCAAAATCAGCTTAATTTTGCCATGTATATGTGATAATAGGACCATTTACCTATCTTCATGTGGGATCGTATGACTATGATCCACGAGTTGCTGCAGGAATCCTTTTCTCACTGGTTTCACCTGCTGTTTTCTTGTTCATTTTGGTTTATTATCATTTTTTAAAGTCATTTAGATTGTGCTTCTGAGATTGTTGTCGTTGAAGTTCATTTATACTTCTCAAGCTTGCTTCTTGTGCAATGTCATATTATGGTTTTGTTTATTATTTTTACCCTTTAACTTCCATTTGCTTTTTCCTACATGTTTTTGCCAATTCTACTCTTATGACTGATCTATGTATGCCTTAATTAGAAATTAATGCCCCGAGGAACAAGGAAAATGATTGTGTGGTATATTTAGTTCTTTCTAAAAATGTTTTTGATGCTAAATAACTGGATGTATTAGGGGTTGTGGAAACCGTGGGAACAATTTAATAATATTTCTTAATGGAGAATAAGAACTGGCCTTTGTGACTACACATTCTTGAAGATGCTGAGTGTCAATATGACAGAATCAACTCTATAGGTTAGCATGCCTGTACATATAGTTAAGGAAGTTGATTCGTCATGAATGCTCATTACAAGAGCGACTTCTCTGCCAGCAGGTATTAGGGCACAATTAATTTAACTTGGAGTATTATTTGCAGTATACATCACCACTACAGGAATTTAACTTCTTTCTTTATTGCGGTAGATTAATTTTGTGGAGACAAGATTTAATGTCAATACCTCAGGAGTATTATTTTAACACTTTGTGCTCAGAGTTTTATTAAATTTTATTGAGTCTGGAGAGCTACCAATGTCTTTGCTCTTCATGCTTTTATTTTTTTTCATTTTACTGTTGTTTCATCTGAACCATTGCAATAATTTAACCAATTTTGTTATTCCAGAGGATCAATTTTATGGAGGTAAGATTTAATGTCAATACCTCGGAAGTTTTATGTCAACACTTTTTACTCAGATTTTTATTATACATATTGGAGTATGAAAAACTAGCACTCCTCTAGCTTTTACTTGAGTATTCCGCCATTATTACATTGGAACCATAGCAAAGGGCATTTGGCATGCTCTTCCCTTTGTGATGCAGCATCCTTAGACTGAATGCCTTCTTCACGATATTGTAATTGGATCTCCTGAAAACCACCAAACTTGATGTTGCAAGTTAGTTTGCATTTCTTATTCTATGTTCTAAAACACCATTCCTATTTATCAACCATAATCATGTTATTTTTTTCTTTTAGTGGCGGCATTGGACGCCATCATTCATTGTGTGTTAGCATTTGTCAACTCTACAGGAAGAAAAATATAGTACTCGGATTTCCCTTGTGGAAGAGCTCTAATCGTACTTTGAACTATTTGAAACAGATTTGGTTCACGGATACAACATGCTGCTTGCAGAAGATGAGAGGTAAACTCTATGCAAGACTTGTCGGCACGAATTTAGCTTCTTGTTCAGACTTTTAAAGTGTTAATAGGTGTTTCTGCTAAGTTCTTTGGAGCGACTTTGAGGAACCTGGGCCTTGTGTGAAGGTTGAATCCAACTGTTACCCTCATCTTATTATCCACTAATGAACTGCAATATGAATAATTTCTTTTGCCGCTTGTGATGAGTTGAACAAATCCAGTGTTTTATTATATCTCCATGGATCAAAAAAGCTTGTAGCTTTCTATATCACATCAATTATGCCTACTTGATGATTCTTCCATTCCCATCAACTAATGCTTTTGCTACTGTAGCACATAGCTTAAGAGTTTGAAGGAGAAGGAAAAGAAACCTTGCCTTCCGTTGACCACGCTGACCTTGCTCCATGGTCCCAGTGGCCAAAATGGGATGCCAGAGTGAGTGAGTGAGCGAGCCAGAGGATGTTGTGTTGGTCTACTCAGTGACATCAAAAATAAAAAATACTATTATATTTAGGGTCCTTATGTGTATTCGTTTGACTAAGATGGATGCATTGTATGTATTCTACCCTTCATTGCTGCACACCATTATGTTGGATCTGTGTCAAGTTCATTGACATTTCAAACTCGTGTGTCATCAGCTACCCTTCTTGTGCTTGCTGTTCTTGTGAACTCCTTTAGTTGGCACACGCATCCTACCATCTAAATCCAAAGTTGGGTTGAGTTTATACATGCAGACTTGATGTCTCCATCCACAATTGGTCGTCTTAGTCAAAGCTAGCCTCCCTTCTCTTGCCTCTTCCCATCATGTTGTGGGCCGTGCCGAACAAAGGAATCGAGAATGGCAGAAGCGCATATGGCTTCACCAACTCAACCACCAGTCTTTGCCTCCACTCTCGCCTTGAGATCGTTCACCCACTCATTTCTTTATGTTTCTTTCACCAAAACTTGATAAGAGAGTGCGATAAGACGCTCTTACCAAAACTTCTTATAATGCGATTGGCATTTCGCTGTGTTTGGTAGACATACTTCTCTGCAGTTGCTGCAGGGAGGATGGCAGGAGGATTCATCATCGATGGTCCGAGTCAGGATTACGGTGCAAGGCTAACAGCATCTGTGATCATCACCTGCATCATGGCGGCTTCCGGTGGCCTGATTTTTGGCTACGACATAGGGATTTCAGGTGGGTTTCGAGTTCATTCCACTTATTGCGTGAACTGATTTGCTTCAGCTCGAGCGTTGCTGTTGCTGATGGTGGCAGTATCTGCTTGGCTTTCTTTGGATCATGATTGGTTCCTCAGGTGGTGTTACGGCCATGGAGTCATTTCTGAAGCCCTTCTTTCCCAGTGTTCTGAGGAAGATGGCCGACGCCAAGCAGGATGAGTACTGCATCTTTGACAGCGAAGTCCTCACGGCCTTCACTTCTTCCTTGTATATTGCCGGGTTGGCTGCATCGCTTGTCGCCGGCCGTTTCACAAAGGCCGTCGGACGCCAAGCGGTCATGTTGCTTGGTGGCGTCGCCTTCCTCGTCGGCGCGGCCATCAACGCCGCTGCCATGAATATCGAGATGCTCATCTTGGGCCGTATACTGCTTGGAGTTGGCGTCGGCTTCACCAATCAGGTGAGTCTGGCAATTGCTACCATCACTTCGGCTAAGTTGAAGCTTTCGAGTTCGAACCAAGATCGATGGCGTTGCACGTATCATGTGACAGGCCACGCCGGTGTACCTGGCGGAGACGGCGCCGCCGAAGTGGCGAGGGGTCTTCACCACCGGGTTCCAACTCTTTATCGCCGTCGGCGTGGTGGCGGCCGGCCTCACCAATTATGGCACCTCCCACAACTCCACCTGGGGATGGCGCCTCTCCCTCGGCCTGGCCGCCGCGCCGGCCGCCATCATTTTACTCGGTGCTCTCTTCATCCCGGACACCCCCAGCAGCCTCGTCCAGCGAGGCAAGCTCGACGACGCCCGCGCCGCGCTCCGCCGCATCAGGGGCCCGGCCGCCGACGTCGAGGCAGAGCTCAAGGACATCGAGCGCTCCGTCGAGGAGGCGTCCAAGATGGAGGAGGGCGCGTTCCGGAGGATACTGCGCCGCCGGTACCGGCCGTACCTGGTGATGGCGGTGGCGATCCCGCTGTTCCAGCAGCTGACGGGGATCATCGTGATCGCCTTCTTCTCGCCCGTCCTGTTCCGGACGGTGGGGTTCGGGAGCGACACGGCTCTGATGAGCGCGGTCATCTTGGGGGCCGTCAACCTCGCGTCGATCATCGTCTCCACTTTCGTGGTCGACCGCTACGGCCGCAAGCTCCTGTTCATGGTGGGCGGAGCTCAGATGATCCTCTGCCAGGTACATTCCTCTTTCTTCTGCATCCGAAAGCACGCAGTAATCTCGTGAATCCGCACTGAAACTTGTTCCGTTGTACGTGGAGGTGTCCGTGGCCTGGATTCTTGGAGCCAAGATAGGCTCCGACGCGCAGGCCGCCTTGCCGAGGGGGTACGCGGTGGCGGTCCTGGTGCTGATGTGCGCGTACTCCGCCGGCTTCGGCTGGTCGTGGGGGCCGCTGAGCTGGATCATCCCGAGCGAGATCTTCCCAGTGGAGATCCGGTCGGCCGGACAAAGCATTAGCGTGGCCATCAACATGGGCCTCACCTTCGTGCAGACGCAGACCTTCCTCGCCATGCTTTGCCGCTTCAAGCAGGGCACTTTCGCCTTCTACGCAGCCTGGGTCGTCGTAATGACGGCGTTCGTGGCCTTGTTGCTTCCGGAGACCAAAGGGGTCCCGCTCGAGTTCATGAGCGAGCTGTGGAGGCGCCACTGGTACTGGGGCCGGTTCCTCGTCGATGAGCGGGACCACGTCGCCACACCTCACCCATGACATGACCGAGCTTAATTCTTCGTTCTTCCTCTCCTTCTCTTCGCCATCAGTCCTCCGTTGCTTATAAGCAAGCTTCTGTAATGTACGTGGACGGAACCCAAACCATGACCACTGAGAGGAAGCTTAAGCTTGTGTTCACTCTTTGCTTTCACTACATAGTTTGGGCCATAAAGCATATATGTATCCAAATTCCTTTGTCTTTGTGACTGGCCATGTAATGGAATCTAATTACCATGTAGAATGTGAGTACTATCAGATGAGGAGGCATCACAGTTAACGACACAGTTAGTAGGCAATGCAGGTCTTTATCTCTTACAGGAAAAGGCGGTAAGTCCACCCTCCCACTAAATAACCTCCTCTCCACCGCTCCATTAATCGCTCTTCGATTGTAGTGCTTGCCGTCTCCTCTCTGTGTCTCCCCGATGGTTTCTGTTGATTTGGCTTCTTCGACCGCGCCCAGGCCGATCCTATCGGTGCGGTTGGTTCGACGGCGTTTCCTCAGGCATCAGCTTCTTTCCGGGGTACTTAGGTCATCAATCCCTTTTTTTACCCTCGATTTGCCTGCTTTTTCTTTTTGGCACAATAGCATCGTAGGCATGGTTCGACGGTGTTCTGGGGGCGTGCATTTGAGAAAGAGTCGGTGTTTTATAGTAGTTCGAAGGCTTTTCTTCTGGTGAAGATGCTTCTTTGATGGATTCACTGGGTTTGAATTTAGGGTTTTGTTTTCTCCCCCACCACTTTTTTTTGCATAGGAAAAAAAAGATTACTTTTTAGAATCTTTAGTACGAATAATTATGGATGCTCGATGCATTTTCATGCTCAATTGTGGCAAGGTAAAGAAAGGCATGTGGTCGATCTGTTCCTTGTTTTCAGGTTATTGGGTTGACTGTCTTTTTAACGCAATGCTTAGACTCCTTTGATGATTTTAGGTACCTTGTATTGCTGCCGTGCTTCTTTTGCTGATTTTGATTTATCGAGTGAAATTTGTAGTTGTCTCGTGATCTATGGAGCCGAACGCAAGGGGAGTCGTTGGATCTCCATGTTCATATCCAGGTATTAGATTTATTTTTTGGTTGATAATTCCGTGTCCATATGCAAGTAACAATTGTATAAATTCACTTGTTCGTGTCCCAAGAACATCTTGGTACTTTTACTTTTTCTCTTTATAATAAGGAGAAGAGTCAAGGCTTGGTATGAGTAAATTTATGTAATTAGGGATAACTACGTTTGACTCTTTGATTGGTATTGCAATATATCATCAATTGTGATGCAGTGCATGATGAGCATTGAATGTTCTCAAGTTTCAAAACAATAAATTTCAAGCTCATCCCCATCAAATTTCAAGAAAATAGTTTGTATCTTGATATAATAATGAAAATTCAAAATCACCAAGGTACAATACACTATGAATTTAATATGTATTATAATTTGTACTTGACTCTTAGTAAATTATGACTCATTAAATAGATGGTTGAGGGATCCAATGTACAAGGGATCTATAAAAAGGGAAGGAAAAACGATTGGTGGGACATTCTAGTTTTTGAAACCTCATCGAGCTTTTATATTTCGAACTATTAGCTCTTGGTCTCTCTTAAAATATAGAGAGTTCTTTTATCCTCTCATGTCTCACTTCTTTCTTCACCCTCTCTTTGTCTTTTCCTTTTTTTTGTTTTCACATCAAATTACAAGACCTTTAATATGCTTACCATCTCAGTTTAGTTCAAGGCGATTCCAAACCAACTTGATCGGTTCAAGCCCACTTGACATAATTGAAATCAACTAAATCTAAATTAGACCATCTAGGATGATTTAAGATCTATTTTATAAGGATTTGAGGTTGGTTCCGTTTGGTTCTAGTTGAATTAAGTTTGGTTTAAGTTAATTAAGCTATAAGCTATTTCAATTAAAGTTTTGGTTAAAAAAGATTTATTTTTATCAGTTTTTGATAATTCCTTATTGATGTGTTTTATCCTATATTTATTCTTAGAGTAACTTAAGAAGTAACCTACTACTTTATAATTGTCATGACCCGAGTCTGATGAGCTAAGTAACCTATCAACTTCGTTTGATCTAAACTACTAATCAAAATACTTAAATTGAAATTGATAATAATATACTCATCAGATCCATATAATTCAATCTTAATCTTATCCACTTCCAATGTAGGACTAATTGGGGGTGTTACAATAATAGGAATGAGATTTTAGTGAAGAAGATTTTTTCATCACTGTGGAGAAGATTTTTTTTATCACTTATGAGATGCAATTTTTTTTTCAGTAAAAAAATGAATTAATAGATAAAAAAGCATCTATAAATTATAAATAATAAAATAATAATTTATTTTTTTATACAGTCCTGGTATCATCTAAGCACTCCAATGATCAGATGACTGGCAGTATATGGCTATTGACTGTATGTTTTGGTTACTTCAAGAACAGAGCACTTCAAAGTTTAAACAAGGTAATACAACCTTCTATCCCCGTAATGTATCAATGTTTGTTCGTTGCTTACTTGCGAAAGAAATTGCATATAGGACTGCTTAGTTTGTACTCTTGTATGATGTGTTGTTTAATAGGTTTTTCTGTCTTCTAGCTGGTAAGAGAAGCTTTTTTGCATTCTTTTACTGGTTCAACTTCCTAATTGAACTTGTTTATTTCAAGTAATGACTAGAATGGTGCCTGGTGATAGATGTTTTTTAACCGCATCAGTGATGTGAAACAAAAAGAAAGAGAGACAAAGAGAATGAGATATGGGAGGACTAAGAGAATTCTTTCTATTTCAAGAGATATTAAGAGTTAATAGCTCAAAATATAAAAGCTTGATAAAATTTCAAAAACTAGAATGTCACCTTAATCTTTCTTCCTTTCCCTTTTATAGATTTCTTGTACATTGAATCCATCAAATACCTAATTAATGACTCATAATTTATTAAAAAATAAATATAAATTATAATATATATTAAATTTATGATGCATTGTGCTTTGATAGTTTTAAAATTTTATAATTATTTTAAAAAATAATCATTTTTTAAAATTTGACAGGATTAAATTTAAAATTAATTATGTTGAAACTTGAGAGCATTCAATGCTCATCATACACTGCACTGTATCAGTCAGACAAGGTTGGCACTGCAATATTTCACAAATCTTGCATGAGATCTGATCTAGTGGTTAGACTAAGTTGGGTTAGACAATATGTTGCACAACCACTGTTATGCTTTTAGGACCACACATGTTTGAACAGATAATTTCAAATGAATTCAATGTATTTTAACCTCTAGCAGCTTATTGGTATTTACTAGAGACACAGTCTTCTTCTTCAATCTAATTACTCAACCTATTACTCCTCCATTCATGACTGCACCATTATCTTGGATCTTTGTCAAGATCATTACCATTTACTTTCTTGGAACAGACAGTCTCCATTTTGCTTTTCATCAGCTACCTTTCTTATGTTTGCTGCTGTTATTGTAAACTCTTTTAGTTGGCACAGACAACTCACCTACTGAATTATTGATTGCCAGGAAAGTCAAACTTGGGTGGACTTTACACATGCAGAAAACATGCCTCCAGCCACACCCCCCTATGTCTTACATCTGAATAGTATGGTCAAATCCACATGTCTACCAGCAGGTAGTTATTTTTACAGTTAACAACCCATTGGAAAGCTTCTAACTGCACAAAAGAAAGTTAGAGAGTTGTCTTTCCTCATATCAAGAGAAAGAGGTGTGTGTGACCGACTATTCTCCTATTACAAGAGGGTGTTCTATGTTTTCTCATTGTATTAGGTAGCAGTTGTAGATCTCTTTATCATAGTGAAATCCTTTTAGCCTTGCTAAATCTGTTTGTGTTGAGTATTTTTTGCCCTTCTCAGTTTTCAGCTGTAGCTGCAAGAGATTGTTTCATTCTCATGGAGTTCTTGACAACCTTGGAGTATCGTCCCACTGGAATTCTAATTGAAAGCTAGCTTTCCTTCCCCTTCCTCTTCCCATCATGTTGTGGGCAGTGCTGAATAGTGGGAGTTGAGAATGGCAGAAGCGCCGAGGCCTCTACCAACACAACCACCAGCTTTTGCCTCAAACCTCACCTTGAGAACCTTCTTACGGACCACACCCACTCGTTTCTTTATGTCTCTGTTCTCTGGTTGTCATTTGCTCCACTTGTTCGATGTTTCTCTGCCGAAACATGATCAGAGTGCTATAAAATAGGTAGAAGGGAAATGGCAGCAATAGGTGGACTGATACTTTGATAGGCAGGAGCAGGATTCATGGCTGATGGATCGTCCGCGGATTCCGGTGGAAGACAAACAGCCTCTGTGATCATCACCTGGGTCATGGCGGCATCCGGTGGTCTAATTTTTGGCTACGACATAGGGATTTCAGGTGGGTTTCAAGCTCAAGCCATTTCTTGCATGAACCGACTTGTCTCAAATAAGTGTTGTTCTTGCTGCTGGATTCATTGACATGGAAGAGAAGCAATGTATGATCCTTGGTTTATCATGAGGCTGACATGATGCCAGTATCTCTTGGCATTCTTTCGATCAGGATTGGTAGCTAATTGCGTTACATGTCTTCTGCACAGGTGGTGTCACGGTTATGGAGTCATTTCTAAAAACCTTCTTTCCCAGTGTTCTGAGCAAGATGGCTGACGCCAAGCAGGGCGAGTACTGCATGTTTGACAGCCAAGTCCTCACGGCCTTCACTTCATCCTTGTATATTGCCGGATTGGCCTCATCACTTGTCGCCGGCCGTATTACGAAGGCCGTTGGACGCCAAGGGGTCATGTTGCTTGGTGGAGTCACCTTCCTCATCGGCGCGGCCATCGATGCCGCCGCCGTGAATATTGAGATGCTCATCTTAGGCCGTCTACTGCTTGGAGTTGGCGTCGGCTTCACGAATCAGGTGTCTGGCAATTGCTACGATCACTTCAGTTAAGCTGAGGCTTTGAGTTCGAACCAAGATTGATGGTGTTGCACGAATCATGACAGGCCGCTCCGGTGTACCTGGCGGAGACGGCGCCGCCAAAGTGGCGGGGCATCATCACCACGGGATTCCAATTGTTTATAGCCATTGGCGTGGTGGCAGCCAACCTCACCAACTACGGCACGTCCTACATCTCCACATGGGGCTGGCGCCTCTCCCTCGGCCTGGCGGTCGTGCCCGCCGCTGTCATCATCCTTGGCGCTCTCTTCATCCCGGACACCCCTAGCAGCCTCGTCCAACGTGGAAAGCTTGACGAGGCTCGCGTCGCACTCCGCCGTGTCCGGGGCTCGATCGCTGATGTCGAGGTCGAGCTCATTGAGCGCTCCGTCGAGGAATCATCCAAGATGGAGGAGGGCGCGTTCCGACGGATAGTGCACCGCCGTTACCGACCGTACCTATTGATAGGGGTGGCGATCCCGTTATTCCAGCAGCTCACGGGGATCATTATGATAGCGTTCTTCTCGCCCGTCCTGTTCCGGACGTTGGGGTTCGGGAGCAACACGGCTCTGATGAGCGCGGTCATCTTAGGGGCCGTCAACCTCGCGTCGATCCTCATCTCCACCTTTGTAGTCGACCGCTACAGCCGCAAGCTCCTGTTCATGGTGGGTGGAGCTCAGATGATCCTCTGCCAGGTACATTCCTCTCGCTTCTACAGCTGAAAGCACGCAAAACTCTCGTGAAGTAGCACTGAAACTTGCTCTGTTGTACACGGAGGTGTCCGTGGCCTGGATTCTTGGAGCCAATATAGGCTTTGACGGACAGGCCACTTTGCCGAAGGGTTATGCGGTGGCAGTCTTGGTGCTGATGTGCGCATACGCCGCCAGCTACGGCTGGTCGTGGGGGCCATTGAGCTGGATCATCCCGAGCGAGATCTTCCCGGTGGAGATCCGGTCGGCGGGACAGAGCATCAGCGTGGCCGTCAACCTGGGCATCACGTTCATCTGCACACAGGCCTTCCTCGCCATGTTGTGCAGCTTCAAGTATGTCACCTTCATCTTCTACGCTGCCTGGATCGTGGTTATGACGGCGTTCGTGGCCTTCTTCCTTCCGGAGACCAAAGGGGTTCCCCTCGAGTCCATGGGCGAGCTGTGGAGGCGCCATTGGTACTGGGGCCGGTACCTCGTCGATGAGCATAAGCACGTCGGCACACCTTAGCCATGAGCGAGCTTAATGCTTTCTTTTCTTCTTTTCGCCATTAATTTTTTATGTTGCTTATAAGCTTGTATAACGATCACGAAGAAATAAATACAAGGCATTAACATTAATTTCCTGCATCGTCCCTGCCGTATACTTGCCCTAAACCCAAAGTATGACCACTGAGAGTAAGCTTAAGCTTGTCTTCTTGGCCAGGAAGAGCTGTGTTTTTTGTCTTTCACTCCACAGTCTGGACCATACAACAGATATGTCCATGACTAGTGGTGCAATGGAATTTTATCTGAAACAGGGATTGCTTGACCTCAGTTCTCTTCCAGGTTCTTTAGAAGATGCCATTTACTGCTGCTGTAATCTGATATGTGGTCACAGATACATGCATGATCTCATAAACTGGTGATTTCTATTACTGTCATTGGGAAGATCTGTGGAAAAGCCTGAACAGAGAGGATGAACTTTTTGAAGTCCAACATTAGATTGGGGTAAGAATGCAAGAGGTGTCAAGCTTAGTGACTTTAGCTGTTGAGCTTCAAAATTGTGCACTATTCAAGTTGCTGGGCAGTGACAATTATTTGGGTTAGACATTGATAAGTGGTTTTAGGGCAACTGTTTGAGAATTAAATGCTGAGATAAGGTTATCTTGTTCATGTAGAGATGGAGGTTTCTTCAGCTTAAAATTAGTGTTAGAACCCTTGAGATGTGAATTATAAGCCTCGATGTTATGCCTCGACGAGAGCATCATATGAACTAATTCGACCGCTTAGAAATACATATAATTTTTTTTATCAAAAGAGAAAAAAAAGATAGTCGAGATTCTCACCGATATGAGGTTTGAGAAGAATCAATATACCAGAGGTTATTTTTATGTTTACGACTGAATGAGAATTGTTTTACATATACGATATATTTTTAATTACATTTTAAGATTTTTCTCTTTCTTTTATGTAATGAATCTGATAAAATATTTTTTTTCTTTATCCATGACATATGAGACTTCATGTGGTATCCAACAAATGGGGCAGGGGATTAGGTAGTGGAAAGAGCTTCTCCTTCATTGCTGTCACTTACAATAATCATGAACAATCTTTCTTTCTACCAAATATTTCTTAGACAAAAGACTTGAAGAAGCTTTCACCCTAACCTTTTACCACACAGTCAAGCAACAACACAGCTCTTTCTTTATATGAGATGGGAGTTAGATGTGACTTCTTAGTTTACTTATAAGAGTCAATCTCTTACGGGAAAATCCATTTATTAGTCCACCTGCCCAGTAATTAGAGATATGGACATGCAATGGCTCTTCCGAATCTAAGACAATTACAAGTGTTTGCTCCTCAATTAGGAGGGTGTGACATATGATCTTCATCAACTTTGCCAGTTGTTGCTTGTGATGCATTATCATTGATATCATTGTTAAGGAATTGGAAAATGACAAGATGTATTATTCTTTTGGCTACTTGGATTCTTCCTATCATTGCTGCTGCTTTGTTCTGTCACTTCACTGACATGACACCCAAGTCAAAACCCTAACTGCCAGAGATGCCATGTTTCTTCTCTACTTTGAATGTACTCCTTAAATTCATCTAGAAGGATCTGCTTGCTTGAGGAAAACATCATAGTTTATATTGCATTTGCAGACATTTCTTTCTCTGCAGGTAGAGGTGGGCCTCAATACCTGCTGTTTACTCTAACTAAATTATACATAAATGTATCACAAATTGAGATGAATTTTACTTATCTTTAGTGCCTTTCCTTCTTACTTTCATTGTTAATTGTGTCTTCAAAAAGATTATGATGCATGAAAAAGGATTAATCTGCATGATAAATAGAAGCTTTTCACATAATCCTATCAGCAGTGCCTTTACTTCTTTTTCATTGACCTGACCATTACTGTCCTGGTGATCTCCACACTGTGGATATAAGATAACGTTATTCTTGTTAACAGGAGGAGAGAGACTAAGAATCTTGTATGATCAGAGACAAATGTAAACAAAGAAATAAGAAAGAGGCATATATGGATATTATGTGTGTAGTATGTACAAGCGTGCGTGTATGTGACAGTGTCATTAAGCACTGCAAAGGATGAGACAAGATAACACAAAAATCGAACACTCCCAAAGAAAGTTGAGGAAATAGAGACTGACAGCAGCTATCAAGACGTGGAAGAAAGAGTTCATGCAAAATCACCCATAAATGGATCATCGAACAACATGTCAGGCCACAAGGAAGGAGGATTAATCCCACTGTTACCGCAGCTGGAAGCACTACAAGCACCACCCACCAGGTTGCCGATGGAGACGTCGGTGAGAGGAGGAAGAGGTGAATTAGGAGACATGAATGGTGATCCCGGTGAGTTGTCTCCCAGGTTAAACCCCGTTAAGTTGGAGGATTGGTTGGTCTCGCTGTTTATAGGTTGATCAAACATGGAGCACGGGATCTCAAGCTCTGGCAATAACGGGTTGTCGGATGTTTGGCCATTGAAATCTTGAAGAGGAGTTGGAGAAGGGATTGAGAGTAAAGAAGACATCTGGGAGTCGAGAAGACTGTTGGTCTCCAAGTCTGCGCCGGTGATAGTGCTAAGGTGATCGGTACCTGAACTACCTGCCATGGCGGCGGCGGCAGCCAGCTGCTGGAGGTACTGCAGCTGTGCAGCCTGGGCTGCCTCGGCCTGCAGCCGCGCAGCGTGGTCGTCCAAGGGGCGGCCGCCGATGAGCTCTCCGAGCTTAGCCAAGGCGATGAGCTGTTGAAGGGCGTCAAAGAAGTCGGTCCTCGGGCGGTGCGTCATGGGGTCGAACCCCATCTGGATCAGCCTCTTCTTGAGGTGGGTGTTCCAGAAGTTCTTGATCTCGTTGTCAGTCCGGCCTGGGAGATGGGAAGCAATCGCCGACCACCTAAAACGTCCGAAAGCGGTTTACACCGAGAGCTTCGAATTATATGATCATTTAACTACAGTGCAGGAAATGCATGTATTACTTGTTGCCAAGAACAGAGTGTAGGTTGAGAATGATCTGCTCCTCCTCTGGGGAAAACCTGCCTCTTTTGATATCTGGCCTCAAATAGTTAGTCCATCTTAGCCTGCAGCTCTTCCCACATCTATTTAGTCCTATAGCAGAACACAACCAAATTTAGATGTCAGGATCCAACCACACACACACACAGAGAGAGAGAGAGAGAGAGAGAGAGAGAGAGAGAGAGAGAGAGAGAGAGAGAGAGAGAGAGAGACCAGCTAGCTTTGGGAGGGCTCTCCAGCTGCCATGGCCGTGCTTCTGGACATACTGGACAAGCTTCTGGTCTTCTTCAGGTGTCCAGGGACCCTTCTTGAGGCCATTCTCATCACAGCAAGGGGATCTCCCCATTGAAGTCTCCGGCGGCCAGATCAAGGGTGGCCACTGGGTTGTAGAGAGAGAGAGACCACAACTCCCTCTTAGGTTATCCCACTTCGCCACCCGAAGCTCGGTCTCCCATTTATACACACGTTAAGCTTTAGACTCGGTTGTCCAAAAAGACCAATCCACCCTTCCCTTTCACCTTTCATTAAGCATTACAGGGATCAGAACACAGAGAAAGATGTTTGGAATTCCGAAACACCGACGGCAAGAGCCGCCATCACCCTGTACGTATATATTGCGTACGTGATCTGGAGACGTCCACGTGCCCCAAGGGCGTGGGGTGGTCAAGAAAAGCTTTCCCATGCACGCAACACCGATGGAGAGCTTCTTCGTGAGGCTTCCATGTCTGTCGACGCTCACACGTAACTTTATTTTCCAGCTTGGCTTTTTCTCTTTGCATGCATACAACCATCCCACGTAAACGCGTTTTGCTTTTCTCGTGCATACAACCATTAATCGCACAGTCTGAAAACGCAGTATAGAGACAACTTGATGTATGCATGCGACTTGGTCAGCCCATGATACATGGATGTCCTACTGTTTGATGTCATGTGTTGGTCATCCGAAGCAACACGTAGCCGTACAGCTGTCGGGAATACAGTATATATAGCAGCGTTAGGTGGACATGTCTTGTACATGGATTGACTGAGAGAAATAGTCATAGGATGTGAACTGGATTAAAATGAAAAGAAGCGAGTCAGAAGCCTACATGATCCAAGAAAAGATGCAGCTTTGCAGGGAGATGATGAAGCAAACCCCGCAGTGCGAGATGCTTCAGAAATGGACGATGAAGCATCCATCAGCAGTTGACACGGCGAGTGGCCATGGCGTAGGTTTCTTTGGGAGCAGTAGCAGATGAACGACACTCACAAGGGTCCGACCATCCTGTTCCTCGTGGAAGTTGACAGCTTTCCCACTCTAACCAAACCCTTCTCTCATAGGCTCTCATTGCCAGATAATATCGGGGGAGCTACTTGTTCCTCTTGACCCTCTTATACCTTCATCAAGATCATTAATAAGTGTCACAAACGTAGCTCTTTGACATATGGTTTAATTAGTGAGGACATATATAATGCGACCATGAGATCTCTCACTTGCACCTTTCCTTTGGTTCGTACTGGACTCTAAATATCATGTTGCTTCCATCATCTTCTCCTGACCAATCATCTGTGTGTTCCCAAGAAACAAGAGGTAGTACTAATGTTGTTCTCAGGATCAATATACGGAGAATGGATAAGAAGAATGACATGGTTTCTTCACAGTCCATGGAATGTAACAGGAAGAGTCTTAGGTCTTCCTGTTGTTCTATCACCAACATCATGGCACTATCTCTTGCATGACCATTTAGCGGATAATCTTGGTGAGCACAAGCATATCTTGAGGAGGAAGAGACGAGGCATTGCAAGGACTTGATCAAGAAAAAACAATGCTTTCTTCCTTTGTTAACAGTATCGAAGCTAAGGATCGTAAGATACGTCTTAATGATATGGTAACAAAGGTCATGCATATGTATACATATCTGGTCAAGAGTAGATAACTCTCGGTATAAAAGTAAAGAAAGAGGAGAGAATATAGCATAACATCGAGCTGCTTTCTGGATCACTGTGCAAAATCGTCAATGATCACATGGATATTTAGATGAGATGTGGACAAGAGGATGATGACACTTGTTTTGACGGTGTGTATGGGGTAGCAAAGAAGTTGGTGCAGCCAACACCCAAAATCTCCACCATCTCTCTCATCTTCAACAACAACGCCCCTTCTTTGAAGACATTCTTCCCGGCTGACGCATTTCCTCCCACCCAGCAAACTTATACGGCCACCACCACCGCACACACGAAGCCTCACGCATCGTATACAAAGGATCAGAAGTTGCAGAGTGCGTGCGCATGGAGGAGAGAAGGTTTGTTCCACCCCGAGGTTACCCAAAGCAAAAGCAGCTCCTTTAATAAAGATTTTGGAGACCAACTAAACCTACAAAACAATACACACCTACTGGCGGTGGCATCACTGGCTACAAAGAGCAAACGCAAGAGGACAGGAGAAGAAAGGTCTTCCTCCCTTCCTCCCTTCCTCCTTTTTCTCTCTCTCTTTCCTTTCTGCTGCATGGTTCTTTTTTCTCTGGACTTGCATCACTTGGTGTGAGCAACAAGTTAAGCAATATGATGTTAAATCCCACATCAGAGGAAAGCCTACCGACTCACTTCCTCAGCTAAGCTAGTGTGTCTGATACTTTTAGGGTTGCTTCCACAATTAGGGTTCCTTGTCGAATGGACCATATGCATCCTGAGGTAAAGCAAATAACAAAAACGCATGCATCTACAATCGACATCGGATTGGTTATATCATCTCTCCGATGATGGATATGTACAAACACTAATCATCTGATTCTAATCATGTCTCTCGGTTTCCGAGCACTACACAACACGCGGCAACTGCTCATGTCAATTGCCTTAAACTTTGTCTGCAAAGATGAGACCAATACAGGATTTCCGGAGAGAAGATAGAAGAGCGCAAATAGCGGTCGAGTCTTACGATACTTTGCGAGATCAATGCCATTTGCTTCCAATCTAGTACTCCATGGGAGTACTACTAATACAAATTGCGACTGTGTCTTACCAGTTCATCATTTGATGGATAATAAAAGGAGGAGGACTACTAGAATGCCACACACGTGAATGGTATCTCAGTTGTTGTTTAGATCAACCTTGTAAACTAATGAGTTGTAGGACAGTAATAGTCAGATGTCTTGGATGTAGGGTCCTGCAGATCTAATGCTGAGTTCATCATATCTTTCCCATTTCAATGAAAGTAACAGGCAGATGTCTTTGTTGTTTTCGAGCTCTCTTTCTTTAAGAGGAGTTGAAACTTCATGGCCAAGTGGTTATGATTTGATACCATCACTGTCCTAATTACTAATGCATTATGATGTACAGAATGAGGATTGTGATAGTAGAAGATACAGTAAATGGGAAGGAATCAACAAGCCTGAGGTGAACAAAAGAAGACATGAAGGTTTTGTAGGATGTTTCTGTGATGAGATTGCCGACAAGGTAGACCACTTTAGGACAACACTATAAGCAGCTTCAGAGGATGCTTACCTTCAGCACTTTCCTATTGCTACTTCACTTGATGTGTCAGGATTTTTGCATTGCCAAGATCTGTGAGCTGCTTTATCTCTTCTTTCTCATCCTACACTATGATCCTATACTCGGTGCTGACAAAAGATTGAAACTGATTCATCTCGGACGATGCAAGTCCACAGATCATGTCAAAGTTGTCCCCTGTGTCTAAGGTTCAGCATAGACTTGTTTTCATGCCTTGCTAAATTTATCTTATTAATTTTTGCTTAAATGCAAAATAGAAAATATTTGGAAGTAGAAAGAAAATGTGTTGTCCTCATGTCACTCATTCGAGGGGCTGACTCTGACTATTCGATGAGATCCAACCTGAATCATGCATTTTATATGACAGTACAAGAGTCATGTAAGGGACATGAGGGGATTACTGTTTTATATGACCACATATTGGAAATTGATTCCTTAAAATGAATAATACAAGGACAATGGCAGGTTAGTGGCAACTGATTCACATATGTCAAGTACAGTAAGTGGTGTTTAGACATTACATTGATGTCATAAAGGAGAAGAAGAAGAAGAAGTAGTTGGTAAGCATGAGCTGCAAAAATGAAGAGAAGCATTAGCTTTCAACCACAAAACCATGTAAACTTGCAGTGATAGCTTTCAAGAAGGCTGTCATCATATCTCTCTATTGAGACATTCGGGTTAATTAGTATATCATTGTACAAGTAAAGTTTCATGTTTAAATCTACGTTACGTATGAACAATGTCATATACGATATTTGATGTAATAATTTTTTTATTTTTTAAAAAAGAGAAATGTACAACCTCATCGCGACTTAGTTTCCCCGAAAAAATTTGAGCAATACATCCCAACATACAGATCAGTTTAATAATTTACCTACAAAATAGTTCTTAAATGCATACAACTCAAGAGATGTTATGTTGTGTATATGAATGATGTATTTAAATATCTAAAAGTATATCTATAATCAATATTAACTAATATATGTTAGAATTCAGAAAGGTAAATATGATATTTCCAAACTATTCAAAGGGCAGACGTGTCAAACTTTTTTTCTTTTTGGAGAAAGAATTGAAGTTGGCGGTCAAACCTACACTTGACTTTCCACATATTTCTTTCCCTGTCTTTGACATGACTTTTATCTGCCTCATTCCCACGAGCAGGAAGGAGTTGAACTACCTCCACATTAACACCGCATCGAGTTAAAATTGTTGACGACAGTGTTAGCTTTGACAGGCGAAGACCAGCGTAAATCCGAATTTATATCTCAAGCATGAAAAAGCTCGAATCTGTCACATCATCATCTTTAATTCGACACCCATCGAATATAATGTTAACTCGATCCATCGATCGAACGGATGATCAGCAGCATGATGATGTTAACGAAAACGTCTGATGATGTTGAAGTAATGCTTCACACCTGTTTGAATGTTTCTGTTAACTCAGGTGATCAACACAACGATGCTAACCACATTGCTGAATGATTTAAGTGACTCATCATGTTCGACAATCTCATAAAATCATTTTCATACCATATATTAACTCTCCATTCAATCCCAACAATTCGATTCCTGTAATAAAAAGTTCTACTAGGCCCTTCTAGTTTTTGCAAGATTCTTTATCGATCCCAATCAAGCCGCGACGTCAAACAATATCACGTCGTCGTCGCCGACCACCACCATGTATCATCGATATCACGAAATAAATGACCATAATAGAGAAACAAGCCATGCTAGGAACCTTTGGGCCCTTTGCTCTTTGTTTTGGCTCAATTTCCACCACATCCCACTCAACAGGGGAATCAACAACGAAAGAAACGATGACATAATCTAGTCCAGCCATTTATTTGTCCAAGCTGGTCAACCTTAATTCCAAAGACATGAAGAAGTTCCCAGTACAACAGGTTTCACATGGGCTTCCAAACGAGCATGAATCAGAGGCATTCTTCAACCAGAAAACATAATTGGATGCTAGCAAACTTAACCTACATCAAAGCTACTTGAACAGTTCAACAAGAAATCCCACTCTTTTGGTTGATAATAAAGTTGTGGTTGTTCTCTTCACTTTTGCCGCCATCGCTCTATTAGTTCCTGGATACCTGAACTTGAGCAACTCGAGGTAGCAGTAGCTGTGGTTCACGCTGAATGATTTCTCTATGAAAAAGCATGCCGCAAAAGAAAAAAAAAATCTTAAACAAATGAAAGATTCTGTGGAGTTGATTACTAACCTGCAAAATCACAGCTGATCATGCAAGATTCAGTTAATAGGATGATATTGATCAGAAACTCGTTTCGGGGGCAGCTTCCGAAGAATAAAAAGAACAAGAGCTGATGGGAAAATCTCAACCAACTGGAAGATTTTTAGAGCAGATTGTGATTAACATCAAGAACTAAATAACGATGGTTAATAATAAACGTGACCGATGATCACTCATACAACAATAAATACTTGCATTCTTTATTGAACAAAAAGTGTGAAAGAAGTAAAAGAAAGGCAATTTACCATATAATAGATGAAATTTAAAATAGGATGATCCATGACATCAAGGTCAGCATCGTTGTCAAAGGCAGAGAGAGCAACCTGGCCAATTCAATAAGCTATCAGTGCATATATACCGTAAAATATATTGTCCAGATGAAGATTTTGTGGCTGCAGGGACCCCAATCAGATCAGATTTAGGATAAAAATCAGAATCTGAATGCCCACTGTCCTCTTGTGACCCAATTCTTATCTTGGATGTGAATCCATATATATTGAGCTTTTCCAAGCATTCTATATTAACAACGCAACTTTTGCATGCATCAAAAGGGGCAGAAAAATTGAAAAAACAAAAACAATTTCTTACCACAAAGCACCGTATCAAGAAACATGTGCAGCATATTGCTGTAACTGAACCAACCTGCCAATGATGTGGATTTCAACAATCAATTTAACAGCCGACATTTTCCAAATCATAAGCTATTCCAACAAATTAACCGAGGAAACAACTGGATTTCAGTTTTGTTAATTGCATAATATGAAAGTTCTTAACATAGCTCAAAAAATAAGAGGAGCCCAATTTGGTTAGGAGAGGGGGGGAAGCAACTATCCAGCTCAAAAAGGGGAAATTTGGGGTGTTGCTTATTGGAAAACTAGTAGCGAAGACCTTTCCAAGCTGGTCCAAGCCAAATTGAGACAAGAGAGGACTCATCATAACACCCAAGTCCTAATGCTAGTGTTTGCTGAGATTTACAATTTTCTAAAACTATTTCAAATAAAATTTGTATCCTCATTTTACATTTTACTTGGTTTCTCAAGTCATTATAAGGACATTACTAAGTTGAACAAGTAGTTCTCCAGTTAAGATTTCCATTTTTAATTCATCACTTTCAGTGAGTTTTGTGAAGTGACAAAATCATTTCTTCTCTCTCAAGACACATAGATAAGTGAGCTATGTAAGCTCAGTGACTGGTTGGTGGTTGTTATTTTATATATATATGAAATACAATTTAGCTAAGTATCTTTTTTCCTCCCTCTTATTCTTTTGCAGGCACTACAATCCCTCAACTGTTTGGTAGGAAGAGAACCATCCTATCAACTTCTTAACCATTCGTAATAACTTCAAGAATGGATAATCAATGAAATGTTATAGTGGTCTCCTTAAAAGAAAAAAAAAAGAACTAAAGATTACAGTCAGTATATTTTACAGATAGCCCACAGCACACTTCCAGAGCAAGACACTCGCAGAGAAAAGGGTGGCACGTTATCAAATTCCTTCCGGCAAATCAAAAAGTAAAACTAAATCTTATAACATATCGATTGTCAAATGCTTAAATCTGTTTTCCTTCCTTTCATTTGCTTCCCCATAAGATCAAGTGATCAGATGTCACAGAAATGGTGTGCTAGTAACAAGCAAACTACCATTGAAACTTGAAGAAATAGAGTTCAGTGATGCCACCAAATAGGGCAGGCAAGCAAACGATAGATCAGCTTCCAAATTAGGTATAGTGAAAATAGTTTGGCTTAGTATAATTGCCAAGAACTGCTATGAAAGATTCAAAAGCCAGACTGTCAAATTCCTATCATATGACTGAAATATTAGCGATCATGAAAGAAAATTTGGTCATCAGAGATTATATTTTCAAGATACCTCATTCAGCTTTTTTCGACGACCCTTGGACTCAATTGGGAAGCGTCTCAGCATGAAAAATAGCCTTTAATGAGAAGAAAACTATATAAGACATACATAAGAAAAAAGATATGAAAACTTTTGTTATTTCTGTAGCAACTATATGTCAATAAGAATAATTACCTTCCACCATAAATTAAAAATCCCAGAGCAGCAAAGAAGGAAATGACTGTAAAACATAAAACATCCAACAAAATACAATAATTTCAGTATATGAATGACTGAATAATCATTTGAAAAATAAATTTTGATTACAAATTTTCCCTGTGAGAAGGTATTTAATTCAAAATAGCAACCAATACCCACATCGATAATGATAGTAAACAATGATTGACCTTTGACAGCACATAGGATTGTATAACTAAAACTATCCCATTTATAGACCTGATAAGAAGAGTTTAGCAACTTCTGTAGCAACTGGCTTAGGACTTATTTGTGCATAGGCCCATATGCAAATCTGCAATTCACAAACCAAAGTAACTTTATGCAAACTTATAGACTCAAGAATTATTTTTAGTTTTGTTAGTTTACCTGTATCAGATATACAACACCATTTATTATTAGATATGCTGGTCTAAGCTTAACAATTGGAAGGCTTCTAGCCTGCATATGTCAAATATAGGTAAAAGCTATGGGTTTTGACAAATGATTATTATAAGAGTGATCAAACCAGAAGAATATCAGTACCTGATAATATATCTCTGCCCAAAACAGAACAAGTAAAGTGTATGTTGAAAAAAACAACAGTCCGGGAAGGTCTAGAAGTGCCATTTCCAAAGCCTGAACTAGTAAGATTATCACACTGTTAGAAAATGTATATAAAAGGACAAGTCTAAGATAAAAGATGGAAACCAAAATCAATAAGGTAACCATGATTATTGTCTTGGTTGATATCCAACAAAATTATTTACCGCAAATCAATTTATATTCAATAAAAGCATCACTACTAACATGTTTCCGTTCTTTTTAGTTAAATCTGACCATGTATAATTGCAGAACAATGAATCCTGCTTCCAAAAACAGTAACAAAATATCCTTTACCGTTTCAGTTAGCATGTAACTCAAACAATATATGATGGTTACAAAATTTTCTACGTAGCAAGAAAATTCCTATGCACTGTAACCATGTTTAGCTACATGGATACATACTAATTACACAATGTTACAAACATCATTGCCCCGGACATCAAATCATCCAATAGCTACAATATTTGATTGCTGACCACATATAACAACAGATTGTTGGAAAAAATTGTCAAACCAAGCTACATGTAGTAATGCAAAGAAAAAAATTTAGCTGAACATAACTCATTTTAGTAGCACCATATCCACAAAAGAAACAGCCTACCTTTGATTTGATAAGAAACACATCATGATATAAACCAAACAGAACCGCACGCACTGCAAATCCATGTGATAGTTAATGCAGAGAAGAACATTTAAATGGAAGAAATTTAGTCCAAAGCATCCAAAACTTGACATACGTCCATTCACCACAACATTCATCAGGTGGAAAAGTTTCTGCGTCGTCCAGCCATACTCTGGTACTCTGAGCTGAATCCTAATCAGTTGTGCCTGACGAGCCAAAAAGTCATAGCTAAGGTTACAAAAGCTGAACATAACTAAACAGGTTCAAATGCAGTAATCCGGCTAGAGTGTGACAGAAAATGATGCAACAAGCACAGTAAGTTGTAAATAATCCGCAAGACGTCAACAGATTTTACATAGTTTTTCTGCTGATGGACAGGAATTTAAACAAACATGTAGCCGACAACAGACATTCAAATTTCGAACTTGACAATGATCATAAAGTTTCATTGTTTCGCTATGTCCCGAATAGCGACAATCATGCCCAAACAAGAAGGTATCATCGTTGGTAGCAAGAAGCGATCTTTTCATAACGAGGAACGAAGAAGCCTTAGGTAGGCAACATTCGCATCTGTGTCGATGTGAATCGCATTCTCGCCCTCTCGATTAACGAAGAAAATGCCAATGCATCTCCGCGTGTCCCACCAAAAAAGGGTAAACAACAAGGGGAAAGAAAAGGTGATTCGCACCAGAGCGACGACGGAGACGAGGGCGTAGGAGGCGCAGAGGGCGCAGAAGATCCCTCGCTGCCACTTCTCCGACCCGTCGATCTCGTCCCACCATGCTATGGCGTCCGCCACCGTGCCCTCTCCGGCGAAGTACCCCACGGCCGTTCCCCACCGCAGCGCCGCCATCAAGGAGGCCAAATGAGAGTCTGGTCTTTCTTCCTCGAGTTCCCTCTCGGCTCTCGCCCTCCCCCTCACCGCACTACAACCATGAGATCCGAGAAAATGGGGTAGACGTGGGGACAAAAGGGAGCGGCACCGAGGCGGCCGAGGCGACTCACGTGGCGGCCGTAGCTATCATCGGGCCCGCGTTGGTGGTTCCGCCACCGAAACCCTGTCAGCGTGTTGGCCTTTTCGTCCGTGTGCGACTCGGTCGAGTCGGACTCGACCACGACAACATATCCAACTCGACTTCATCTCTTCGTGTGTGCCGCCTTACCCGCCTTCTGATTGGAGGCACAGGTGGAGCCGCCTGTTGTCTCCAGACCGCAATGGAGCCCGCGTAACACTCAGTGGTATGTTCTAAACGTGCGCGTGTATATATATATATAATATCTTTTATGCCGTCCTTGGGTTTAGTTCTTAACGTTCAACCGTAGTAATGTTAACTATCTTCTTGTATGTTTCAATTAGCTGTCAAACTTTGGTATTCCAATTAATAATCGAAGGTTAAGATTAAATATGGTATCTAAATGTGACTCTAAGTGTAACTTGATTTATAATTGAGATTAATTCTTATATATATATATATATATTATCTTTTAATTTTTTTTTGGAACGGCTCATCCAATTACATTTTTCTTAAAGAAACAATAATATATTTTTTATATTTAAAATATTTATTTAATTATGATAGTATCTCAAATTCACTTATCTTTTGTTAAAAAAAACATCTCGAAAACAAAACTATTTCTTGAAACTATAGGCCATGGAAGCATCTGGCAATGTAGTTGGCCTTTGGTTCCTTTCTTTGGTGCCTTCCTACGTGAAGCTCTATACAACGGGAAGGGAACTCCAACATCCAACGATGAGCAGTCCACATATGCCACTTCCAACGTAATCTGCACCTGCCATGTATAGGGTTTCAAGCGAAGCGTTCGTCTCCTTCTTTTCTTCCTTGTCCTTCCGAAGCACTACGGAAGATGGCTAGCAATCCATGACATTATGGTGGGGTTGGGCTCACATAAGCTTGCAGATTACCCCAAGGAAGAGAAGATAAGATTATGTACGAATGCAGATGAACTCCGATCGTCTTCCAAGATCCAGAAGCCTAAACACTAGCTAACGTACGTGAACCACGTGAAACGCATAGAAGAGTTGTTTGACGGAGAATATATGCTGGTTGGTCTCTTCCGCGTCGGGGAGATGAAGATGACAAGTCGAGGAAGAGGAAGATCACAGGATCTAGTGGGCCACATCATCTCTAACACGCACGATTCGGTGACGTAGTAGAATCTTCTAATCGTTCATGGCATCATCGATGTCGTCTTTTCACAATAGGTTACTGTCACACGCTTGAGAAAGAATCGTACAGAAGGACACATGGAATGAGTTGAATTGGATTAGAACTCTATGACAATGCCTCTTTGCTTTTAGCACACATCAAAGGGAGAAGCATTTGGTGAGCAGATCAGCCTCCTCTTAGAGGGATGAGATGATTCAACACTCATCTCGCATTAACTGCAAGAAACAGTCGATGGTATTTTATGGACTCACAGCGTACATGAATGCGTGAAAGAGAAATGCACTGGTTTTCTACTGCGTGCAGTTTCCTTTGTTCGGCTGCCCACAGGAATGCAATCGCAAGATATATGCATACGCTGGAAGGAGAGATTAGAGATCTCAAAGTGACAATAAAGAGAAGCACGGGAAAAGTTCTAAGCAACCTGCAGATGTACGGCATCACTTTTTGGTGTGTTCAACACAGAAAGTCCTTTTCCTTATCCTGTCAAAAACTTTCACAATTTATCATAAAATCTTAGGTTTGAATCTCGCTTGCATCACAGTATCTTTCGCTTTCGAACTGAATATGGACAAGTGACATAAATTACCACTAGATGGAACGATCTCTTGAGAATATAATATAACAAAAAGTTGATTATGAAGGCATCATTACAATGTGATAAATATCGAGATCGAGTCATCGAAGACAAACAAAGTAAGCTGAGATAAATGAGAGAAACAAAAGTACTGGCAATCATGAGTACCAACTAAAGAGAGCTTTTCCTTGGAAGGAGACACGGACTCACATGTGGAGACTGACCAAATGAATCCCGGTTTTGATAAGCTGGTAAATGGATCGACACGTTACTTAGGAGATGCGAAGCGGTCAAGGCATTCGCGAGCTGTTCGCCGGCAGGTCTTCTTTTGGATTGTTGGACGTGCATGAACTAGAAAAGATCGGAGTTTGAAGGGTGAAAGAAACGCGCGTAGGACAATTAATTACGTCAACTGAAAGTAACGTTATGGGAATTGCATGAGCCATGCAACAATTTGGGATCGTCAAACATGCTAGCAAAAACTGGTACTTTCCTCTGCAAATAATATGAGTGGATCGAATCTGTGCACTCGAGCTAAAGACGCTGGTGATTTCTCTAACGATTACCTGAGATGCTATCAAGAATTTGCTTGCTTATGGTGCTATGATAATAAGGATATCAATCTTAGATCGATGGCTGTGAGGGCACAGGCGTTCCAGACAAGGGCGAAGCTTCGCTTTTCTTAACGACGTTGGTCGTTGGTCAAAGACAAGAGCGAAACTTCGCTTTGATATCATGATGAAAAGAACAATTATGCTTCAATATATTAACATGTTCCTTCTCCTATTTAAGAGGAATGATTTTCCTCAACAGAATAGAGAGATTTCCTCGTGTATATATATATATATATACAATCTATTATCTCTTTCGTAATATATGGTAATCAACAACATTATCTCCTTTCTCTGCATGCAGCACGGAACAGTTTGCCTTCTTCTAGCTTCGATGGAGTGAGAAAGAAAGCGAAAGGCCTTTTGCTTTGCTTGGGAGCATATTGAATCTATAAACAGCTAATGAACATTAATCGGCGAAGACTCTCCGAATGGATGATGCAACCATTTTAACCCACGAAACCAGTAACTCCTTCGGCTTCTTCTTGTCATCATCCATCTGTTCGTCATCTTCGCCGTCTCTTCCTTCGTTGGCAGCCAAGAGATATGGAGGATAATCTTCATCCAACGAGTCGAAATCTATAGCACAATCAACGTAGTCTGCGCCTGCCATGGCTAGAGCTTCAAGTGAAACACCCATCTTCTTCTCCGTCTTTTGCTTCTCACCTCCTTCTGAGCTCTTTATCCTACTACTCCACAGGTATATATAGCAAGAGGTCACCTACACAGCCAGTCAGAATGATCTGATCTGATGCGAGTAGAAGATAATTAATGGGTGCATGTGTGAACTCGGAATTTTCTCAGGCCAGAAAAATTCAACTCTACGACAAGTTCATGAAACCTGTGACGAGCCACTCGTTGTCGTGCACCTGTCTACATGAATAGTAAAACTACTGACGAGTTGTTTGACCGGGAGAGTTCGTCCTCGCGGCATCTTCTCAAACACACCACTCATGGAGAGCTAAAGACGATCACTTCATCTGCAGAGTGAATACAGAGTAATGGACCGCGAAACTTTTTCGTCCAACACAGTTCCATTAAGTGTTCGTGAAACCTGTGATCGCTGCTTGGTATTTATATGTATATAAATCCATATGACTGCGAAAACAAGTGGAGCTATTTGACTGGAGAATGCATGCACGACATCCTCTATGAGAAGGGAGAAGAGGACGCGACCGGTCTTACTCAGTGTTGCATGACATCATTGATTCCGAACGTTGGCAGTCAAAACCTGTGTTCTACAGAACCCAAAAGAATACGTTACGAGAGAAAAAGGGTTGTTTGTCTTGGGGGCATTTAAGCAAGCCACTCACAGGCATATCGTAAGATATGGCTCGTTGTCTGTCAGCTATCAGTTCAGATAATGTAGAGATATCCAACCACTCTAAATTGCCAGATTTCTCAGATTCAGTACACTATAACACACTGCCATAGAGCAACAGCCAAAGCATTAAAAGATGAGATAGACCATCAAGAACCGTTTGAGTAGATCTATCTATTTTAAGAGAAAAAAGGGTGTGGAAGAAGAGGCTGCTGGAAGAATTGTTGCAACCAATAACAACTAAAACCCAAAACAATTAGTGTCAATTAGTGTCGGATTCAAATATGAAATCTACTATACATAGAGTTAAGGAGTCTCTTGGCTTAATTCCTATCAGTTGTAGAGTATGCTCTTCCGGAACTAGGTTCGCCAAGGGAGACCGAGGCTAAGGACTGGGAAGCCCAAGCCCTTGCATTCATTGCCCCTTCCTGCAAATTGCTTCGCTTGCATGGGTACAACCTACCGACACCCTGCTTGGCTTCTTCAGTGTATGCCCGCAGGTGATTCCAGAAATTTATCAAGCTTGCATATCGCATCTGCCTCCTCCATGCTCGCTGCAAACATGCATTGAGGCTCGGCAGGAGGAAATAAAGCAGCCTCATCAGCAGGAAACAACTTGCAAGTGCCAAATAACCATCCTGCTGCAGCAATTTCTCAGGTGATCTTGCCCATGAGAACGGGCAGCTTTCTTGCACGTCTTCTTCCTTGGGCTCAGTATCATTTGGTGGGTCCACAAATTTATCCAGGGACATTGATTTCACTGATGAAGGACCAACACCTGCCACAGTGAACAAAGTACGATAAGCATAAAATGTTGCAAAGCATATAAAACCATGTCTCGGAATTTGTTAATTTGCAATCTTTGTTACATTCGACCAGAACAACGAGGCCCTCACAGTCCGGACCAAGTAAAGAAAAACTCAATGCATAAACACAGTTTAGTTTCATCTAACTGTACATTGTATGATAGTTTTTAATCACTGAAATAATTGTTTAACATGACATAGTTTATTCCCGAAAACAAGATAAAGAGCATAATTCGAGGAAGATTGGAACCATAAAAGGAAACTGGAACATAACTATGCAATGAAAAGTCTTGTAGGATCCTACTACATCCAGAAAGTGCCAATAATACTAAAACACAATATACCTGTTATGTGATTGTAAAAAGCAACAAGGGAATTCACGTTTCGTGAGCCATGATACCGCACCCTCATAGTTGAATTTAGAAGAAAAAGGGTTGGAAAACCATGCACTCCATATTTTGAGATTATGCTGCAATTGACAAGTTCCAGATGTAAATGCAACTGCATGCATATATTTGACAAATCATGTAATTTGAACAAACTTTGTTCCATACCTTGGCCTGATAACAGATTCTTCAAATGCAAAATGATGGATGGTTGGGAACAAGTTTGACAAGATCTGGAAATTTGGTCGGCAGATTTTAGAGAAGGGACACCAAGATGCATAAAAGAGAAGGGCCACATATTCCTCCCTGTTCTTCTGCACTATACTCAATGCCTTCTGCAAAACAGCTTCATCTCCCTACATACGGGTAAAAGAATGTCTCAAATCATTAAAAAATAAGTAAATTGATATAGTTTAAAGGATTTCTTCTGTTGGTAGAAAAAGAGAAAATGAAGTTTTGACAAGGTTTCCAAACAGCGTCCAAAACAAGAAAGGGCCCTTACAATTACCCTGGTTGATCAGAGCTAATGGCTAACACTAATACCAAGACCAACAAGCACATCAAGAAACCATCATAGAAGTGCGCAAAAACATATGAAAAAACAAAGAGCAGAAACTAGAAAAGCCATAGAGGTACCTAGTATGTAATGTCATCTTCCCGGGAACGGTTTGAGAAATTAATGAAGTTAATGAGTTTTTTTGTCTGTAGTACAATTTTGTGAGGCTGTTATGATCACAGGCCCATCAGTTCGTCTTCTGCCCATGTCACTTTATTCAGAAGCAGTGGTTTTTTCATCCAACAATTTTGGTGTCTAACAGACAGTTAGAACAGCACTATTACCAATTAATTATTGTTTTCCTTGTACCCTGCAATTGTCACATTCCAATGTTTTATCCAGATTGAGTTGGATATCTCAATTCTCAAGGACAACCTTATTTAATAAGTGTCTTTGTACATCTTTCCCAAGAAACATTAATCACCCAGTTACGTCATCAGTTGACACTCCCATGACATCCATAATTAAGTAAAAGAAGAAGAACTAAATCTACTTGGTCAAACCAAATACTCAATTGTCTATGCTTATAGTATCATTAATAAAAAGAACAAAATCCAAAATGTATGTGATCATGAACCATCTTCTAGGCAGAAAATTGCTCATTGTCGTCTTATAGTTGCCACCAAATAACATGTCTTTTATAGAATAGAATTTTTCAGTTTACCAGTTAACTTAAACTAAGCAAATTGATTTGTTTAAAAAAACAACTATCCAGAATATAACAATCTTCAGACGAGTTTTATGTTCAGGAATAATAGAAGCTTTTGGCATCATCTAGATAAATATTTTAGTCGGAAGTAGTGGATGAAAAGTTATACATGCAATACATTTTTACAAAAGAAGGCAAATGTATGACAATCATGCATGTTATAATGACAGTTAAACATGTAACAAGACTAAGCAAGATGACATTACATTTCCCTCTTGATCCCTTAATTCAGGACATCCAAATATTAATAAATAGATACCATAAGTATGTTAGCAGTAAAAACATCAACAAAGATATGATGATTCTATATAATCATACCCAGATAATATGTTAAGTCCAATTACTAGGACATTTCAAACCTTTAGATAAGCTCCTCTTCTACTAATCAGTAAATATTTCTTTGAAGGGCTGGAAAACTACTTTGAATCATGGATGAACAAAGGTTTTGATTTTTTGGCGACTGCTCTACATAAGAGTATGTCCCTCCAAAACAATCAATAAAATACAGCTATAAATTAAATTCTAGCAAACATTACAAATCCTAAATGTGCTAAATTACAGGTCATGTAGAACAGTACACCATGATGATCCTTCAAGGCAGTAACTGCAACAAATTTTGAGTTTTTTAATCAGTCATTTCTTACATAGAGATGACAATTTCAATCCATAATTTTCAGATATCCGCCAAGCAATAATGAATCAGAATCACATGGTCCATTGCATATGCCATGCACCCGGTTCATAACAATTTTATAATACCCTCACTGATCTATTCTTATCCAGAACTAGTTTCGACGGTGATCATGAGTCAGTATCTGTAAACGACTATGAGTAATTTTGCTTCCAGTACATCTGATGTTACAACCTATAAAAAAAGGGCAAACCAACTCAAAACGCTTGCTATCTTACAAGGAACAATTTGCAATTTCAAAATTATAATTTAAATTATCCGCAAGCAAGATCCAAATTGACATCAGGGCTCCCATATTCTTGAAAGCACAAAAGCAATCTACCAAAAAAGATCTTTTACCACGAAATCACGATAGACAATTTTAATCTAAAGAGGAATAACACGCAATAATTAGGGAAAAAAAAGAACCAAAGATCCCAAACAGAGGTAGGCAAGCACCTCAACCACGCCGATCTGATAACCACGAAGCTCTGCCGTAGGATCCAAATCCCAGCACGAGTCCGGGCGACCCATGATCGAGTCTCCGGCAGAGGGCCTGGGGCAGACCGGCGAGCCAGCCGATGCGGCAACAAGGGCGATCAGGAAGACGAGCGCCACGCCCCGAAGGTTCCAATCCATGTTCCGATTCCACGAAGCGGAGGTAGCGCGCGAGAGAGAGAGGAAAAAGAGCGAAGCACGGAGGAAACCCTAAGTAGAGGGCGCCGAGGGAAGATAAGGAGAGATGAGGCGGGTGCAGGATAGCACGGTTCCGGTGGTACCCGTGCACTTCAGCTCCGCCAAGCTCTTCTTGTCCGCGATGAGGCCGACGGAGAGATCTATAAAGATTTCTTTTTCGCCTCTCTCTCTCTCTCTTTCTCTCTACGCCTTTGTGAGAGAGGCGCGGCGTTTACAACGGAGGAAGAGGGGAAGTTGGGGGTGTGGTGTCGGGTGAGGCGTGATCGGGACCGTGGGTTGTCGATCGGACGGTGTTAGTAGAGAAAGAAGGCGAATCAGGGGCCAGCGGAGATGAGGTGGAGGTGCCGTTCAGCACGGGCGTGAGGACAGAGACAGGCAACACCATAGTTCCAGCACACGACGATCGGGGTACTGTGCCACTGCAAAGAGCTGACGTCATCGTATCCTCTGATGGGGGCCAACAAAATATATAGGAAGCCAGTTGCCTGATTCATACATGACAGGAACGACCTCGCCGGCCGCCCACCCAACGCTGGGTTGACTTCGGTCCACGCTGGCGTTTGAAGAGTAGGCAGAGAGGAGGGAGAGAGAGAGAGAGAGAGAGAGAGAGAGAGAGAGAGAGGTGGATTCCATTGAGGAAAAAGGAAAGAACAAAGAGAATAATTCTTGGCATGAACAAAAAGGCAATTAATTATACCATTGTTTTTTATTTGGGAATAAATAAAAAAAGGAAATAGTCAAGAATTTATTGAAAATAATATGGGAGATTAATATGATGGACCCTTTAATGAGTCAAAAGTACTACTCTCTTATTCTTCAACCAGATTGCCTTTAGATGAGATAGCCTCCACTCCTGCTTTTCTTTTCTATGTATTGAAAATATTGAATTTATTTACAAGAATAATTGATGAAGGAGCTGATTACCAGTTTGACAACCTTACAGGAATAGAATCAAGTAAATATCATTCAGAGATTGGAGAGTGCCTCAGGCAAATTAGATGTAAAGCCAAAAGCTTTCTATCTTCAATTTGAAACTAATCTGCAGTTGGTGATGTTCCATGTACAAGACAACAAACCCCACTTAGAACAAGGCAGATTTAGAGGAATATTGATCCAAGTAGGTGCCTTGCCATTATTAAACATCAAACTCACTTGTCAAGAAACTCACATATTCATCAGTATGTATTAACACACAGACAACAACATCCTTCTTTTTATTTTTGCACTAGTTTTTTTTTTGGTCTCTACCCTCCTTGTTTTGTCAAAGCTTTTAGGCTGGTTTTCTGATCCAATTCAGTTTCAGCTGTGTCTTTAGACACATTCTACATTCCACATTGAATAAGTACTCATACAACATAGGCTTCCAAATGCATATTTGCTCATTTGCAAGTCATGCATATTATTCTTCTAAGACATAAAAAAGTTGCTGGTCCACAGTTCAGTTCAGAGGTTGTTGCACTTCCAGATCATGTCTTCAATTGTCATGAATCGAGTTCTTTTCCATTGTCTCATTCATGTCCTTGACTAATCTCTCCAAGTTAGTATATGAAGACCCCCCTAGTGCGGTGGCTTGCTCTGCCAACTTCTTCCACTTCATAGCATTCTTCCTTATCTGCTGCCCTCTCTCCCCTTCCATTAATTCCACAACGAGGTCCTTAATATGTTCTCTCTTCACTTGTTGGTCGATTTCCATTCCTATTCGCCATTCCTTACAAGCATATCGGCAATTCGTATACTGGTCAGCAAATCCAGGCCAGCAAATTATTGGCACTCCACCACAGAGACTCTCCAACATCGAGTTCCAGCCACCGTGCGTAAGAAAGCCACCTATTGAAGGATGAGAAAGCACTTCACTTTGATGGCACCAACCGGCAAAGAAGCTCCTCCCTTTAGTTTCTTCAATGAATTCTTCAGGCAATGCAGCATCGCTACTACCTTTGAGAAGATTGGGCCTAATGATCCACATGAAGGGATGGTTGCTGTCAGCAAGTCCCCATGCAAACTCTGTTAATTGTTCGCTTGTCAAGGTTGCGAGGCTTCCAAAGCTGACATAGATAACTGAAGCATCCTTTTGAGTGTTCAGCCATTCCTTCCATCCATGATCTTCTTCCCAAAGGCTTAACCGCAGTGAGTTTTCAGGATTTCCTTTGATCTGGTTCAGAAGCCCGAGAACAGGCCCCACTGTGTATATCCGAGGAAAGGAACTTTTAAGAACATCAAGGACCTGGCTTTCCATGTGATCAAATGTGTTGAGGATCAAACCAGAAGCTTTCAATGCCAAGTCAACTCCTTCCATCTCATTCTTGAGGAAGTGGTCATCAAGATCTGTTGTTCTGATGAAACTGGAAAGGTCCCTCAGACGCATCTCTCTCATGCCAGGAATCCAATCTATGGTGGTGTCCAGGTATCCATTCGTGATGCAGTTGTGATCTGTAAAAAGCAGGAACACCAATTATGACAGAATTGTATGGAATGATTTTGGTGGTTTATTGATTCCAAACATCTCTACTTGTTTGCTACCTGTAAAACGAGTTATCAAATGGATACTTGAAATGTGAAAACATGAAATTGCAGCCAAAAAAAAAGTTCTTCACAATACATACAAGTATGCTTCTTTCCCCCTAGAACAACATAACTATGGATTCATGTATTATGGGTTACACAAAAAGCAAAAGGAAAGCTCTCAATGTTGATCTCATAGCTGCATGCCCATCAGAACACACAAAGATTAGACAACTCAGTCGAATGATGCATAGGTCTGAACATTAACTCAAATCCATAGTTTTGATTCTGATAATTGTGTGAATAAAGGAAATGGAAACATTTTCTCCCTGGTGATGTTCAGTCAAATTATCTTATTGATTATTTAATATATACTCAATACCTAGAGATGTGAGTCAACTATTTTATTCGTCAGTTACAATATATCCAGCACATAAAGATTACTTTCATAGGTCAACAACACTTTTAACAGTACATCCATGGAGCACCCCAGCCAACTTGCTATGTGGAGAGGTGCTAATCATTTTCTTATGTCGTTCCACAAAAACTATCAAACTTGATTTAGGAAAACATAACCCATATCAGGCTAAGAAGAAATGAACAGTATATCTGATTTTGTAGAAACAAGAAGTGGTCATTGTACCGAGAAGGTAAAATCTCATTCACTGGATTTGTTGGACATATAAGCCAATGCAAAACCAGGGCAGATTCCTGTAAAGCCTTTTTTGCCATCTAGTCTAATTTAAGACCTTTTCTTGTATGGAAAAAGGTATGAAAGGGATCAAAAAAGGACTTTGAGCAAGAGAAAAAATAGATCCTTTGGGGGGAAGAAGAAGTCCAAAATGCTACCAAGATGTGTCCTAAATATAAAAATTGTACCTTTAAGTGGTGTGTATCCTCTCTGAATGAGCTCCTGAAGTTGAAGGGAACCGAGGAGACTGCAAGCACTCGTAGTCCAGAACACCAGATGAGGAACGCCCAGCCTCTCCGCGTCCACCGCGAAGGTCATCAGGAAGTTAGATATGACGCAAGTGATAGGGGGCGCATCCATGGAACTGCTGAGTTTCTGCAGGAGCTCTCCGACTGGGGCAGCGCCAGTTTCTCTCACCGACGACTCCGACTCTTTGACGTCAAAGGAGTCGGAGGCAGATGATGCGTAGCCAACCGGAATGGCTTCGAATCGGAAGGACTCGGAGGCGAGCAGCGCATGGCGTCCTCCATTCTCGAGCGGCCGGTGGTGGGCGAACTCTGTGTTGATGAAGGTGACGCGGAAGCCCTGGGAGTGCAGCAGCTTGGCCAAGTCCAGCATTGGGTTCACTTGGCCTGCCGCAGGGTAGGAAAGGATCGCTGCATGGGGCATGGAGATCGCTGCACTTGACATTTTGGAACGGTAATGCCTACTCCTCAACACTTGATGCAAAGTTCAAGGGGATGCAGAAGAACTGGACATAAACAATGACTATCTCATGTTCTTCTGTGCTCATTAGAAAGTCCAATGGTTACAAGAAGACGTGAAAGATCAGTTATCATCTGCATCTTACCAAAGGTGTCATTTAAATATGACATGATTAGAGATCAAACCAGCCAATTAGCTCATAAAATACTCAAAAACACATATCAAATGGACCATTAAATATCATGAGAAAAAAATATTGGATAGTTCACATGGGCCATGCAAATAGAGAAAAAACAATAGAAAGATATTACTGTTTAACTAAGTGATATATGCAGTGTTCTGATCCACCTTAAGATCTAGCAATGGGAGTGGACCAGTTTATTCTGGTTTCTATTAGTTCCTTTTGGGATAAGGAGAGTTACCTGTGTTGATCTGGTTCTTTGAAGATTAACATGAGATTCTTGAATCTGCTTTCAGTTCATAGGGGCAGTCACCTCTGCTTCATGATTTGTTTGCTTTCAGAAGTAGGAGGCCTTTCTGAATTGAGATTTCCTTGGGCAGAAGATAAATCCATATATCCATTGAAACTTCGTAAACTTATGCAGGAGTGAAGAGATGCAATGCTATAACCAGAGTATGTTTTCCACTTTTCTTCCATGCAAGTTATCCTGTTCATATTCAAACCACAGCAATAAAAGGCCACAATTTGGATTCTGATGCCACATGATAAAACACTAGTGGCAGATATAACTCACATAGATTGAGAAAAAACATACATAACTGATGGGCCTTTTTTAAAAGAAAGAATCACAATTTTGATCATCAAAATAATTACATCTTATTGTCTCTATTATTAAGTACTAAAAAAAAAATACTCCAACCATTTGGCGCGATCTTCAGCAATGATCTTGCGACACCATCTGTAACATCTCCTTCCACATCACTGGAAATTACTTGGTCACTTCCTTTTCTAGGATCCCAGTAGTACTTTGCTTGCACTCACCTTGTTTCCAACTGTTTCAAATGACCTTCTAGGATAATCTACAGATACATTTTCCTGCTATGCATCATAACTGATGTAAATGGCATCAACGGTGTTGCAAATGGAGCATTTTCTGTAGCTGGTTGTGCTATCACTGTACTGTCATCAATATAATTTTTTTGATGATACTGATTTCCCACAAAAATGTATCCTCGGAGCTTCAACTGTTCAAATATAGATGTATTAGCTCAGACTTGATCATTAAAAACGGAATTTATAGAAACAGAAAAATAAATTCCTTCACTATTATTGAAGCTTCCAACTAAATGATACAAAAACAATGGAGTGCATTAGGCTTCATCTCTTAAACTCAAGAGGACAAAGTGTCAAAGTTCAATTAGATATTCCGAAGTTAACCAAACTTCAATTAGATTTAACTTTTCCTGTAGTTGCTCCCTTGCTGGAGATACTTATGCAGAAAATAATATAACTCATAAAGCAATTGAAGAGCTATATTTAGAAAAAGCAACAGAATGCAGACGAGGAAAACATCTTAACGCAAACTTCTAACACTCTTATAAATCCTTTGCTCTCTAAATAGCTTACATGAAATGTTCTGGTAAGACTTCTGTCGATCAGTGCCTTACAAATAAATCATAACAATATATGAGTTCAAATTTAGTTAGATATACTCAAAAAGGTATGGTGACGATTAAATTCTCAAATATAGTGTCATAGCCATTTACCCTCTATCTTGATTAATTATAACACTCCTTAGTCGCAGCAGATTTGTTTGTCATTAAGAAGCATAATACAAAATAGTGAAAAGGCAAAGCAAATTTGTATGCATTGCCCAGATCAAACAAACTGAATACATGTGAAACAGTGGCATCTAAATTAGAACAATCGGTCAACTACAGCAATAGATTTTTCTTTCATCTGAATGACAAATTGTTGGCTAGAGACTGGGTCTCGAGATGCAATTCTTATATCAGTGAATATAAAATCATCTCATGGCAAGGTGTGACCTCAACATAATTGATGATCATCTCAAGATGGATGCTCAGGAATAAATGCACATCTATTGCCTATAATGAAATTATTAGATGCTATATTAAAGGTAACACCAATTACCAAATTTAGGCTCAAAGAGAATTGGATTCAGCACCTCACTGTGGATTTCCTATGCTTCAGATTGCAGGACTTATTCACCACTCTGACTAGTGGACCTGAATTAACTGAACCAATGACCAAATATCTTCTTTTGAACCGTGTGTGTAAAATCCAATGCCTTGACTAAAATACCCATTAATTCCCACATTAAGTCTTCAAGTTTGCTGTTCTTGCAACTTTTATACGGGCTACAAGGCTCTCCCCAGCACTGCCCAAGCCGTTCCTCCCAACTAATTTTGTGCCATAGCTACGATACAACATGCTCAGTCTATTGTCATCATCAGCGATTTCAGCCAAGTCCATAACAATTTTCTTTGGAATCAAGCAATAAAGGAAAAGAGAAGCAGAACCCGAATTCTTGTCACCAATTCCAACTTGCACCAATGAAGTAGAGTCAGACCCTGAAGAATATGGATCATAAAGAACTGAAAAACTACCAAAAGAGAAGTCTGGAGTTTGAAAGAGGTAATCCAAATTCAAAGGATCCTCCATAACATCTACTTTATCCATTACTGGAATTGTGGACCTCCTTCTGGAGGCCCTTGCAATGTTAGCTGCTTCCCTGAAACCACTGAGCAAAGCTCCATGCATAGTCGCCGGGTACCTCCTGTTTGTTGCCTCGCCAGCAAAGAAGACCCTCCCATCTCCCACGCTCTCAGCTAAAATGTCATAGTCATCACCAGAAGACCCAACAGCAACATAAGAATATGACCCATAAGTAAATTTATCTGACCCCCATCGAGTGCAAATCACTTGAAGGGGCTCTGGGACCTCAATTCCCTTAGGAGCAAAGATACCCCTAAGAACTCCAAGCACCCTTTCAACATGCTTTATTGGAGATGTATTCTCAAATTTAATGGCAGCCTCCCCAGCAACAAGAGCAACAAGAAGTGGTCCTCCAGAAACTGAGGAATAACTATAGAACAGAAAAAATTCACCACGATCGCTTGGATCCTCTGTCAAGTGCCCAAAAGTGTCAATCCCACCACCCCAAAAATCATGGGGAAACAGCATGAGAACCTTGTTAAGCAATCCAAAACCCAATCTTTTGATCGCCTCCTGCTTCTGCTGAGGTAGTTCAGGCACAAACTCAATACAGCCTTTCTTGAGCACACCGAGTGACACAGTGCACAGTGCCATGTCGCCGCGAAAGACCTGCCCATTTGCATACACCATCACTCCATCACATCCATACTGAATTCGGGTGACTGTCCTTCCATAGAAGATGGGAATGTTCTCCGCAAGAGCCCGAATGAAGTGTCCATTGCCGCCAGGAATGAAACAGTGGTCGCCACCCATCTCATAGGGGTCATCCTGGTCCCAGTAGACCATGGAGAGGTCCGAGAGAGGGGCAGCATTGGCATACTCGAGGTTGGCAAGGTGCCAATTGAGCAACATCCTTTCCTCCGAGGAGTTGGCGAAGCCATAAGCTCTGCGGAAGGCCTCGAGGGCAGTCCCGAGAGAGACATCCACTGAGCTGAGCTCATCAATGACGGCCTGGCGGAGCTTGCACACCTTATCGAGAAGCTGGTTGAAGGCTGACTCAAGATGCGAATCGATGACAGTGTCCACCGGCCGGCCGTCCGGGAGATACAGAGGGCACAAATCTCGAATCTTGTGGAGCGGGAAGCCAAGCTGGCGAGCCAGGACTCCGAAAGGGTTGCCATTGATACCGGTGAGCACGCTGCCGCCCAGGTCAGCAGCAGCGACCACCCCTGGAGTGGTGGAAGAGGCGCAACATTCCATCTTTTTGGTGAAGACGCGGCCGCCAGGGCGGTCGCGGCCCTCGAGAATGGCGACCTTGAAGCCAAGAGAGAGCAGGTGGCGGGCAGCGGCCAGACCAGCGACGCCGGCACCGACGACAAGCACGGTGGGGGCTGGGAGGGACGGCGGGCGGCGACGAGGTGCGGCGATCACGGCGGACGCGAGGCCGAAGTTGATGAAACCATGGTCAAGAAGGAAGGCGTAGGCGGTGGAGACGAGGGCGCGGTGCTCGGACCGGATAGACTCCATGGCGTGGGCCTCGGTGACCCACACCGAGGGGTTGGATCGCCACCGAGCGAGGATGTGGTTGCGGACGACGATGTAGTTGGATTGGGCGACGCCGCCCATGACGGGGACCACGTTGGCCTCGATCTCCTCCTCGGTGAGCGAGTCGATAGGGAACCCGACAGCCATGGCGATGAGGGCCTCGACGTCGAGCTCGCGGGCGAGGCGGAGTGAGGACGAAGGGGGGCGACCGCGGCCACGGCGCCGGGGTCCCGCGTCATTGATCTGCATCTGGATCAGCTCGTCGAGGAGCTTCTCGTTATAGACGACGGACGCGGAGCGGGCGGACGACGGGCGGAGGACGCGGAGGCAGGCGGTGGGTACCATCCCGGGGAACTGCTTCTTGCGGCGGCGGCGCTTGCGGCCGGCAGCGGGGGGAGGGGGGTCGCCACCGCCACCACCGCCATCGGGCAAGGGAGCTATGGTTTCGGAGTCGTCGACGGGAGGGGTCGTTTCGGCAGCCTCAGCCGGGGGAGGGAAAGGGGTATTACGGGAAGACGCCATGGCAGGGGTATTCCGGGAATCTGGTTCTTCCATAGCTCTCTCTCTCTCTCTCTCTCTCTCTATCGCGGCGGCGAGAGAGGGCGTGGAAGTGGGTAGAGTGGTTGGTTCGACGTCTGCAAAACTTAGGCTTTGATCTCGCGTTGCTTTGGACAGAACCTCCTCGCTACAATTATCACGAGAACACCTTCTCCTCCTCGGCTACCCGTCTTTTGAGCATTCGGCTTCTCAGTGGAGCCCAAACATGACCCAGCTGTGGAGCCACTCTTGCTCCAATCACAAGACAGGTGCCCAACCGAGTTCGAAACACAATGGTAAGAAGTGTATTATTCATAACGAGTTAATTGCTCATACTCGGGCTTACGCCGATGTACACTTCTTGGGTGGATCCGATCCATTATCTTTTCATGGCCGGGGCCCACTGAAACTTCTTATATTATACGAGAATGCCACGTATTTCTCAGATTTATTAGTAACAAATAATTATTATTTATTAAATAATAATTATATGAGAGAAAAAAGAAGGAAGAATTGAGTTAGCAAATGGAGTGTCATAAGAGGTGTATACGAGAGAGTAGGAGACAGGGAGGACAGTGAGAAGAGATCATGCAGCTGTCATCCGATGTCCAAGCCTCTGCACCTTCTGGATCACCATTCTGCTCTAGTTCTCCTTAGCTCCTCCTTTCTTCTGCTCTTCTTCTCTCCCTGCATTCCTCTAAGGGTCGTGGAAGGAGGAGAGCTCACCAAAGAAGACGAAGAGAGGACCAGAAAAGAAGAACTCCAATGTTAACATAGTTGGCCTTCCATATTTGGTGAATTGAGGCTCTCAACTCTTCCTCGCTTTCTCTGTGGAGAGCGAACAAAAGAAGAGAGTTGGTATATGGCTTCCTCCTCCGCATCTTCTTCTTCTTCTCCTTCAACCTATAGTCCACGGAACAGATCAAGGTTCGGTGACACGACCTTCACCAAAGTCTTCGTTGGGGGACTGGCATGGGAGACCCCGACGGAGGAGCTCCGCCGCTACTTCGAGCAGTTTGGTGAAATCCTCGAGGCCGTGATCATTACCGACAAGATCACCGGACGATCCAAAGGCTATGGCTTCGTGAGCCTTCCCTCTCTCTCTCTCTCTCTCTCTCTCTCTCTCTCCTGTATGTGTTGGCTCTCTGTTTGTCTACTGTCTATTGTTGATCACAACTAATGAACGGTACTCCATATTTGATGGCAGGTGACGTTTCGGGAGTCGGAGTCGGCGACGAGGTCGGTAGCGGACCCCAACCCGGTGATCGACGGCAGGCGAGCCAACTGCAACATCGCCTCTGCGGGGAAGCCACGACCCTCTCCACGACAAGGTATAATGTTACGTCCATCTCCCAGACAATGGAAGATCGATGCACTTCTTCATCATTCTTGTCTCTGTGAGAGAAAGAAGTGTCTTCTTTCTCCGACTGAATCCATCTGCCGAAAGCGTATTGACCAGCAATAGTGAGTCCCCAACGCCCATATCTTGTTCATATCTTCTAGAAATTATTAGTTCATACTTATCCTTAACCGCATAGGGATCTAAGCATAGAGAAGATATCTTGCCATTGAGCAAGACTAATAGACTACCACTTATCCTTAACGATTTCATGAAACTTTTAATGCTCGATCCAAAACGTATACCTACTTCGTTTGTCACTTCCATCTAAAACACAATTAAAATCACCAATCATACACCGAGAAATATCATGAAAACTCACAGATGATAACAAATAAAAAAAAAGCATTGCGAATCAAACGATGATTACTAACATAACCGACAAACAAAAGCTATAGAGTATTATCTTTATATTGAACTACAACATGCATGCATTGAGGGTGGAAAGACATCACTTGGACATCAATAGTATCCTGCTTTCAAGTCAACATAAAACCACTAGATGACCTCACCGCATCTGAATGAGGCCTACCTTGTATTTATGGATGCTGCAAGATAAGAACTTCTTCTACATTTGGCCCTCTCACCATGTTAGGTTCATTACTACAATTACATGCTTGGTTAGAGGCTCATTGGGACTTGGCAGAAGGAAGTTGCGATAGGACCCCACCTGAACCCAATTACATGCTCTAGATATTACTTATTTCCCGACATACTCTCTACACACACTCTCTCTCTCTTTTTAATGCAGAAAATGGAAGGCAGTAGCTCGACAATTCACAGGTTGCACAAGCAAGAGATTCCTGCAACAATAAATGAGTAGAGGATTGAAGCATGTGCTGATGCAAGAACAGAACAAACTGAGGTCCAGGCAATGCAGAACAATAAGAGAAACACCAGAAGGTGATAAGCTCAGCTACTTAGGGTGATGTTTAAAGACAACACCTGTCTTTGCTGAAGACAGATAGGAGAGTTTTTACTGTACATTCAATGCATTTAAATCTACATCACATACAATAAATAAATGCCTCTTGATCTTCCACATTGCTGTCAAGAGTACTTTGCTGATATTGCTAGCTGACACAACGCTGAATAAAACGGAGGAGCAGGAGAGCAGATCTGTTTACATGTGCAGTGTTCATTAGAATTATTTGGACAGTAACTTGTAGAGGAGCCAATTCTTTGGGGTGTGTGTGTGTTTGCAGAGAGCTTCTCCTTTTGGAGAGAGTCAAACTTCTCCTAGATTATCTTTTTCTTATTTTGTATCATTACAACCTTGATCTGACCAGAGATTTTGCACAGATCTGACACTGACAGTAATCTATGTGGTCATCCATTTCACGAGTTCATAGAATAAGGGACGTTGACACAAAAAATAAGAGAGAAAGGGAACTCCATCTGTTTTTTTATAGCACTGTGAAGGCAAGGCAAGAGGCGAGTTGAGAAGGGAAGACGAGACGAGAAGAGCAGAGATGGCCTCCTTTGCTTCCCATACGCCTCATGCTGTGTGCATTCCATATCCTGCGCAGGGTCACATAACTCCCATGCTTAAGCTCGCCAAGCTCCTCCACTCCAAAGGCTTCCGCATCACCTTCGTCAACACCGAGTACAACCACCGCCGACTCCTCAACGCGCGCGGCCCCTCCGCCCTCGACGGCCTCCCCGACTTCCGCTTCGAGACCATCCCCGACGGCCTCCCGCCCTCCGACGACGACGCCACCCAAGACATACCCGCTTTGTGCCGCTCCACCATGACTACGTGCCTCCCGCCCTTCCTTGACCTTCTGTCGGAGCTGAACGACCCGAGTTCCGAACGACCCCCGGTGAGCTGCATCGTCTCCGATGGCGTCATGAGCTTCACCTTGGACGCCGCGAGGCAGCTCGGCATTCCGGAGGTGTTGTTTTGGACCACCAGCGCTTGTGGCTTCATGGGATACATCCACTACCGGCATCTCGTCGAAAGGGGCCTTACTCCACTCAAAGGTATCAGCTCTGTGAAAGTCACGTACTTGCACTTGCGATCCACAGTTTCCTTTCCTACTCTTACTCATGCGAGGTTTGCGATCAGATGTCGATGAGCTTACGAACGGATACCTCGACACGCCCGTCGACTGGGTGCCGGGGATGAAGAACATGCGCTTACGAGACTTCCCGAGCTTCATACGCACGACGGACCCCAATGACACGATGCTCCACATCCTCATGGCCGAGACTGGAAGAGCTTCCATGGCGTCCGCGATCGTCCTGAACACGTTCGACGAGCTGGAGAGCTCCGTCCTAAACGCAATGGCCGCGATACTACCACCAATGTACACCGTCGGACCTCTGCAGCTGCTCACCAGCCAGATCCCGCCGAGCCCACTCGACGCCATGGGCTCCAACCTGTGGAAGGAAGAGCCTGCCTGCCTAAGGTGGCTGCAAGGGAAGAAGCCCGGGAGTGTCGTCTACGTGAACTTCGGCAGCATCACCGTCATGACCAACCAACAGCTGATCGAGTTCGCGTGGGGATTAGCTAACAGCGGATACGAGTTTCTGTGGATCGTCCGGCCCGATCTCGTCAAGGGCGAGTCTGCCGTCCTGCCGCAGGAGTTCACGGTGGAGACGAAGGAGAGGGGTCTGCTAGCGAGCTGGTGCCCGCAGGAGGAGGTGCTGGCGCAGCCGGCCGTCGGCGGGTTCCTGACGCACAGCGGATGGAACTCGACGCTGGAGAGCATTTGCAGCGGCGTGTCGATGCTAAGCTGGCCATTCTTCGCGGAGCAGCAGACGAACTGCCGGTACGTGTGCGTGGAGTGGGGCTCCGGAATGGAGATCGATAGCGACGTGAAGAGGGAGGTGGTGGAGGGCTTGATAAGGGAGCTGATGGGGGGAGAGAAGGGTAAGGAGATGAAGAGGAGGATGACGGAGTGGAAGGAGGCGGCAGGTAGGGCGGCCCAACCTGGTGGCTCCTCCTCTGCGAATCTAGAGAGGATGGTCAAAGAGGTGCTTCTTCCACGGAAGGGGAGTTAGACATGTTATCCTCGCGTGATTGGTTCTGAGACAGAAGGAGAAATAAATTGGCAAGTATGGAAAAGCTCAATTTGGCAGCTTTCATTAGGTGTGGGAACGACGTCTATTGTTTAGTGTTACTTGTCGCGCCTGGGATTGCGTGCATGCACATGGATGGATAGCCTCTAATTTGGCTGATACTATCAGGCTATGTCGTGGAGCTCTGTGCATAACAATTGACCGAATCAGTAGAATCAAGTTCCCTAAAATACTTTAAATATACTCTTATAACAGGCTTATTTAGTTTTATATACAATCATAAACATCCTTTCACATTTGCTGTGAAAATATAAAAATATATTACAATTTACCTCACTTGGAGACTTAATATACTCAGGTATATCATAATATAGATCCACTACTGTTATGCTAAAACTTACATCCATGAGGGTTTTTTTTTTTGTATTTGGACCTCTTAACATTACTAATATATATGCTCTAATACCAACTATGACGATCTCATATTATGAAAAAAAAATTGGAACTATTAATTTCATGAGCCTAATACTAACTATATTCTATTCTATTCTACTCTCTCTCTCTCTCTCTCTCTTGCCTTTCCTCACTCACATTCCACCACTTGCACTGTTGATCAACTTCGTGACAACATCATGACCCACAAGATACAGTGTCGCAATCTTTTTGCTCGCTGATAATTACTGCTCACTGCATCATTCCAATATAGGATTCAAGCTACCATATCACAGACAACATAGCTAGGTGGAGACTCCTCAGCTATCTAATTCAAAATGGTAGCCCGACACACACACTGCTCCCAACATATATGCTCAGAGACCTCTCATACGACACAATCAATCCATCCCGCAGAATCCCAAGATGATAACTGCATCTGGTCTCGTCTATTGAACCAACACGACCAGAAAAAAAGGGCGAAAAAAAAGCAATCCGACTCAAGAGAGAGAGAGAGAGAGAGAGAGAGAGACCAAACTCACCATCCATTATAGTGTTAAGTGAACGGGTCAGCCTTCGCTCTCTCGCTGCTGCTCTGTACATTAAGAGTATCTATCGCAGCAGGTGCACTGCCATGTCGCGCCTACAAAAGAATGGCAACCTACACCCTTCAAACAGTTAGAACAGGGAGGAAAGCCAAAGAGAGCGAGAAGGATCTTGCAAACGCGTGCATAGAGACTAACGATTCTTTCTCAAAACAAGTGCACGGAGAAGAGGTCCTCTGCAACTAAGGGTTGTAGAGGCGGTTGCCGCAGCTGCACTTCCACCCCAGGGGCTTGTAGTTGGAGTACTGGTTGCCGTAGGAGAACGGGTCATCCGACGGGCGAACCTTCCTGACCCGGGAACGAACCGGAGTGGACTGGACCGGGAGGGTAGGGACCTGGACCGCCGTGCATGGGTTGCATAGGTCGCACCGGTTGTGGCAGCTCGGCGGCGTGGAGCCCAACCGGATCTTGTCCTCCACCAGCATTCCCTGTTAAAGGAGACATCACAGCTTATAAGATGTGGGGCGGAGAAGACCAGGAAAGATGGGCGTAAAGATACCTCGGGTGAGGCGAGCAACGATTTATCAACACAGGAGACAGGAAGAGGGAGATAGAGGAGAGCTAAGAGGAGGCCGGCGGTGAGGAAAAAAGCATGGCTCAGTGAGCTCATTGTAATGGGACCATGTCATTTTGCCATGAGCTGGATCGAGATAAGGAAAAGCTTTAGGAATGCAGCAAAGGGTGGAGAGTTAAATGTGGGAAGGGAGCTCTGAAGGTTTCAGACTGCTTCAGATAACAACTTTGCTCAACGAAGACGGAAGTAGTAGTGGTGTTGAGTTAAAATAGATGAGAGGAGTGATGAAAGCAAACCAGTGGAAAAGAACAACACACGGGGAGAGAGGCAAATGGGACGATTCCACATCAATATCGACGCAGGGGGCACTGAAGTCTCCCTCGCACTCGGCCCTCACTGAGTGGTGAGGAAAGTGATGGCTAGTGAAGGCATGGGTAGAAGGAATTAGTTGACAACAGTCACTTCCATTTGGGAATTTGGGTTTGACTGTATCAAACGGGTGACATATGAGAGAGAGAGAGAGTGCAAGAAGTTATTACAATGGGATCGTAAAGTAAAAAGAGAACAAGAAGAAGGCTGCAAGGAATCATGAGAGCTTTCTCTCTCACACACTGTTGCCTTTTTCCTCGCTTTTGGTACTGTGAGGAAAGAGGCTAGTCAAAAGGATGGCAGATGGGTGACAGAGAGAGATGTATAGGGCAGCAAAAAAAGGTGTTCACGTCTTAAAGAAGAGCAGAAGACAGAGAAGAACTCAGCAAGCTAAAAAGAGAGAAGTATCAGCGAGACAGGAAAGAGAGGGGAGGGCATGGGCGCTTGTTTTTCCATCTTGTTCTCTTTTTCCAGGTGCAATGAATGATGGCCATTCCTTCGATATAGAGAGAGGAATACAGAGAGAGAAAGAGTCACTGAAGCTTTTCTACAGGGAGGTATGGGCCAAGGAATTGTCTGGTCTCACCTCCTCAGGTACGAAGGGGAGAAGGTCCGGGCGTCTCCGGTGCAAAATCCACTGTTTTGATCATTTGCTGCAATAATCACAAAGAAAATGTAAGAAGAAGATGGAAGGAAAAAGACAGTAATGCATTAACGGATGCTCAGGTGTATAATCTTCAAGGTACATGCCATGGTACAGTTACTCACATGGCAAGTGACACACATCACATGGCTTGAATTCTACTCATGCAATCTATTATATAATTGCCTGGTATGGTTTCAATGAGACAAGATAAGAAGACAAGGAGCAATAGTAAGGATGATGAGGTACATTTGTCCCATGGGATGCATGCATCATGATCTATGTCGGACATAATCTAAAACCCTGGTGCAGCATTTCAAGTATTAAGCTCAAACATCTGTAAATGCATTAGTATAAAAAACTCTTTTCTAGAACTGATATAAACCTAAATGAGCATAGAGATGCTACAACAATCCTACCCATCTGCTAAATTCTGCTAGCCACACCAAAATTTAACAAGGGCAGTTACCAAAGAGAATGTCAAGTTTTTAGACATTTCATGCCTGTACATTTTTTTCTATTTTCATATAAACAGGATCATTTTTTTTTCTGAACCAAAATATTCTTTGCATTCATGGCATCCTAGTACTGAAGTCTTCGGGATTTGCACATAAATGTTTAAATTCTTTGCTATAGCATATTAATTTCTAAAGACCCAAAGAATAATGCATATCAATCCTTTGAGTTCATTTAACCACAGCAACAAATAAAATATCAAATATATAGTATTTGAACCTCTGTTTTTTTTTTTTTTTTTTGCCATTTTCACTCCTTTTGTCTTTGGGACCACACTTCAGAAAAACCCTTTGCCCTTGGCATTTTCTGTGTTCCTATTTCCAACACCAACAGCTTTTGAATGAAATTATTTTAAGTAAATTATCACCTACTTTTATTATTTCACCTATTAAGTGTTCAAAGAGATCCTTTTTTCTATAGTTTATTTTTGATGAAAGATTCTTGAAACTCTAAAGATGATTATTAAAGAGTAAAATTTACAAACGTGACGTGTATAAGGTAAAAACAAAGTCTGAAATTAAAACAATATATTCAAGGATCTAGGAATGGTTACATCTCCATGAATTCTCTTGACCATACCATTGTTAACCAATATAAATGGAAATTATGCCTTGACTATGACAGCTTTAGTTAGGCTTTAACCACACCTTGATTAAAGAAAAAGAAAAGGAAACACTTGGTTCAACTGACCAACCTTCTTGTGAGGACCAAGTATTAGTTTGCACTGTGCTTCAAAATGCAACGCTACCTAACGTCACTGACGACCAGTACCAGTTTGAAACAGTATAGCACAAACTGTAACATTTAAAAGTTTATCTTCTTTTCCATGTCAGAGTACATTTGTAAGATGAAAAAATTCTGTAAATAGTTACAAGCTCATAAATTCATGACAGCTACACTTAAATTGATCTCATAAAACAATATTTTTAATGAAATATCCAATAAATCATGTATGACTACCTGCAAAAAATGTTTCTTTCAGTGTCTTAATGAAAGAGCAACTAATTTGGCCCGATAAAAGTTCGCAAAGATTTCACCTTGAAAGTAAGCATACAAGCCTGCAATGTGATATCCAGAAATGGGTAAGTGGTTATGATACCTTCAAGATATGAATGCCTAATCTCAAAGTGACCCTATTTTGCCATTGGTCCAAACAAGAGTACCCCCAAAAACCACCATCGCCAGTATGGCTATTGTCTTGTTTCAATTAATATAGCTGAAATTGACCCATTATGGGATGCTCCACATTCTGAAATGTACAATGACATTCGATGCATAACCTTCTACCAACAGTGATGTGTCAATAGAAATGGTCCACAAATGGCGGTCCATGGCACAAGCATAATTTGCCATCACCAAAGGGGAGCAGCATATTTAGCATCAACATGGAAGGAGACAAAATACCACCTAATCAATAGTATGTCACAGTAACTTCCATTAACAAGTTCCTATAACTTCTGTAAAGACAACATTACCAATGAGATTCTGTTCCAACTTAATTTACATGCAGAGGTTAAACCACTCAACTTTCAAGTCAAAGCAATGCACAGGAAGAGAAGTATCCAGAGCCAATTAGATAAAAAGGGACATACTACTATGATCTAATTTTGAGTTTAAAAGCTTATGTATACCTGCTAAAATCATGTCAAAGAGAGCTTTCCACACGGTAGTTTTTCTTTCACCAAATTTGACACTGCATCAAGAATGATAGAAACAAAGGTTATTTTCAATGTTTCAATAAGGATTTCAAAATCCAAGTAAAATGTATTTAGTTATAATTTTTTCCTACAAATATGCAAGCAAACAACACATGGTTGCAACAGGATTATTTTCTCACGAGGACGAAAAAGCTCAATAATTTGTTTATACATAATGTACAACCATCACAAGCTTCTGTATCAACACAATCTGTTTGGGTCCCATAGACCTTTCCTGGACATATGTAGAAAGTTGTAACTGTTAGTCATTTCTATGGTCATAACAATTTTATATCAAATAGGCTTATTTTGCTTAATAATTTGCTTTAATTCACATGCACAAAGTTCTCAACATTATTTTCCTACTCACCAATCTTATGCTAACTAATTGAATCAAACAGCATAGGCAATTGTTGATGACTTAAGATTGGATCAAGAGGAGAAAAAGATAATGGTGTCATGCTATACTACAAAGTAGACATTCATTGCTCACAATCTATAAAGTAGTTAATAAGTGACTATGACTCAAGATCAGGAAATTGCTTCTGCATCAATAACATTTATACAGATGGTAATACCTGATCACTATAATGCATCATACCTCAAGACTTAGAATGTTAATTGCAGCCAATGCAATTTCCAAATAATCTTTACAAGAATGCACCAAAATGTTTTTTTCCAAGGAATGCATCAAAATGTTTACCAGATTGTGATACTAAACGAAAGTAATAGCTTAACATTCATGCTCTAGTTACACTTTTTTTAACTAACTATACCTGTTTTTATGTATACCTGTTCATTTTCATTCTTTCTTTTTCTTTCCCTTTAATCTCTCACCAGTGTCTTATATCTACCGCTGCCACTTGACACTTCTATCTCTCCTTTTTTGTAATGCACCAAAATGTTTACCAGATTGTGATACTAAACCAAAGTAATAGCTTAACATTGTGATTTGATGTATACATGTTCACTTTCATTCTTTCTTTTTCTTTCCCTTCAATCTCTCACCAGTGTCTTATATCTAATTGTAATGCACCAATTAGTGTGTTTTGTCCGCTATGCACCATCTAAATACCCTAATCATTGAAAGTCAGCAATCGTCTATTGGACATCAGTTCAAATGCATTCAAGTCGCTTATCGTTCCAAACAGTGGATTTCAGACTGAATTCCAAATAAAGGAATTATACAAGCAAGAACTACAAGTGTAAGGTGTCGATCGAAGTGTTTTTATTTCTACCCTTATATCAAAGTATAATTTCTTCAACTGCTAACCTCCAATAACTATACATCACTACATTAGCATTCCATCACAGCAACCTTTTTGTTCCAAGAATCGTCGACTATGGCGACAAGGCAAATGCTCTCATCCGTCGACACCGAAAGCGAACTATTTGGAGATCAAAAGAGCAGGAAAAGTAATCGTACCCGATCGGGGCCTCCAAGGATTCCGATGGCCGCCTATGTCGGCGACTGAGCACCCGATCGAATGGGGCTCCATCGATGATGCTCTATTCGAACCCTGAAATCGCACCCCAAGGCGAGAAGGGGCGTTTATACTTTCGGACGCGATTCGAGCCACGAGACTTTCCTTGGACTCTATAGTTACCAACACGCCTAGATACCGCGAGGCCCATCTCGAGCGCATTCTGGGCCCACTCCATCCAACCAATTCCAGAAACATATCTCAGTAAGTAGGGTCAAATTGAGGACACATGCTGTAACGAGTGTGTTTCAGACGAATTACGAATTAGGCCCAATCAAATCAAATCGAGATGGAATTTACTACTTAGGACTCACATAGGGTGCCTGATAGGTTAACTGGTCTATCAACTTCGTTTAGTCTAAACTACTGACCAAAATGTTTAAGCTGAAGTTGATAGTAGTACACTCATCAGACCTTTATAAGTCAATCTTAGTCTTGTCCATTTTCGATGTTGGACTAATTAGGGATGTTACATTATTAATATATATAACTTAATTATTTTGAATTAGTGGTTTAGACTCAAAGAAAATTAAAATTTATTTCTTAGGATCAACGCACAGTTTCCGCATTGGATGCTTGCAGACTTCAGATACTATCCTTCAAAGCCCGAGGTCCCTAACTCCTCCTGGTGTCAGCAATGTCTGTAGGTAGATCAGTGCATTCACTGTGTGTGTGTGTGTGTGCATGCTTAAACATCAGCAGCAGAAGAGAGCCTTGACGTAACGGTGTTAATCCTCTTGAGTCTCAGAGAGGCATGTCAAGTGAATGCACGATGAAGCCGCTTCACCTGCCATTGTTGGGAAGGTAAGCAGCAATAAATGCAGCAGAGTCGTCGCAGTTACCTTAAAGAAACCCTAATTTACTGAGCTACGTGAAAACTTAATACTCTTCCTCATTGCAGAAAGGAGGAGGAGTCGACTGTGGGGTACGCGCTTCACTCACTCGAGTACTCGTCTCCTGGCACTTCCATTTGTTCTATTGCATGTGTCCTCAGCGTTTTGTTCTCTATATAATATGAATCCACCGTGATACAGTGGACAACAGGAGATGACAATCCTTTATCCTTCTTACTGGATGCCATGAATGCCGAGTTTGATGGAGAAGCAGAGAAACAAGACATTCCCAAGGAGGAGCTGCACACAAAGTGCCGTATGTTTGGGATCTTGCACCGAGCCATTACCATCCCATTCACATGCACTTTAATTCATGGAGCAGACTGCACATCAACCTCATTCAATGGCCATTCAACTTACCTCCTCCCTCCTCGTTCATGGAGTGTCAACGTCTGGTCACTGAGCCCCAAGTTGGAGGAGCTCAACGCTGCCACATGGGTCACCATTAAAGCTTCTGTGTGAGGTAAAAGCATGGTCCAGGAAGAAAAGGTCAGATAACATGTGGTCGAAGCTGCTGGATGCACCAAAGCATGCAAGAAAGAGCAGGAAGTCGATGACATACATGAGTAGGTGCCATCGTTTACACTCTCTCACTCTTCTGTCTCTCTGCAGGAGATGATGCCAAGTGAAGCCCTGAAGGATGTGAGGTGCTTCACGCATATGAAACAACTCCAATGTTAGGGACGAATCCGGATCAAACCGGCCGGTCCAGATTTCCTCAGCCCCGGTCCAATTAAAATCCTTGATTTATTTATTATTATTTAAAAATAATGTTTTTTTGGTACATGAAAAAAAATATTTGTTTTTTTTTTCCTCAAATAAATCGTCCAAAACAATGTGGATATGAAGGCGCAAAAAAAAACAAGAGAGAGAGAAAAAAGTTGGGTCTTATTTGGTTTACATTTCGCGGTATTGTGTGTTTTTTGCCAATTGCCGAAAATTTTCTGGTCTCCTCGGTGTCTGGTGACGATTCTGTCGCTGCCTCTCTAATCTCTCCTGTTTGGAGGATTCATCAAAATTGTTTCTTTTAAGCTCTGCGTTGGTACTTATCCATCTCTACTGTTTCCGAATGCCATTGTTTTCTTCTCTTCCATGGATGAGCTAAATCACAACGTTTGATCTCTCATTTTTCTCTTTCTTCCCGTGCTTTCGTTTCTGTTTGTCCTTGTACTGTGATCCGTAGAGTTATCAGGAGCATATCTCGCACTGTTCTTTGCTAAAGCTGTTGTCTTTTTTATTGATTGGGATTCGGGAGCTGCTTCTCTTGCGCCGGAAGTAAATAACAGCGTCTCAGTTCTGTTTCCTCCGTTCTCGCCCTTTTTTCCTTTTGTTTAATTTGTTGGTCGGTGGCATTAGTGAATTGATTTAAGAGCAAAGATGCAGTCTTTTTCTATTTTTATTCGGATCTCTCATGCCTTTTATCGCCTTGATTTGGTTGTCAAGCGATTCTATAACGCAAGATGATGGCTTTGGAGTCACGGAAGATCTTACTCCTGGTTCCTGAAACCTAGGGTTCTTGATCTCTTGATCTTTCCAATTTTTAGAGAAGTTTCTTCATCTTGGTTCTCTTAAGGGTACATTTCTTTCGATTAAAAGATGGATCTTTGCCTTGTGTTTTTCGCGATCAAAGTTCGGATTTTTACCCCTCGTAGTAAATTGCATTTGTTTGCCTCTTCCAGTCTTCCCCCTTGGGAGCCTTTTGCATCTCGATTTCGAGTTCATGGTTGCTAGATTTCGGTTTCCCAGGTGGCCAACGTTACAATGTGGAGAGGAGACCCTTTCTTTTTGTGATCATTCAATCATATCTTGATCTGGTAATTTGGGTTTCACCATTTGATTCTGTTTTTCCTGGTACAGATTCTTTATTTCTTTACACATTTGATTCCTTCTTATGGTAGGATCGTTGGTTCTGCAATTTGAGCCTATTTCTCACATCAAATTGACCCCAAGAACTTTTCTTTCCCCTTAGTTTTCGAGTTCTTGATTTACTCTGCAACATTTTGAGTCAGTGCTTGTGGGTAGAATTTATTGATGCAGCCATATTCATTCACATTATCGTTACCTGGGTGTTCAAACACAGCTTTGGGGTTATTCTCTTTCTTTGGCTTACAGGATGGCAGATTGCAGTGAATTCAGAGCCTGGGAGGAGCTGATTCCTGATGCTCTAGGGCTAATCTTCCGCAACCTCCCATTGCAGGAGATTTTGACTGTGGTGCCCAGGGTATGCAAATCTTGGTACAGGGCGGTATCAGGGCCTTACTGCTGGCAAGAGATCGACATCGAGGAATGGAGCCAGCGGTGCAAACCGGAACAGTTGGATCAAATGCTTCAGATGCTTATAACTCGAAGTGGTGGTTCCTTCCGCAGGCTTAGTGTCTCTGGGCTTCTTACTGAATCTATGTTTACCTTCATTTCTGAAAAGTAAGTAGTGGTGTAGGTTGCATTTCTACAATTCTCTCTTCCTTGGAATTCTTTGAATTAGTTCATGAGATTGCCTGATTTTATAGATCTCACAAACTTGCCATTTTATTTCTTTTATGTTCACATTGCTTCCTTATTTGATTAAGGACTAATAGGATTGGTAGAACACACTGCAAAGATCTTAAGACGAAGTTTATATAGAGTCTTGATGTTTGGTGGTGTTTATAACTATATGGTTTGAAATTTCTAATATTTACATCAGAAGTGAGAATTTTGATAAAGACCTATTCATTTGTGCTGTTTCCATGAAGTTTTCTTCGAATTGTGGATATTGCATCATGTGATGAGTGAAGGACCTTCAGGATTAATGATACATGTCCCTTGAATTAAATACTGATGCTATGCTCAACAGTTAGTGGCAGGAAATATCCATGTAGTTGATTCCAAGTTGCCGGAACTACGGTTAATTATACAGACTTGCATGATACACACATCGATATTAAATTATTCAAACTTGCCTATTGATATACTGCTTATTACATATGATTATTCTGTGGAGATTACTTCACTTGCACAAGTATTTATTAGGTTGTAGTTGCTTGCTAACCTACTTGATTAACCTCAAGTATAAAACAACTTTATTAAAGTTTTTTATTTACTCCTTGTTGGTAGCTCAATTACTGTAGGAACAATGATCAGGTACTAATAAATGCAATGGTACCAAATTGAGGTTCTGTATGTAGAATCTATTTGGTTTGCAAATTCTGTAGTTTCTTTTTTTTTTTTCATTATCCAAGACGTGACCAATAATGTTATTTAGGTTTGTTAATGTTGCATTTGATGGCTAAACATTTTTTGTTTGTTTTATATTTTTTTTCACTTTTTTTTTTGTTTTGCAAGTGCTGGTTCCCTTCAGAGATTGGAGTTGCCAAGGAGTGAAATAAGTGATTCAATAGTAGAACGATTCGCACCGAGGTTTTCGAATATCACTTTCTTAGATGTGAGTTACTGCAGAAAGATAAGTGCTCATGCCCTAGAAACTTTTGGAAAGAATTGCAAGTTCCTCGTTGGGCTTCGGCGTAGGATGCATCCACAAGAGGTGGCAGACAAAGTCTGCCAAGACGAAGAGGCCTACGCCATCGCAAATACAATGCCCAAGCTGCATCGACTGGAGTTGGCCTACCTGCTCTTGACTACCAGAGGTGTCCTTGAGATCCTCTCCCGGTGCAGGGATCTTGAGTACTTGGACCTGAGAGGTTGTTGGGATGTCAAGCTTGATGAGAAATACATAAAGGAATGGCATCCTGGATTGAAGGTGTTGGGACCGCATGTCGTGGACTGCTACGAGCGGAGCTTCTGGGAAGATTGCTCAGACTACTCCGATTCTTCTGTATACTCCTGGGATTCCATGGATGACGGAGTCGATATATATGATGGAGGAAGTGATGATGATGGTATTTGGGATGATGATCAAGGACTAGAAGGTTTGGAAGTTCGGTTCTACGGAGGTGGTTTTAATGATGCATTTGCTGCATTTGAATGGCCTCCATCTCCCTGACTTGTTGGTTCTTGCTCGAAGAAACTTGATGCTACTACTTAAGTTACTTCTCTTCCAGAGCTTTTTAGAACCACTAAAATATACTCTAAGATCCTGATCTATATGTCAATGCTTTGAAGTTTCTGGTAGGCATTTATGTGGAGATCAATCTCTAATGTTTAAACGAGGAAATGAATATGTCGGATCTCTTGTACTCTTCAATCAA